AAATTACGAAATAAAATAACGTTTATATCAGAAATTTGTCCATGCGTTGATTTCCAATTGCATCTGCATTAGTAGGGTAACTGAAAGAACAAAAGTGTTACCGTGGAGAAGAATTCCAACTAGTGTTTCAGTTAGTTTGATACGGTTTATTTAGTTGTGAGGAGATTTTCTCGACCTCATTTTTACTTGACCGTGGTAGAATTTAGTAATACTACTAATACATATGAATGATTATCAAAAAGTTTTTTTAATACGTGAAGTGATAATCATGTAGATTTTGGACAGATAGCTAAGAGCGATTCGTTAAACATGAGTGTATTCGTAAGAGACATGCTCTAGACTCCATGTTCTGACTTGCCATACACTATTTATTTATATATATACCTAAGGGCTGATGGTGCATACAAGTTATTTGTAAGTATGCAGTTTAGCATGAGGCGGAATACGATGTGATTGAGATATAGTGATTATAAGTTGTTGATGTAGTGCCGCGAGGTGACTTTGGCTAAATAAGTCTTTACAAGATGATTAACAGTGAGTGATGCTCATGTGATTATCAGGGAGAACATAAGTTGTAACCAAGGGGAGTACACCCTCAACTCATGTCTATGATAATGACTTGAACCCTAGTCAGTATTGGGGTAAATTCGATATTGATGTTTTCAGTTTGCAGGAGATTTGCTCGACTGCTTATACTGATGATTTGGATGCATGATTGTGTCGCTAAAACTCCAATTAGACTGACAAGGTTTTGAGATATTTACTGAATGAGCAACTGATAAACATGCTGTAATCATCCGTAGTGAATGAAAAGAAAAACAACACTACTTAATGATAATTACAAGTCAATTTGCTGACCGATTTTGTTAATAGTTTCATCAATTTTATCAATCATATTACGTGATTGTCAAGTCATGACAAGGCTTTATGACGATATCCTGAAACCATTATTTTTAACTAGTTATAGTGTTGATTGAGGAGCAGCCAGTTGAAAATAGGTACTGTTGTTTTATGTGCTTCTGAAATAGCAGAGGTTTGTAGCGCTAAAGAATTCGAGATGCCTAATTATATTATAAACTGCAACTTGAAAACATTTGTTTACATAGTGCTAATTTTAGTAGTAGGCTCAGGAGTTTTAATTCTAAATATTTGTTTGGCCAACAACTACCTGACAGCTCAGTTATTATACTAAGGCAGTATGCTTGTACTCAAATTTCTAACTTTATTATCTAAACTATGTTTGTGTTTCTAGGCTACTAATATGATAGACCAATTCATAAACCCAAAAACGTATAGCAATAATGACTATGATGGGTTTATTGAAGATGTTACAGGCGATTAAATTAAAAGTCACTGAGAAATAATTAAACGGACCAGGTTAACTTGCAGGTTGATGAGGCGTGACAATTTAAAAATAGTAAACATGTCCGGGAAAAGTTTTAAAGATATAAGCTTATGGATAATAAGGTAGGGGTATGACACTTTGTACGCTTTCAATAAGAAGTTTCTACATTTAGCCTAGTGACACATGTGACAAAAGCAACTGGAAAATATATACATGTCAAGTACAGAAAACCATCCAGTAAAATAGTCAAACTCGCCTGGGTTATTTTTAAAAATTAGATTATTCAGTAGACGGCATATGTAACGCCATTCCTGAGGAGTAATAATGATCCAAAAGCATCCAGAATAAAACATGCGGTATGGCAATTAACTCCAGGGTCCTTGGTGCCGCTGACGTTTTTGTCACTTGCTCGGATCAGAACAATTGAATGAATCCAGATAATTGTGTGGTTGCCATTGAACGAGCCATCTAAAATGACCATACGATTGCAGAAAACTTTTAGCTGAAACTCACCGTATGTTTTTGTAGTTATGTCATCCCTGTTGTTTGGCACTGGAACTCGAGAATATCAAATTAAGCAGGCAGTGGTCGGAAGAAAAGATATTACATGATAGTGCATGGTTTAAAACGGAATGCATTAAGTGAAGGAACACTAAGAATTAGATCCATATAATTATTTAGTCCTTGATTGCATGGTTAGTCAATGTATATTTAGGTTATTTGCAGGTCATATTTGCTAGAGCTTGATGTTAAAACAAGTTTATTTCGCTGTAGCATGTCAATGCTACTAAAACTTGTTAACGAACCATCAAAAGCTAATTAGTTAATGTACATGAGCAGTTTTTATTATTGATTGGGCTAGTAAGTTATGAGAACTAACCAATATAACATTACGATAATACATATGAGCATTAATCAGAGGACTATTAGAATAATGGGTTTTCATAAGCAAATATCGATCGAGAAAATTAAAGTGAAAATCAGGAATAATAATAGTAGGTTGCGTTCCTTTAGAAGGGCTCACTAATGTAGAATTACGGTCTACTATGATATTAGCACTCCTCTACTAATAGACCTAATCCTAAAATTGTAGATTTATCGTGATGTAACTGCCTAATCTATAAGACCTTACGTGGAAGTTACATCATCGTCTACACCAACTCATTGCATTGTAACAATTACCGATACGTGATAGAGAACAAGCTTAGGCTGGAGATAGAATATATTTAATATGAATAAAAGATACAAGATAACATTCAGCTGGGACCATGCCTGCAAGGCCAAGCCATGCCATCCGACCAACTCCTTTATTCAATTCATTGTTCCCGCCTTCTCCATTGTTCTGTATTTCTCCACGTTAAATGTTTAATGTCTATTTCTCATATTGTCTCGTGATAGGGCCCAATGCCAATACAAGTCTACGACGTACTGATGATTGCTTTAGTATTGGTGTGATCCATCATAGTTGGAGTCGCAGTGTTTTTCTTAACTGCGGAAAACCCCCTCTTCACATTGTCGTTCAATTCGATTGCTGTTCCATCGCGAAGAAGCTTTTCTATGGTTGGCTCAGTGGATGGTACAAAATTCGAGTTGAACCGTCTGAAAAAATCATACCAATTTGTTCAAAGTACGTAATTGCTTAGCTGTGGTCGTTACTTTTACCGGAAACGCTGGAAAACAAGCTCTTGATGCTGAAAACGGGATAATTTATTCAAAATCGCAATCAACCAGTCATTAACATAATTTCATACAGTTGTTACTCCTTGTGAAGCATTGGCATTTGATCAGGATTCTCCAGGCAACTCTATCCTAAGCTCTTCTTTTAAGTTGGTTCCAACTGCTGTCTCTTCCTATGATGTTCACTTTTGGTTGCTTTGGCAATGTATGATTTGGTCTACATCATTTCACTTGCATCGGTGATTTCAAAGTGGGGCTCACCTTGCGATGCGGTTTGATGACTTCCTGCCTATTATTTCCGAGCAATGAACAAATGAGTGGTGATTTTCAGGAATTATTAACGGACTATTACCATCACCACAATAAACGTTCCCGTACCGAAAGTTGTATGATCCTTTTATTCCGCTTAGTCTGCCTTCGTATATGAATGAAGTTCAGTGGTATTGGTTTCTAACGACACGATCTTCGGAGCTTAACATACAACTGCTAATAAGATTCACTTTCAACAATTAATTGGATATTATTGCTGAGTCTCGCAGTCATGGTCATTCCACGTAAGATCTAGTAACAACTTGAGTTGACTAGTTTAGAGTTAACCTCAAACAACTAAGTATGTGTCAAAACAATAGAACTCAAGTATTCATACCCTTCCTTATTCTGCATAGACATTATATTTCCTATTATCTTATATTGAATGTTGAGAAGCTTTGTGTGTTTGAACAGGTAACCTCCCGCTACACGGTGACTGTCTGATGAGCTAAATAAAAACCTATTCTCCACTAGTCTGGTTTCCTCTATCATTAGAATGAGGGTTACCTACCGGCATGAACATCTGGTAGATTATGTGGTTACATCAAGACAAATCAGCAATCTTAGGATCAGGTCTACTATTATAGAAGTACTATTAAAGAAATAGACCATTATTATACGTAGCAACTTTTACGGACCATTTTAACAGACAAAACGAATAGTTATTCGTCTGAAAGTCAAGCCTTACAAAAACTTTTCAAGCATCTCTAGTTTCATCGCAAGTGGATCCACTGTTCAGAGTCTGTATACATAAACATACAATAGTGCTTTTCTGACGTCCAAAGTGTCTCTTAACCTGGTTAGTTATTTGTGGTGGACATTTGTTAGGTTTGCACAGTTCTAAACATAATAGAGACGTGAACATCACCGAGCCAAGTGTGCCTTTAAATATAGACCATGCTTCTTCATTTGGTGAGGTAGTATTTACTGACCAGCCCATTAATTCAGCACACTACCTATGGTTGCTATGTTTGCCATCCACATATTTTGGTGAGGTCTAGCCTGATCGTATATTATATCACAAACCTTGAACGTGAATGATAAAACAAAATGATCGGTATTTGCTGACAGTGGAAGAATATTAAGATGGGGAATGTCCTCAATCGCACTAGAAGTATAGAAAAAAAACGTTGTATTGGTAAACCAAACCGATTTCATGAGGAAACTTGCATTTGCTCACAATTCGATAAATTGATTTTCTCCCTATGTGTTGAAGATCCAATCAAAGGGATCTGTTGTTTCTCCACTTTGATATAGTTGTCTACAAAGCAGTCGAACTACCCTCAACTTACACTTTGAAACTTATATAATCTCTCGAGACAATAAAAATGTGCTGAGCATCAGAAGTCTAAATTGTTCACTAATTTCAAACGAAACATTGCGGAAACTGAAACCCTGACCGATAGCGCTGGACATTTCTGTGCAAACGTAAATAAACAGGTCCCAGAATTACATGCCATCGCATTTGTCAATATTATGTTATTTTTGAATGTAATGAAACCTTTAACTTGCCAATGGACAGGAGCTTGAAAATGAATGTAGTTTTAGCATTAAGAAGGACGATAGCATCCATAAGATGGTTTATAACGACCGTTTTTAAGGCTTTCAGACTTCAAAAACTGCCTATGCGAAGACTACGTATTCATACAAGTTAAACACAACCAGTCCTGAGAACCAAGCTACTCAAGGTCGTGTAGGTAGATCTGACCCAGACCTAGCTTTCCAACCATCTTGATTTTTAAAGCTTAAAAATTATCTCTGCTGGATATGTCGAATCTTACAGACTTCCGGATTACAAGATATATAAACATTCAAGAAGACTATTAAACTTACTAGATTGAGTGCAGTCAAGTAGCCAGACTACTGCCCATTGGACGTTATTAAGGACCTTGAACGGTACCAAAACATCAAGGAGCGAGCTCCGTATGAGATTTTCTCAGGTGCTTGCATCTAATGTCAGAGCTGTTATTATTGGACCTCCTGGTTCAGGAAAGGCTACCATCTCTTCGCGTTTACAGAAAGACTTTGCTTTGAAATATATTTGCTGTGGCGATATGCTAAGAAATCATGTTGCATTAAAAACAGGTATGCACATCTTCCCGTGTATGTTCTAAATCTTAGATATTGGGGATCAGGTAAGCAGGTTTGTCCAGAATGGTTCACTTGTTCCGGACAGTTTAGTCACTAAAATGATGATTGCTGAGTGTCAAAGTTATTCAAGCGATAACTTACTCATTGATGGATTTCCGAGAACTATGATACAAGCTAAAGACGTTCAAAGACAACTTCCTATCAGCTGCGTTCTTTGTTTAGATGTACCCTTTGAAGAAATCATAAATAGAGTCAGTGGGAGATACACTCATCTTCCAAGTGGTAGGACGTACAATGATAATTTTAACCCTCCAAAGCGCAAAGTTAGTATGATATCAGCTTGTAAACTATATTACTTGATAGCTTTACCCATTGCTATTACATTGTATCTTTACATTTAATTTTTGGGACTAATATGGCTTGGATCTTTAGTATCTTTGGGTTTACTGGTAAGTTGTGTGTGTAATGAATCTCCCGTTTTGATCATCATCGTCCATGTAAATTTAAGTACATTAGTCCTGACTTTTGCAGATTTTCTGTTCTTATGAGTTCAGAACTAACCGTAAGTTTTTTTGTCTCATTTTTGAGAGGGTTTGGTAAACCACTGGTCAGTCTTTTTCCCTGAGCCATGAATCATTGGGCTCGAAACAGTGTATAAGCACATTCTAGGTAAGTGAATTACATAGTAATCTTTGCTGTCATGGTGTTGCCACAAAATCATTAAAGTCTGTCCGGTTAGTTGGCGAATCGGTCTATGATCCTCATCAACTATTGTGAATAGGATGTGTTTTACGTATGCCTAACTCATGCTTACTTTAAATAGGTTGAAAGCAACTTACGGACAATCAAACTAAGACATCCTTATCTCATGAAGTCATTGATTTTTGGTTGATTCGGACTACTTGATTGAGGTGCGCGTAATAGCTGCCATCAGTGGTTGGCGACTGGGCAATAAGATGTTGCATCGTCCATAATAGCACAGATGCGTTCACTGCTTATCTTCTTGGTCTTGAGTTCTAGGATCTATGCATACATGCTTTTTCCACTCTGCTTCTCAGGGCCATATTTTTGTTGTTTAATCTGTCACCGTAAGTACCATACTATTTCGATCGCTTTGGCTATTCATCTTAGTTTCATCTTTTCTTGATATTATGGTAAGACAACTGGGGCCGATATACATATTTGGCAGGTTCTACGCTGATGGTGACTGACTGACACTTAATACTAGGATCGATTATCTTCCTGTTAGATCACCACCTTTATAAAGCGTTAGTCAAGTTGGAGACCAAATAATATGCTTGGATTTGTTGGTTGTATACTTCTAAATCAGTTAGGCGTTAAGGTACAACAATCCTTTAGTAGGTTTATGGAAATTAGCGACGGAAAGTCTTATTATAAAGATTTTCTCATGTCTTGTTATGTGGCGTTTTACTCATCGATTTGTATTGCTAACATTTGTGAGATAAAATGCTGCCACGTCTTAATGTATATTGACCATACCAATACCATTAAATTTAGGGAGTTTTAATTTGTAGGTAATTTTAACAATTCTAGAAACATACTGCTATGTACTTGCTGCTATTTAGTGGGTGTATTTAGCAGCATTATAAGCATCTTGGATCCGACTCATCCAGTGAACTCAAACTGAGTATTTATTTCTGCGTATTTCTATCACTTAGTAATGAGCAGTCTTTCCTTCATTTGTATGTAAGGTTAGCCAAATGTATGTTTGATCTTCCTAAATATAACCACTGCTTTGTGGAAAAATGTTAGTTGGGGGTTGAATTTAAGTTTTACAAGGACAAGATATTTACTATTATCATTCATAAGTGGTTCTCTTACTTTAATTCCGATCACATCCACAGAAGAATACCGGGATTACATTGAATGCTGTCTCATCCCTAACTTCATTACACTGACCGTAAATTAGACGGAAATAGTATGTAATCCGATAACTTTTTATTGTGTCAGCTTAAGCTTAACAGATAAGATGTTGAAGCAAGTCATCCAATATAAATGTGTTACAGTTCCGTTGCAGTCAAAACCTGGCTGTGTTTACGGGGGTTTTATGTTTATATTTGCGTTCGTCTTCAATGTCCTGTGTTCATATTGGAGAAATATAACCAGTCATCAGTTTGTAATTTAATGTAACACATGAACCATTCTCTTTTATCGCTACTTTTATCTTGAAAATAGGGATTTGATGATGTAACTGGAGAACCCCTAATACGCAGAGATGATGATGACCCGATAACTGTTCGTAAACGTTTGGATGTTTATCAACTTTCTACTTTACCATTGCTTGATTATTACGGGTACGCCAACTTTGACGTTTTCTTTTGAGTGTTTGTAATATATTAGAGCAATTATTTTACTTGTAGTTTTTATTGTAAAGTGTATGCACATTGTCATTTAATACTTGATTGAAACAAGTTAACAATTTTGATTTATAGTTTGCAATACAGTTAAATAATAGAACGGAATAACTAAAATGTAATAGCATACTCAGTTGTGAGCAATCTTTTGTAAAAGCTACCTTGAGTCAAAGATCCTACCCCTAATGAAAGATAGTTAGGCTAATTTAAAACATGAAACCTTCAGTATTTTAACTATCTAACTACTCAAAAATGTCACTCACAGTTGTTCACTGTTAAGTGTAACGCTGTATTGGAGTAAGCAGTGTTACTTAGCTTCATTATTCAATGTAGTTGATGTATATTTAAAAGCTAACCATATAATACTTATAAATCTAGGATGTTAATAATTTCTGTACAATTCTGACTAATAATGGTTTATTATTGTTAACTCTTCAATTGAATAACCATCATATGCTACAGTATGTGTCGATTGTTCTTTATAATCACTTTACTGAATCGTGGTGTAAAGCTGATAATTTACATTTGATTTAAAACAACATATATAAGCGAACAATATTGTTTTCGATTAGATCCTCATCAGACTTTACTCTAATATACAGTAATATTTATATGCATATATGAAATTATTAAACCAATCAAGGTAATTTATGAGTCAATGATAACAATGGAAAAGATTACATAATGAGTGAAAAGTACAAATTGACAATGTGATGACAATAATAAAGGCGTAAGCCAATTTTGCATAATCGGAAATAGGTCAGTGATTAGAAAAATATAGACAGTAAGATAATGTTTATAAAATTATAAGATTACGTAATAAGAAATGTTCAGATAATTGGATCGTGAAACATATATTTGGGAGAAAGTAAAATAAAATGGTAGGAGGGGGTGAAGAAAAAAAATCACTTATTAAGGCCAAGAGAGAGATAAGGGTGTTATAAATTTCTTATGAACACAAAGAGTTGGATTGTTGGTTCGGATTCCTACAGCTTCTGCTATGTGTAAGAGACGAAATCGAACACCATAAGGAAAACTAGTAAGAATACGACAAATAACTTTAAATGACTTATTTCTGTCTACTACATGACCGCTATCAATCAAGTGTGATAGAACCGAGCTGCGCATCGTTTTAACAGTACCTTTTCCTAACCACGAAGGGAGGTGTCCACTAACTCTGGTTCAGTTGTCCGGTAGTGCGCCCAATATAGTTTTTTCCACAGGAGCAGCTGAATTCGTAAATACACATGGAAGTGGCATAACCAGGTAACTTATCATTTAGTTGGGGAATCACCATAGATCGGGTCGAGTACGATAGACAGAGGTTGGCTGCATTAAACATTCTCTTCACTGCTTTAGTTGACTACATTACCTATTCTAGTTTTCAGTAGCGTCCAAAAGTCATGTAACTTAAAAATGGCCGGTAGATACTGTATTGAGAGTAGATCCTTCGCAATTGGTTGGCATTTTCTATGTTGTTAAACCACCCATTTTATTTAATAAAAGACTGAAAATCCCCTACTATCTTATTTTTACAGTAATGTAATAAATAACTAAATAAATTGCTTAGACACTCACTTTGGGGATTTAATTAGTAGCATTGGACCTCACATTATAAATTAATTCAGGGCCCTTCTGAACTGATACGGATTCATTTTGTGTTGCTATTAAATCTATTTTGGCAATGGCGTAACACTTAATAACGCGATTTTGAATCAATGGTGAGATGATAGCTAGAATTTCGACACTAATTTTGGTAGTCTATAAATTCGCTGTGGCAAGTAGTATGTAGCGACATGGATTGATGCACATAAGTGCCAGTCTTCACGCTGGGTATAACTAACTGAAACTAGAATGCTTTAACCCAACTACACTTTGTTTAATTCTTATTCATCCGACTATTACCGTTGTCCATCGAGTTATAATCGTTGTTTCCTTTCATTTGTGCAAGCATGCATTTGGTCTTAGTAGCTACGTATCCATTTTAGACATAGAGAACATACACCCATTCAAACTTATACTTGGTTTCAAATATATGTCATATGTATCATTTTCGTCGTACTGATTATCCATATAAATAATTATTTACTTCCATTCGTGCACACTTAATGTCTGTGATTGTTTGCATATTTGTGTATGTAATTGCAATGACTAATCGCTACATTAATCCATACATTAGGCAGTCCAACGCTTACACACGCACGCCTTCACACTCATACGTACTTCCTACACCTTTTATATCTTACACGTTGGGGCCCCCAAATGCTCTGGTACGACCGAAGGTGGGGAGTATCAGCTCTCCCGCTCGAAATGCTATCACATGGTCACGCGTATACAGCTATTGCCTACTCACTGCCTTTAGCGGCGAAGGTGATTTTTCCACGAAATTGATATGACGATAAGCGAATATCCGGCGCTTTGACCGGTTAGGTGGTTATGGAGGATCCACCTAGGGGATTTGGAAAACCCTGATTCCAAGCGGATGGTGCACATGGGCTCCAGTATCCTGAAGGAATAAATGGAGTGTGAACCTATTGTCGGTCATCGGCTACCATGGGACTGTATCTCTTCACGATGCTCCACTGCCTTGTGGATCAGACCTTCAGGTCGAAGGCTCGGGGTGTGGCCTCCTAAGAAAGCCACCTGCTTCGGTTTGTGCTCCCGGGCAGTATTCCAGCTCTCGCACAAATCAAATGACTTATGTGACGCATATATATTCGATGCCTTCTTGTACCAACGTTTATATGTTCAAATAATAATAATACACGTTTAAGTGTGCTAGTCCCAGTTTGTCTGAAATATATTCATTTCGAAAGATGCTGTTTCAGACTTCTTGACATCATGTTATCGAGTCTCTTTATGATTATACAACTGGATCAGTCTAAGAATTATACAAAGTTAACAGGGATCTGAAACCAGTGTAATTATATTTTATCACACGGTCAAGGTGTATGAGGTTTTTTTTATCTCGTTATTCTAATATTTAACAGGAATAGGGAAGTGATATATTTCTTTTTTTTTTCTCTCCCTTCATTTCTTTATATATGTAAATTAAGAAAACAGAAAATTTTACATGTATTCCATGGATGTCGTACAAATGAACTTTGGCCTCAAGTGTATAAGATTTTCTCTCAATTTGTTGAACCTATACAGTATACTGAATATGATACGAATTAAAGAGTTTCTTTGTCTTTCTTGTGATTATTATCACACTCCTATTTGAGTATTAACGTAATTGTACCTTTTAGATTTATTTGCATAAGACTAATCGGATAGTTCTTCGTATTATTACTGTCAAGTAAAAGGTTTAGCTGATTTCTATTCATTAGTATTAACGAAAATAGCATGTTGATCGACCACTGATGTACAGTAATACAAAATATAGCCGAGTGATGTTTGTTCACAGAACAAAATTCTTGACGTAAGTCCCTCCTGAAAAATTACTAGTCAGAAGAATGAGGTTGTTTTCATGCAAAAAAAATGAAATGCTTGTCAGCAAAATATCAACACAAAGAAGGTGTAATATAACGTGAAAGATTCGAAAAAAATCAGTTTGTAAGTCATGTTTCAATCGATTAGGCGTTGACTGTCAAGCCGGTTGCTTGACTATCGTATAACTGCCAAGCTCAACTTCAGTAGATTTATTTTTTTTAATAAGCTGTATGTAACATAGTTGATGTCGACAAACAAAATAGTTTATAAAATCGTAATCAGAATAATAGTTGGAAATATAGTTCAAGTTATAAATTGCAAATACAGTGTGGTTTAAAAATATAAGTAGGTGTTAAGATCATCTAAACTGAGAGGGAGAAGGTTATTAATTGTTCATAAGAAATTTTAACCTTTGTTTGGGAGTAGAGTGAGGGGAAGAAGGCCACTGTCTTGTCTAACATATTTTGACGACATTGGAGTATTTCATCCCTTTGGAGTGAATCGATTGTCGTGATCCTCTTCGAAAGTGGCTTGCATAATGTAAGTGCCGGTCATCAGGTGCATGTTTGATACCAGGTGCGTCTAAAGTAGTTGCTTTTCACTCACTATGCCGGTTGTCCAAAGTGCTTGGAAGGTAGTTCCACGGAAATTAAATCTGAATTCGTTCTGGTCGTGGGCGTATTGGTTGTATTTTGACTTCCGCCAAATTCTTAAACATCACGTATTTCAATGAAGTAATTTTTGTATCTTTTAAAATTAGGACTCCGCTAAGCTCATGATATACCTTCAACTTCATAGAGGTGTTTAGAGATGTTTATAAACATTTAAAAGCTGTTTGTAAGAATACCTGGAGTAACGTGAGGAATTATTATTACTTCTCAATTGTTGCAAATCAGATACTCGATTCCAACGTCCCATCGACTACAGCTTAAAAATAGTTCTCACTGAGGTTAGGCAATGTGGTTAGACAATTTGAGCTATGAAGGGTTAGAGAGAGGTGGCAGAAATCTTTGTATATTGTTGACTAAATTCGTATATTAAGAAGCTCTTATTCCCACTTTTTATTCATGTTAATATAACTTGTGTTGTTAATATTTGTTTTCTAATCAAACAGTCGGACAAGAGTGTTTCCAGTTACGTGATTTAGCCCCATAGTTATAACGTAGATGTTTGTGGTTGGTCACTCAGATAAAGATTGTTCGATCCATTAACATAAAAATCCCTCAAACATCAAATATTTAGTTGGTGTTTGCTAGTATAATTTGTGCCTTAGACCAATTATATTGAAAATCATTTCTAAATGGATAGTAGGTACCCGACCGTTGTTGCTACCTTGACGTGGTGGTCGGGCCTATCATGATGAAACAATCGAGCTATACTGGCTGGAACATCTTTCCTCGAGGTCTTACCATGCCAGACAGGTCGGTTGAAGAACGGTGAGACTAAAAGCAACAAACCCAACGCCCGAAGGCGAAGTCGTACTGCTGACTGTACAGAGGTGTGACAGCAGTAAGGTGTTTCCTACAGACAGCCAGTGTGACAGCGATGCTGCCTTCCTACAAAGAGGGGTGGGGTTAGAAAAGGTCGACCCTAAAAATGTACACCTCGCCTTATCTCACGGATATCCGTCTCCGACGGCAAGGTCTCAACAAGTATGGAGCTGACACGAAAATTACTCACAAAAAGGTCGTGTGTGACCGACCACAAGCAGTTGTCCCTTAGGCACTGCGGTCATGCTTTCAGGCCATTAAGACCACCCCTAATCCAATTTCCTTTTCAGGTACCTCCAGAAGGACCCTTTCACGGTGTGGGCAACCGGGAAGTGATAACCGCCCTCATGCCTCTAACAGCACTCAAGACCACTGTATTCATAATCAACCTCCCTCTTCAATTCCTATTATTCCTCCTACATTGACTTTCCAATCTAAACTTCCTCTTTTGGTTTCCTCCTCAAGTCTCACCATAGCCAACGATTCTTTCGCGCAAAACAGTCCCAGGTCTACTGAAACCTCGCTCCAAACTACACATTGGAGCCTTCAACGTACGCACACTTTGTCAAATCGGTCAGCAGGCTTCCTTGGCTAAAGTTCTAGAATCTCGTACCATTGATGTATGCTGTCTCCGAAACACGCGTACAGGATCCTAGTGTGGTCATTCACTTGACCTCACCTCGGCAAAACGGAGAGCCGACGAGATACACCCTCCGTGTGTCTGGCGACCCAATGGCTAGTTCTCGTGGACTGGCAGGTGGTAGACATAGCACTAAGCATGAGGGCGGAACAAGCGCTATTAGAGTGGGTCCTTTTTAACAGTCGTCTATGCGCTGTTTGGCTAAACGGCTCCGTAAGAACTCGGAAGAGTAGGAGCACACGTCGTTGCCTTTTCGTCATTTCTGCCTACGCTCCCACTGACTGCAGTTTGGATGAAGTGAAAGATAAATTTTACAGAAAACTCTCTGAACTTCAGAAGGCTAAACACTCAGACATAGTACTCGTAGCAGGCGACTTTAATGCCCAAGTAGGTAGCTTAAACGAAACAGAAAGACATTTAGGTAGATATTTTAGTATTCCGGCACAGAGAACAGATAATAGTGATCGTCTGCTGCAACTGTGCTCAGACAACCGTTTATTTTTAGCAAACACAAATTTTAAGCATAAGGAGAGACATCGTCTAACATGGCGACCCCCTGCACTAAATCAACGTTGAACTCAAATAGACCATATTGCCATCAGTCATCGTTGGAGAGGGTCGATAGAAAATTGTCGCTCATTATAGAGTACCTGTTTGGACTCCGACCATGCCCCAATACAAGCACGCATCTGCTTGCGCCTCACTGGACGCAAAAAGGTCACATTGAGTAACGATAAAACCAAAAGTAGGTTCCAGGAATAACTGAGGTCACACTTAGGTAGTTATGAAAACGAGGCTGACCCAGATGTTGCTTGGAAAGATATACAAGCAGCTGTGGAAACAGCAGTGACATCTATTAGGGATTTAAACGAAAGGGTTACAAAGAACCAATGGATGTCTTCAAGGTCTATTGCATTGATGGGTTCGCGTAAACTCATTCCATCAGGCTCTGAACACGATGATGAGCGAAAGAAAATCAGATCTAGGTTAAGCAAAAGTCTAAGGAATGGTCGTGAGCAGTGGTGGGCAACAAAAGCAAAAGAGATGAAAAAGGCGGCGGCTATAGGTAACACCAGACAGCTCTTCAGACTCATAAAAGAAACTGGAAGTAAAAAATCAGGTGTAAGTGAGACTTTCTCGGAAAAAGACGACGTTCTTATCTTCTCCCAGTCCAGACGTTTAGAACGGTGGGCGGGACACTTTAAGGAGCAGTTTAGCTGGCCTTCAGATACTCTACAACTACCCACCATTCCCAGACAGTGTGAATGGAACATTGAAGTAGGTTCTCCAACTCTAGCTGAAGTTCAACAGGCTATAGTTAATCTAAAACGAAGAAGGGCAGCTGGTCCAGATGGGTTGGCTCCAGAGGTCTTTAAGGATGGTGGTCCAATTTTAGCGATTAGGTTGACTAATATTTTAGCTATAATCTGGGAGTTGGACATAATCCGCTCTGACTGGTCACAATCACTTATCGTCCCAATATATTAGAAAGGGTCAAAATCATCCTGTGAAAACCATAGAGGGATTAGTTTGACTAATATAGTATCTAAAATACTAGCCTCAATAATTATCGGACGCCTAACTATGACTCGTGAACTGCAAACACGTGAGAATCAAGCTGGCTTCAGACCTGGTCGTGGATGCATAGACCACATATTCACCTTTCGTCAGGTTCTAGAACGCAGGCATACTTATCGGCGTCCGACAATGGTGGTCTTTCTTCACTTAAAAGCAACATTTGACTTTGTAGACCGAGAGGTTCTGTGGCAGTGTCTATCATTGAAAGGCGTACCTCAGAAGTACATAAACTTTGTAAAGGCTCTTTACTCGAACACTACTAGTCGAGTCAGAGCTTATTGCGAACTGTCATCTGCTTTTGCAACCTCAAGTGGTGTCCGTCAAGGCTGTCCACTTTCTCTATTTTTGTTTAACTTCATCATAGATCTACTGATGGAAATAACGCTCTCGTCGACTGAATTCTCGGGTATTGAGCTCCTTCCAGGAGGTCCACTTATCGACTTAGAATACGCAGGTGACATAGTCCTGTTTGGTGAAGACACTGGTAAAATCCAGTGTCTGTTGGTAGCACTGAGCAACAATCCCAGGATGTTTGGGATGCGCTTCTCTCCCTCTAAATGCAAGTTGTTGCTTCAGGACTGATCTGAGTCAACACCTGAACTAAGGATAGGGAGTGAAGTAGTCGAACTCGTTGACTACTTCACTTATCTTGGAAGTCTGATCATCCCTAATGGGTTTGTGTCTGACGAAATCTCAGCGCGGATTCGAGAAGCTCGTTTGGCTTTTGCCAACTTACTTCACCTATGCTGCAGGCGAGCTATCCATCTGTCAATTAAGGGACGAGTATACTGCGCGGCAGTTCGTTCTGTTCTAGTTTACGGCTGCGAAACGTGGCCATTAAGAGTAGAAGATACTCGTAAGCTACTAATATTTGACCACAGATGTCTTAGAAATATTACTCGCATCTTCTGGGATCACCGGGTAAGTAATCGTGAGGTTAGACGCAGGGTATTAGGGAATGATGGTGAATCAGTTGATGAGGTTGTGAATCTTCATCGACTGAGATGGTTGGGCCACGTGTTACGTATGCCTGAACACCGATTACCACGACATGCAATGCTAACTGGTGTTGAGGATGGCTGGAAAAAAATTAGGGGCTGCCAAACCAAAACGTGGCATCTTAAAGTCCCTGACTTCTGGTCTGAGTCATGTTGGTAGATGCAGACTGCTTGGTTGGGGTCCGCGTGACTATCGTAACCAATGGTTGGAGACTCTTGGTGACATGGCTCAGAATGGATCACAGTGGCGTAGGTGTATGCACGCTCTGTCTTCCATTTAACTAAGAGATTAAAATCGCTTCATATCCTTCTTTCTACGAACTAACTTTCTTCCTGTACTATATCCTTATATGCAATCTTTCCTTTATATATTACACCATTGAGTTGATTGCTTCTATGAATTTGGTGTTCATCTTGCTGTTCTAATAAAGTGTGGCAATTTGGACCGATGCACAAATGTGCCTGGTCCTACGTTGTAACTGACTGACTGAGTAGGTACATCTGTATATGCCCACAGTTGTTGTTAGGCTATAAAAAGGTAGTTACAAAGTTTTTATTCATGTCGTAGTGTGCGTCTGTGATAGTGCGGTAAAGAATATCCATATACTTATAAGGATATCTAGTTTGACTAGAATTTCAAGCGTAAAACGTCGATAGCTTTGGTTTATGCGTGTAAAACCCTGACTTTGGATTGAAAATGTCTGGCGGTTCTTTATATCCGGTCGGTGTTGTCGCCGATGGGCTGGCTACAATCAATAACAAAAGAGTTGAAAATCCCCTATTGTGATAAAGTACCACAGAACAATAAGGCCTAATAATCGAATATAGTGAGGTAAACATCCTAGGTACTGGATCTTAGGACTATCCCTACACAGGGTAGGTACGTCTACTGCTGCTGGGGTAAAAATGAACAGTAGTTAGTAACAATTGTTTGCACTTATTTTCTCCTACTAGGTGTTATTTCATTGGTATCCTTTGAACGGGTCCCTTGAAGGGGGACGCAGCTCGACTGCCCAAAATGCTGTCAAACCGGTCTAAAATTAAATCAATATTTTAATGCTCTTGATCAATAGTAATATTCAATTTTTACAGAATCGAAGTCCATTTTTATTGTTCTAAACTTTATCTAAACTTTGTTTTTAAAACCTATCTATACTTTTTTACTTGTCGATTGCGTCTGATTGTTTTCTCGAGAAATTATTGTTTCACTTCGTATGCGTTTTTATGGATGTGTGTGTAAACTTCAAATAGGTTTACTGTATAAATGTATCACGGTGTTTTACGTTAAACAGTTGTTTCATCCATCTGTCAGCTAGTTAACCTTTCATTTACAATTGTATAGTATGAAACTGGTAAGTATCATCTCTAATTTTATCTAGTTTAATACGAGTTAAGTAGTAAACTTCACAAATTTTCTTATTAATTTATTGAAAACATTTTGCCACAACATAATTTAGCTTTTGGATATGATACGACCCGACTACCCGAATCAAAATAGTCGAAGTGCAGTTCGAGCCCATGACCTGTTAGTCGTAGGTCAGCCGAACTGAAATTAACATTGTTCGAGAAAGCGAAAAGTCAGTATACATTTGCAATTATCTTTTCCGATATATTCCTTCAGAATAATTTTTAAAGCAACTATTTTTCTTGAATAATAAAATGTTTCTGAGACTATGATAGGAGTATGTTTCATGTATAAAGGAGTATATATGTGTGTGCTCGTGTATCTATACTTTGGCTAATTCTTTTACATGCTTTTTAGTGTGAAAATATAAACGCAGTAGTTACGAAATGGTAAGGAAATCGAAAAAAAAATGCTTCGAAATTTTAAACGAAGAATCATCTTTATTCTAATGTAGATTAAATGGGAAAGGGGACATTTAAAGAAAAAGGTTAGGAACGGGTTTTAATAAACAAAATACGAAGAATTATGTTTATTATGATATTTGAAACAGATCAGGTAATATTTATGCATAAAAGGATGTATCTTAAAGTGTTATAACCATATTTCACTTACTGTTGACTAGCCAATGGAATAATTGTGGGTTTGCGATTGTCATTAATTGCACTTTTGTAATATAAGGGATAAAGAACGGAAATAGGGAAAGGAAGAAATAATTCTGTTTTGCTTGTATCAAGAAAACTGTAGTTCTTCTGTTTCGTCAACATATGATTTTGTTTTTTGATCTAGAACAAGTTTGCATGATCTTAGTAAATTTGTGGGAATGATCACTGAAGTTAAATTGTTCACATTGTCAGCATTTAAATTGAACCAATGAGAATTAAGCCAAAAATCAACTGTTCCACGTTTCCTGTCAATATAAAAAGACATTTATTTGGGATGCATAGTTTACATTACGGAATGAACATAGACAGGCACTGAAACCAGAAGACACCAATCAGCTGTTTTGTGGTATGGGACGCCTTAACAACTAGCATCCAACATCCCATCAATAGCTCCAGGCGATAGTTGGTTATTATCACAATGTAGACCATTGGATAAATCCACCTGTAGCTCTCCTAGAGTTACTGCCGGTCCCAAGCCCGGATAAAGGAGGAGGGTTGGGCATGGGGTTAGCGTCCCCGTCCCGTAGAAAACTAACTCGCTAAAAAACGCTAACCAGTAAAAATAACTCAAACCATTTCAACTCTGCCCTGGGAGTTAGAAGATCTTCATTTAGAAGAAATATGACGCCTCATGGTGAAAGCCGAGTTTCTTCGGAAGCCATGAGGCCAATGCTCCTTCTAACAACCAGATTAACAACTAATATAGGTACATGGAATGCTCGGACAATGTGAGAGACCGGGAAGACCAAACAAATAGCTACAGAAAAAAGGGAACACAATTAAGCAGTACTCGGAATCAATCAAACCCATTGGATCCAAGCTGGAAAGAAAAGGATAGATTTGGGAGAGATGCTGCTGTACTCTGCTCACAAAGGACAAAATGCTCCACACACTCAAGGAGTTGCTCTGATGCTATCCAAAGTAGCACAAAATGCACTTGTAGGATGGGAATCTCAGGGATCCAGAATCGTCAAAGCATCATTCAAAACAAAGGAGGGGATCACAATGAACATTATCCAATGTTATGCACTCACCAATGATAGCAACGACGACATTAAAGATCAATTCTATGAGAGGCTGCAATCAATCATAGAGAAGTGCCCAAAAAAGGACCTCACCATTCTGACGGGAGATCTAAACGCCAAAGTCGGAATAGACAACACCAGATATGAAGATATCATGGGACTTCATGGATTAGGAGAGAGGAACGAAAACGGGGAAAGATTTGTAAATCTGTGTGGATTCAACAAATTGGTCATAGGCGGCACAATATTTCCACACAAACGTATACACAAAGCCACATGGATCTCACCGGACCACACCACAGAGAATCAGATAGATCACATTTACATCAATAAAAAGTTCCGAAGGACAATGGAAGATGTGAGAACCAGGAGAGAAGTGGATATAGCTTCAGATCACCACCTGGTTGTGGCCAATTTAAAACTGAAGCTAAAGAAGAACTGGACAACTGGACAAACAGCGCTGCAGAGGTTCAATACAGCCTTCCTTCGAGATACCGACAAACTCAATGAATTCAACAACAGGTTCCAAGCCCTACAGGATCTACTGAAGGAAGAAGAAACTACTATGGAGGATAGCTGGAAAGGTATCAAAGAAACATTAACTTCAACGTGTCAAGAGGTTCTGGGCCCCAAGTAGCATCATCACAAGGAATGGATCTCTACAGAAACACTGGACAGGATCAAAGAAAGAAAGAACAAGAAGACAGCAATTAACAACAGTCGAACAAGAGCAGAGAAAGTCCAAGCACAAGCAGAGTACATAGAAGCAAACAAGAAAGTGAAGAAGAGCATTAGAGCTGATAAGCAAAAATACGTGGAAGAACTAGCAACGACGGCGGAGAAAGCTGCAAGAGAAGGAAATATGGAACAGCTTTATGATACAACGAAGAAACTAGTAGGGAAATTTAGTAAACCAGAGAGACCGGTCAAGGACAAAGAAGGCAGGAAAATCACTGAAATTCAACAACAGCGGAACAGATTGGCAGGGTAGTTCGAGGAACTTCTGAATAGGCCGGCTCTAATGAATTCACCGGACAACGAAGCAGCACACACAAATCTTCCTATAAATGTCAATCCACCAACGACGGAAGAAATCAGGATGGCCATCAGACAAATCAAAAGGAGGAAAGCAGCAGGACCTGACAATATACCAGCTGAAGCGCTGAAGCCAGATATCGAAGTAACTATAAGCATGCTTCATCTTCTATTCAAGAAGATTTGGGAGGAGAAACAAGTGCCGATGTACTGGAAAGAAGGACACTTCATCAAGATTCCAAAGAAAGGAGATCTGAGCAAGTGTGAAAATTACAGAGGCATTTCACTACTGTCAATACCAGGTAAAGTCTTTAACAGAGTGTTACTGAACAGGATGAAAGACGCAGTAGACGCTCAAATTCGAGATCGACAAGCTGGATTCCGTAAGGACCGGTCGTGCACAGGCCAAATTGCGACACTACGGATCATCGTCGAACAATCGATTGAGTGGAACTCATCACTCTACATCAACTTCATTGATTATGAGAAGACATTTGACAGTGCAGATAGGAGAACGTTATGGAAAATTCTTCGACACTACGGAGTTCCTGAGAAGATTGTCAATATTATCCGGAACTCATACGACAGACTAAAGTGCGAAATAGTGCATGGAGGACAGCTGACAGACGCATTCCAAGTAAGGACCGGAGTCAGACAAGGCTGTCTACTCTCTCCCTTCCTCTTTCTTCTGGTGGTCGACTGGATTATGAAGACCTCGACATCTGAGGGAAAACACGGCATACAATGGACAGCTCAGAACCAATTAGACGAATTAGACTTCGCAGATGACCTAGCCCTCCTATCGCATACACACGAACAAATGCAGATAAAGACAGCCAGCATAGCAGCAGTCTCTGCATCAGTAGGCCTCAACATACACAAAGGGAAAACCAAGGTCCTCAAACACAACACGGAGAACAGCAATCCAATCACTCTCGATGGCGAAACTCTGGAAGATGTGGAATCCTTCACATACCTGGGAAGCATCGTCGATAAACAAGGCGGTTCAGATGCAGACGTCAAGGCGAGGATTGGCAAAGCAAGGACAGCATTCCTTCAGTTGAAGAACATATAGAACTCAAAACAACTTTCAGCCAATATCAAAGTCAGAATCTTCAATACCAACGTCAAGGCAATTCTACTGTACGGAGATGAAACTTGGAGAACTACAACAACCATGATCAAGAAGGTACAAGTATTTATCAATAGCTGTCTACGCAAGATACTCAACATCCATTAGCCGGATACCATCAGCAACAGCCTTTTGTGGGAGAGAACAAACCAGCTTCCAGCTGAAGAGGAAATTAGGAAAAGACGATGGAAATGGATAGGACATACATTGAGGAAATCATCAAACTGCATTACGAGACAAGCGCTAACTTGGAATCCTGAAGGGAAGCGGAAAAGAGGAAGGCCAAAGAACACACTATGTCGGGAAATAGAAGCGGATATGAAAGAGATGAATAAGAACTGAAAAGAGCTTGAAAGGATTGCCCAGGACAGGGTTGGATGGAGAATGCTGGTAAGCAGCCTATGCTCCTTCACTAGGAGCAACAGGCGTAAGTAAGTAAGACCATTGGATGCCGACTCCGTAGCCTAAGTCTTACGCGCTCAATGCACATGCGCCATAGCAAACGATTTTGAGCCATATCATTCAGTCTCCAACCACTGATAATATCACGAACCAATGTCAGATAATGTACACCTAAAAACATGACCTAGTACAGTTGTCAGTAACTTCATAAATTGGTGCCATGTTTTGGTTTGGTCGCCTTAGCATTGTTCTAGCCTACTTCTACACCAAACAACATCGCTCGTCTAGTAGGTGGTGATCGGACAAACGTAACACATGTCTCAATCGCTCCAGTCGATTAATATTTACTATCTCACCAATCGACCTACCATCTCTACCTATTACCCTATTCTTAACCCAGACATTGCTTAATCGATGGTCCCAATATACAACAGCGATGTGCTTTAAAGACACCTATTACCAAATATTAGTAAACTAAGAAAATGCTCTATTCCTAATAGTCATGTTTCACTGCCATAGAATAGGGCGGAGCAAGATGCGGAACAATAAACTCGTCCTTCGGTTGGCAGATAAATATCTCGTCTACACCACAAGTGATGCAACTTGGGAGAGCTAATCGAGCTTTCCGAATCGGCGCCGAGATTTCGTCAGATACCAGACCATTAGGACTGGTGAGACTTCCAAGATAAGTGGAGCTGTCGATGCAGACCAATCATGAAGCAAAATTTTACATTTGGAAGGAGAGAATCGCATTCCAAATATGCTTGGGTTGTTGCTCAAAGTGGTCAGAAGACTGCATTTTGTCAGAATCTTCACCTAATAAACCTATCATATGAGTATTCCAAGTCAACAAGTGAATCTCTTGGTAGAAGATCAATTCCTGCAAGGTCAGTTGATGAGAGAATGCATGGTTCAGGCGTTTAACCTAACATGTACACCCCAAGTAACGGAACACAATTTGAGATTTCCTAAAAATATGTTATCTATTAGTTTCCTGAAGGGAACCAAACGATTTATATAGATATCTTAAGGTCGCTTTATAAATCGTGGGTAAGGTGGTCCTAAACTAACACGAAACAACCATCTAAAGGTTTCACATATTCAATCCCTTTTTAAGCAAAAATGTCATTTTTTCATAGCTCAAACAAATCCCAACTACACTACATTGAAACCAAATCCCCCTTTCATTGACTTAGTTAAATCATGACACCGAATTTGTTTTCTCCCCATTGAATTTAAGTATTTTACCACCTACAAGTTTATCAATTGATCAACGAGTATATATATATATATATATATATATATATATATATATATATATATATATATATATATAACCTGAAGACTTACCTTGGTGAAGGATTAAGACAGTTGTATATAAATTTTCTTGCAGGTTTGGAAAATCTTTTCAATTTTTTAATATTTAAATGACTTTGTGAATAAGTAGGTAAAGTATTTTCAGAATTAATTGTAGATGACAATTCATTAGATTGTTTAATCTTGGTTTTATCATATTGGTATTTTATTGAGTCATCAGATGCTGGATTTTTCCTTTGAACATCAATTTCACTTGGATTTTCACCTGTTAATCTAAATGCATAAAACAAATAGAATAAGTAAATGTAAACCTAAAAATTAAAAAAAGTGATAGATCCTGTGAGGTTTTATCAACAATATAACATGTTTATTTTTAAAGGTTTCTATTATCTCGCTACTGATATTTAGGACTGAATTTTAACCAGTTTTAATTGACTTACGTTTATTAACATTAGAATGCAATTGCGTCCAGCTGGTGAGTTACAAATAAGATTAAGTGTGTCCTAGATCTCACTTTTAGTCACAATCGAAACTAGAAGTATTAAGTGTATGCTAAACCTTATTTATTTTATATAGATGATTATTAATTTAAAGAAATTCTGACTGAAAGGGATTTTTATTGTTAAAGGATTCGTCATTTTTAGTAACAAATAATATAAGTTACTGCTTAGTAGGTGATTAATTTACACATTTCAGTCTTACGGGAAGTCAGTAGGGACAAAAATAGTCCAGTCTCTACACCTCCCAATTCAATATTAGACAGGACAGAATTGAATGCTAACTTAAGCATTAATTTGTCAAGAATATAGATTAATTTTATTGGTTGGCATCATTCAACGCAAAACATAGCTGCAGGACCTCTCTATGATTACGTTCAGCTATCAAACAGTACTCAAGCTGGAAACAATCCTTGCCTGAAAGAGATACTTAAATAAGAAGTTTCAGTTTGTTGAAGGCTACTGGATTTAATGTTGGCCTCAGGATTACTGGGATAAGGTTTGCAATGTTGAGAGATATTCTGTTGTTGGCATAATTGTCCCATTTTCCGATAAAATAATTTTCACTACAAACTGACGTCAATTGAAAGACTATTTGAAGGTAGTACACTCTAAAATTCTCTCGCCCTTGTATAGAATTCTTAAGCATCGCGCAGTCAGTAGGATATAATTAAGCCACAATTTCACTATCTTCACCGTGAATTTACGTCGATTTGTGATGTAGAGCATTCTTCATCTAATGCTACTAACTATAAATTCTTGAATCATGAGGTAATTGAGCTCTGCGGATCGGGGCTTGGTATAAGAACTTTGGGCAGTTCACTTCCAGCTAAAGTCGGTTCCTGATGACAATCATCTTGAAATTATACTGCATTTCCATAAACCACCAAAAGTGCAAGTCCTTCGAATTTTATGGAACTTACAATAGTCTCATGACAGCTCCAACACTCCACAAATCTGAAGCCATTGATTTCGGCTGATTCTTGCATAACTCGGGGGCTAGTTTATAAATAAATAAAGATAAACGAATTAATAAACTGAACAGAATAAAAAAACAGACAGATATAAATAATCCTAAAGATAAGTATTTTTATTGTATGCCTTAATCTTTCATATGTATGTCTATTCATTTTCCCAACATGTTTAGTTTTTATTTTCAAAGTTGTTGCTAATAATCGTTACGGTTTCGGATAGGAAACATAGGATTCACATTTCCTGCTATTTGACACTCGTTATCTAGATTTATCTGCATCATAATGTCTATATTCACAACGAGACTTTAACTTGATATCTTCCGTTACAAACGCTGGTGCATTACTCACTGAACTGTTGAGTTCTCTTAGCAACCAACTTATTCAACTGGTTTGAAGGTATTCGTTAGGATTCATGGTTGCCCATCGTTGATATTCCGTTTCAAATAAGAATAAACTCATGTCCTACGTTCGATTGATAGCCAAATATCAAATGTACTAAAACCTTGTGACTAAGACTACGTAGAGACAGTTCGTTGAGGATGTAAATGCGTCAACGGAGACTGATCATTTGTAGTTATTAATATCAATAAACTAATATTACAAACCGTCTGCTAATACCATTGGATGACATTTGGAAAATCACAGAAAACTAAAAAAATACTTTATAATCACTTGTTTGTTGGGAGAATGCACAATATATTCAAGATTTATAAATTTTATATCACCTGTATCACTGTCTTCGCCTAAATGCTAAGTTTTTGAATTCTTCATAATTTTTTTTATTTTACTAATTTTTATTTTTTCGAATCGTATCTTCGATGACTAATCTTTTCTAATACTTTTGGTACTGTTATTACATCTACTACTCTAGGATTCTCTCTAACGATTTTGTCTTACTGTACTAATGTGATATAGCGAATTGAACTGTACTGGGTCCTACGTTGCGTTTAACTGACTGATATCACTTTGAAATCGAACCACAATAGTTGAATTGTTCCTTTCTTGCGTATAATTAATAAAACTGTTATCCGATACTTCTGTGGAAGTCATATCACCATTAAACGGTTCATAAACTATCACTTAGAAACTTTAATCAATATTTGTTTACCTATTCGCTGATGCATACAAGATTTCATTGTGAATATCCATATTGTGAATTAGAACAACATAGTTTTTAATTAGATCCTAATCAAGCTTTACTATAAGATACAGTAATATTTACACTCCTATATGAAATTATAAAACCAATCAACGAAGTTTATTAGTCAGTGATTACAGTGAAATAGATTATATAAATAAACATATTCAGTAAATGGTATAAATTGATATCGTAATGACAGGTGGGGTTCGATGTTGTCTCGTACACACAGCAGAAGCCATAAGGATTCGATCAAACAGTTCAATTTTTTCTGTTCATAAGAAATTTGTAACACCCTTATCTCATACTTGGCCTAATTAACCTTAACGATTTTATCGTTTTCCGTACACTTTGTTAGTTTTTTCCTACACCTTTTTTTTCGAGTATACGTTTCATTGTTCAATTATTTAAACACTTGTAAACTTTATAATTTTTAATGAATAATATTTCAGTGTCCATTTTTTCAAGCCGTTAACCTATTTCCTATCATGAAACATTTATTCAATTAATTTTAACAGTTTAAGTCATGAGTCAATTGAAGCTAGATCACTACGGAAAACCCGGAAGCACTAGACTGTCGTTTCGTTCTATTGTGAGACTCCTCAGTTCAAGTCTTTATTATTCTTATTACAACTAGTACACCTGTCATCACTCTATATTGTATTTTTATAATCTGTTTCATGGTTATCACCGACTCATAAACTGCCTTGATTGGTTTAATAATTTCATATATGCATATAAATATTATTGTATGGTGTAGTAAAGCATGATTAAGGTCTAATGGATAACAATATTGTTCACATACAAGATTATATTTTCGACTTATGTCAACTGGATTTATGATAGAATGAATAAAGTAAATTTTTTAGGAATTTTCTAAAATTTAGTTAATACAGATGATTGATTACTGTATCAAAGTTATACGGCTTTTATCCTTGTAATATGTATATTTTAATAGTAGTAGTATTACAAAAACAACTGAAATACAACAATGTTTTTCACGAACCTCAGTAGTAATTTACTAGGTTGATGTTTACGTTTAATTTTCAGTGAATTTTAAAAGGTTTATACAGGTTCAATTTTTCAAATATATTAATTACTAAGTATTCATTTACAATAGCTACCTGCTAAGCTTAAGCGCTGAATATAATAATTGTATGCTTGTAAGCAACAAACTAAGTGAATAAAAATGCTTTAAATTTTACCTGAAAAGTAGTTGTTGGTTTCACCTGAAACAGATTCATGACCGAACCCAGTCAATACAATATCTGGAAGCGAAGATGTCCGTCGTGCGACAAGTATGTGTTCCAGACAAATATTTCCATGTGGTTGTCCTAAAAAGCATGTGTAGAACCATTTTAACGCTGAAAGAATTTGTTGGCTCCACATCATAACAGAAAATTCAGTATATTCTACTCGACCGCACAAAACATCAATAAGACGTCCACCAGGAATCCATTGCATTACTGTTATACTTCGTGTCGGTTTAACTGCATCATCTTCTAACCAGCCAGTTGACCAACCAGATGGTAATAATTGTCGTTGATTAGTAAAGAGATACGAGTTAGGTTGTTCACTATAAAAATCTTCAAATGAAGTATACATTCCACCACAAGATCCATGAAGAATAGTAAGCATTAGTGCTTCACGACGAGCTTTTTTCAATAGATTATTATCTTCTAAGTTAAGATATGTGATTTTACTTAGTAATCTAGGTGGAAGAGATATGTTTTGATGTCGAACATTATTGAAATTCACTCCTTCATTTAGCATTGGATGAGTTTTTCCAAGAATAAGTTTTGTATATGTTCCTCTAAAAAATACATTAAAAGTTAAATGAAAAGTGATTAGAAAGATAAATTAAACAGATTGAATTTGTCCTCTATTTATCGAATAAAATCAATTCACATATATATTACTTATAATTTAATTCACAAAAACGTATTTACGTTGTAAAGATTTAGTTAATTGCATTACGTTATTTTCAGTCAGAGAATCACTAAAAACAAAGAAACAATGGATATTCTGTCATAGTTTACAGCTCATCAGAAATTCATACTAATAAACCATATAAAATATAACTTACGTCTTTGATGATCTTATGAAGAGCACATCACTATTGTTTCGCTGACCAAGAGTTTAATGCCTAACATTTTCAGCATAAGCTGACTAGTGATATAGCATGGCAGTTGTCTAGTATCATCTGCCTCACTTCCTAATAAGGTAATGGTATTTTATTAAATCTTTAAACAGAAATCTGTAAACAAACCATTGATGAGAAACTAACCATTAATATATGTTTATGGAAATCAGTTAAAATAAATATCACATGAAAATAATGACTATGACACATGTTTGAGCAATAGTTTTTCCAATAAGCATTTCTCAGTTATTATTACTTACTTATTGATTAGACAAATTGGTCTACATATGGATTTCAATACATCTAAACTTGGGACTATCCCATTATATCGATTAAGTTTCTGTAAAATTTTGTCTGATGGTGGAGGTACACTGATTGACTGATCGATTGCATATTGTAAAGCTATTGGATGATCGCTTAATGCGTAGATATTTGCTGATTGACGCCAGTTGAAGATCCATGTTCGTTCATTGGGGGATAGAATAGTTGATGACTGATCCATAGAAACTTATCAGAACAATAGTAAAACATGAGATTATTAGCGGAGAAAAAATCATTTCTGAAAACTTCAATCATCAAATTAACAGGTTCAAGACTTATCAGATATTAATATCTGATTTGTTCAGCACAACTACTTGTAGAAAAGAAATTGATCAGAACTAATAACTGTGCGATTTTTTCAACTATCGATCAGTAGTTTGTGTAAATATTCAAGTTATAGTAAATAGGTGGATTATTTGCAAAGGCTAGTCGAATTCTACATTCTAACCCTTAAAAAATATGTACATAGATTCCAGATATCTTTATCCAGCCTTAATAATATGTGTTGTTATAGTGTCTTCGTCTCTTCTTGCTGCCTAATTTGATTGATAAACGATTAGGATTGTGCATTGTAGACGGACTGGAGAATATACTACAATAAGAATCGCTATACAATTATTTTATTAAATGATAGGCATGAAACCTGGGTGACTAATGAAATTTAGTAAATTCAATGCAAATACTAATCATATTTGTAAGTCTAAGTTACCGTTAAGGATTTGATACACATTTTTATTGAGTAAAGTCTTAACTTACCGATAGGAGTACGGAAATCAGAAGAGGCAATGCTGTAATTGCCCCAACCGAATGCATTTCTGGCGGATACACGGACACGATAATATACACCAGGTTTAAGATTATTGATAAGATAACGACAATCTACGGTGAATCCAAGTCGATGCCATGAAGGTGGTTCATTATCACGTTCTGATAACAGAGAAGAAATTATTAAAAAGTTACGTGTTTGGTCATATTGTTTAAAAAAAGTGTAGAATAAGCGGGACCATTAACTAGTAAATTTACGCTCTTCAGTTGTAATACCCTCATTATTTTCTATGGCTATTTTCCATGATCGATGTCAGTTGTAAAAGTACCAGGAACTATAAATCACCAGTTCCTTTGAGATATTATTGATGGGAATATGTAGGCTTATTAGGTATCTGATAGAAAAAGTTTACTTCTCTATGATTTTACTTTTACCTTGAAGTATATTTTAGATGAGAACTATTTGTATGGTAGCCACATTACAAGTGTCTCGGAAATCAGATAACTCAATATGTAGCTTAATTCAGTATTCTACCCTTGCTAATTAGGAAAATAGTCTTATAAAATGCTAGTGTATAGAAGCATTGCGAAAACTCTCTGGAACGTGATTGAAAAATATATTTTATAACTTAACTGGTAGAATATCAGATTAGTAGTCTCTAGCTCTAGGATTTAAGTAGAAAATGATAGCTAGGAACGTGGATGAGGCGAGTTCCAATCCCATGAGATACATTGGTTCGCTCAATATTCTAGGTACGACTTTCTGACGATTCCCAGCTAGCACGAAACCTAGATCCAGAGTTACCTGGTGACTGTCATCAAATAACTAACATCTTATCATAGTGAATACAATCTGAGAACACTTGTACCAATGGCAACAGTGAAACTTGTTCATCTGAGTTTGCTCAGTACTAAAAGACTGGACAAACATGATATTGATTACTACTTAGTAGTCAATCATTTAAAACATCTCAGTCTCATATGAGGTCAGTCGCTGCCTGAATATCTTCCAAAAATCTAGTTAGATATCATCCTGTGTAACATATCTACTTATAACACAAATTTCTTATTTGCTTACCAATAACTCTGAGAGGATCTCTGAGCAAGTATCAAAAATTAGCAGTTAGTGTCCATAGACTAACTAGTAGTGCTATAAACAAACATCAGTGGTTAAAGTACGTAGCAGATCCTTAACAAATAGAAGTGTTGATGGTTGTACTTTACAAAAGCCATCTGCTGGGACGCTCCAAAACAAATTTGTAGTTCACGTGACATAACCATAGTGATTTAATATTACTCGTTGATCTTGGTCGCATGTTCCCTTCAACCTCAATAATTACATAAACATGTTCACAGTTCGTTTTATCATAATTATCATTTTTATCATTACTTAAAAGAAATAATGAAGACCCGAACAGTTTAGCTATGGAAATCTTCAAGCTTTTTCAAATTTTCCGTATAGGATTGTGAAGATTGCTGAGTTTAGATTGATATTAAATTTATTAATCTACTTAAATGTTATCATTCGAATGGTAAATTTAGTAATGTTATTATTGTAATTACTGTGTAACAACGTAGAAGAATCTCCTTGCGTAAATTTATTCTTATTTTTGGACTGATATTATCAATTCAGACAGGATGTTATTATTCATTCATTTTCATTCTTCTAATAATTTTTGATCTTTTATCAATGTACGTATGTAAGTGCTCTTTATTTATGCGTATTTCGATTTATGGTTTACCCTATACCTTGTCTATCTGAACTATGTGTAAGCTCATGTGTAAGCTCATAACCAAACTGAACAGCTCCACTTATTCACTTTTCACTTATGTGTATGTGAATGTATGAAATATTATGTAATCAGCTACATTTCAAATTTGGTTCTTCAATATTGTCATTATACAAGTTAGGGTTAAGATATAAAGCGGTGTTTGACACTAGTCGTCAGGGAAAACCTTGAACTTAGGTTTCGTACTATTTAGGATTCGTCAGAAAGTTGAACATGTGATCTTGAAGGAATTGATGAGGCTTAGCCTAAGTGATGTATATGAATTAAGTTCAATTGGAGTTAGAATAAAGGCTGTAATTATCATTGACTATAATTATAAATGTTTACATTAAGTGCATATTATTTGGTATATATTTCGTAATAAACGACATTTATAAAACATCATACTTCGAAAATTTGTATGTGTGAGGTATATAGTTGTATATGAAGTGAAATGAATTAATTTACTTTTACAGTATTTGTTAGTGAATCTTATCAGGTGACTTCACCGATTGAATTGACATAACAAGTTGACATAAAGTTCCCTTAAATTATTTAACAAGGAAGCTTTCTGAATTTATACTGATTGTATTTGTTTAAGGTGTTTTATGACTTTTATCTTGATCAATTCATTGTAGTTTTCAAGAATAACTATAAATTTATTAAAGCTATCATATAACTTATAACATTCACATTGTGGTGTGTGCTATATAGGGAGTATATGACGTTAGTCAGGACAGAATGTCCGGCAACAGAGAGACGAGAGGATCGAACAGTAAAGAATGGAAACAGAATACAATTTGCATGAAAACACAAAAATAATGAAGTCTGAGCCATTTTGAGACAATTGATGGTCATTTTGCAAATTGAGCATTTACTATATGGTTCTTAGATTTTATTAACCAGTTCTGTAATTTCCTGTCTATAATACATTCGATTGTCCCCATTCTTGTTCTTGTTCACTGCAATTTGACTGCTGATTTGATATGCAACTAAGATTTATATGTCTTGTAGAGTCATGATATTTATCCTCTTATGCATTTAAACTGTTTACGTTAGAGGCAGTAAAAATACGCTGTAATTAATCACTAAGAATTAATCAATCCGTAATGCTGCTTGACTTCTATGGATCAAGTTACAACGTGACTTCTAGTCATTTAGTGACTTTACATTGTATGCAGTCCTACGGGAAGTAACTTACGACATGAATTCTTCATTGATAATGTCTCTGTCTGTGATAGTGGATGATACAGATTTAAATCTCATGAGAAGCATCTGTTTTAAAAATATGCTAGATATACTTAGTTGACGAGTACCAAACAACTGGAAACAAAGATTCAGGGATTTCTGATGACTGCCTTTAATCAAATAACTTCTGAAAGAAAAGTTATCTGAATTGTAATATATACAAAATATGTTTTTATATTTGGTCAAGGTAACTTTTTACATAAATAAGCACAATTATTGTCTGTCACTGTCAAAATAGTATCTTTTTGTATAAGGATATTTTTACCTGAATATTTGATATCAAGGCGATAAATCAGATCTTCATTCGAATCCGATGTTGAAGATAGCCAACTAATCAATGCTTCTGTAGGACGAATATCGATAAGACCTGGTCGACCAGGGGGTTTCGGCATATCTGCAATAAAGAAATAAGTTTAATAATAACATATTTCATGTATCGCACAAAAAATACAAAGTATAGATTGGGGACAACTTGTGCAATGGCAAAACGACTAGATATTTGAATGAAGTGATTGGGATTTTATTTTGTATGGGTAGAGATAAAACTTATGTGACACTAAAATCATGATGCACAATACATTACTTATGAAAAATACGATCAATTAAATTAAAGGACGAATTGCAAAAAATTGCGACTATTGAAACTTACCAATAAATAAAAGTCGTGCTTTTGTTCTTGATTTTCCAGCACGATTTCTTACCACGCATTCAATAACACTATGATCTTGTTCCGGACGCAGATCACTTAAACAAAGCCATAACCATCCTCCTTGTTCCACACCTAAACTAACACCTGGACCATCGGAGAGTAAACAACCATCTAAGTACCATGCGGCGGCAGCCGAAGAACTAATGATTTCATTAAAATTCAAGCCGGTTGGATATATTTCACTGATAATTTCTTCATAATCACTAATACCCTCTGGAAGGTAGGGAGCACTAGCAAGTTGACAAGTAAATCTCACTTCTCTTGTATGGACGCTGAAATATGCATCTCGAAGTAGACTAGCAAACACTGGAGCTAAATCAAGAGGAAAAATCATTTTTTAAAAAAATCACTGTTGATTGAAATGGATACAGTCTTTATCAAAACTAAATGAATGAAATTCAGTATAATACAAGTATTCAGATTAGTATGTATTCAAAGGGGTTAGTTATTTTATACTAAGAAATCTTTCAATTGTTTCTAAAAGCTCTTGATTTCTGTCAATTTTAATTGGTTACTTAACAGAAAAAAGTAATAATCTGTTAAAATATGCCATTGAGAAGATGTTAACTATATATATGTGTAGAGCTATAAGTTTAAATTACCATTAATATAAACAACAAGTGAACGTTTCACTCATTTGAAACTGACTGAAGTAGTATATCATGGAAATTAACACTGTGTAATTAAAATATTTCTCATTTTTTTAATTTTAAGTACTTTTTACAAAAAAAATATTGAAGACGACCTACCACTAAATTTATTTCCAATTTCACTACGTTTTACTGAAGTGGTTTGATTTTCTTGATCAGGATTAACTGATGATTTTTCTTGTTCTTTTAATAATGTATAAGTTGATTCTTCTAACGAAGTGGCTTCTGTAAGAGTATTTTGTCTTTGTAAATTGAATTTCTCCTCAATTATTTCTGACGCGTCGTCTGCAGTAGGAATATTGGTGTTTGATGGAATTATAAATCTTTCATCAATCAAATCATGTGTTTCATATCGATCAAGCAGTTGTGTTTGAGATTCACTTTCAGAAAAGAGGTGGAATTATTTAGTCAAAGGAATTATTTTTCAAAGAAATAGTATATAATAAATTCAGTGGTTGTCATTATCGGATTTATATGTCTCACCCCACTTGTAACTAGGAATACTCAGTTAAGTATTTAAAATGTTAACCATACTAGTGAAATTTGTTGGCGTTTCTTGTAGAAGGAGTATTTAATCTTTTTGAGTAAGTAAATGACAACAAAAAATTTCTTCAATTATTCTTCTTTTATTCAAAAGTTAGAATCTCAGATTAGATGGTATGTTCTGAATAAACCATTCTCGTCTGGCGTATGAAGTCCCTAAATGTATACATTGTTAGTCCATGGTTTCATATTCTAATTATTTTACCAACTTCAAGATGGAACACAATACGTGTTCTGAATTTAAATTATAACAAACATTAAAATACGTGAATAAAAACGTCTTTAGTTTGATTAGTTATTGTTCCTGATACTATGCTTGGACTGAAGAAGCAATTATAATAGAATCAGAAGGGGTTTTGTGGAGATTGTAGTGATTTCAATCATTAAGATCATGAGTCAGTTGAAACTAGACCACCATGGAAAACCTGGAAGCACTGGACGGCCGTTTCGTCCCATCGTGGGACTCCTCAGCAGTGCGCATCCACGACCTCGCCCCCTGCGAGATTCGAACCCAGGACCTACTGGTTTCGCGCGCGAGCACTTAACCACTAGACCACTGAGCCGGCATCCAACGGTGTTCATGTCTAACTTCAACTAATCCACGAAATTGAGCGACACATCCACCATTGTCTTCAGTGACTCATGATCTTAATCATTGAAATCACTACAATCTCCACAAAACCCCTTCTGATAATAATCAACATATGCTCACTAATGACTGGCTTCAAGAGGTATATCCTGGAGTTCTAGTGAGAAGTAGTGACCAGTGGAGTTCAACCAGGTCTGTTGTGGGATAGAAACTCACTGAAGACAATGGTGGATGTGTCGCTCAATTTCGTGGATTAGTTGAAGTTAGACATGAACACCGTTGGATGCCGGCTCAGTGGTCTAGTGGTTAAGTGCTCGCGCGCGAAACCAGTAGGTCCTGGGTTCGAATCTCGCAGGGGGCGAGGTCGTGGATGCGCGCTGCTGAGGAGTCCCGCAATAGGACGAAACGGCCGTCCAGTGCTTCCAGGTTTTCCATGGTGGTCTAGTTTCAACTGACTCATTATCCTAATGATTGAAATTATAATAGTGTTTAGCCAGTGAAATTTTAGTGATCGTTTTGGTGCATTTCGAACTGAAATGTATATTTTTTTTATCTAAATAGAATGAAATTGGAGATCTGATCAAGCAAAATGATATCCAGGATAAATGTTCGCCTCATGTTTTATCTGCAGCTGATAATTTGAGCCAAATCACAGTTGATTTTATGTGAATTATAAAAGAGGTTTGAGGAGAATAGTTTATTTTACAGATGATGGTCATCACAGACTGACTTTAATCAGGATATCATTGAATATCATTATAAGCTGGGGAGGACTGAATAGTTCTTTCATCCTGAAACACCTACTAAGATTAATCTTGACAACCATCACCTTCATATGATTAGTTTTACCAGTATTTATAGTCGTCATTTACTGATATCATAATTATATCGAATGACTGTCAGTCATACACATTGAGTTCTTGATTGTCTGATTTGTTAGCTGAAAACAGGTAATATAATAACATTTCTTTTCTAGCAGTGCCCATTCTGGAGACTTGAAACCACCGTTAATAGAAATACAAAGGTGCCTGTCTATATACACAAATGTTGAAATGATAAAGGCCCATTATTATTTAAAAATCAGTTGGTAGACGGTAAACAAATTCATGGATCAGTGATCCAAGATTGGTTGGTAAGTGAAGATAGAGACTTATGTATAAGACACAAAATACTACTGTAAACTCTTAGCTACTATTGATTTCACTATACTGGATTTTGGATTTTACACTGTGTAAATGAAAGTTTATTTTGGTTTACATTATCTGGTTCCTAATGGTTGATCGCAATTGTGTATCAGTTTATCACGTGATCTAGTCTAGTGGTATAATAATTTACTGTACTATCTAACATCGTGGTCTATTGTGCAGGGTCTATTATCGTATCTACCAGTTGTATCACCTGAGAAAATATAAATCTTATTAGATCTCTTTGTTACATCATGAACATATTGTAAATCCAAAGAATGATCCTAATAAATCAATACAATAACATTGAGAACAAACGAATTAATTTTCACAAGTCATTTGTTAGTAAGTGATGAGAAACTTTTTCAATATTTGTTTTACCTGTATGGCTCGGAACTTTCTCGTAAACCAAGAATTGATGATGATCGTGAAGAAAGTACACTTTCTGTATCTTCACTTGGAGTTGGTTGCCTTACCATAGAAGCTAAACGATTTTTCAAATCAGAATTGTAATTTTTCTCATCACTAATAATGTAAACTGGTTGCTGAAAAATAAAAAAAATTAATATATACAATAAAAGTGTAGGAAATCTGTGAAAATAAACTTATTCACATTGATCGCTGTATATATTATATTTAAAGTGATCACAGGATTTTATTTTTAAATACATTAAAAAAACTTTCTAGTACATTTGTTCGATATGTTAATATGTAATAGAGTACACTTACAAAATATACTGGTTGTGAAATGTCCTACTTCATAAAAAAACTATGACTTTTACTTATCCATTATCTAAATTACTTGGACTTCATTTAAGAAGATTATAATTAATATGAATTCCTTGGGTAGAATAGTTTCTTTTTGTATGCTGAATGCTACATTAGTAAACATCTGTGTTAGATAAAAAACTATTGACATTTTAAAGTTACATCAATGGGGAATTAAAATATCTAGATTAAGATTTATATTAGAAAAAAGTTGAATTTACTAAATAACATTAAGTATAATATATTATCGAAAGCATCAGCTCATATTAGTTATCAATACCTGAATCATTGTTTGATTGTGTCATAAACTTTAGAAATTAACTAAATTATTAATATGTGGCCTATTATTTCTGAACGTTATGGATTGAAATGTGACACTGGTCACCTTATCAGAGCAATCTATAAAGTGATCTTTGTATTACTCTCAAACTACGACTCATAGAACTGAATGTAAAATCATTTAAATTTTTAGTTATTATATTTTTTTAAAGATAATTAATTCGCTTCTCATGATTGATATTTCAATTAGACCTAATACCGACAGATAGTATGATCACATTTTGACTTATAAACAAGTACATGATATATACCTATATAGTTTTTCAATGTTATTTATTGTAATGAACTAGGAAATTTTTCAGAAGCTGTTTATTTTCAAAGAGATTACTCAATATTATTAGTTTTCTTCATCTATAGATTCCATTAAGTGGTAGACTTCTTTTAAATAATCTTAAATTTGAGTAGCGTATAAGCTGAATACTATTCGATTTCTAAATGTTTTAACTTATATCAAGTAAAGACTGATAATACATATTTATAGATGGATATATAAATAGATGGCCATAAAAATTCCATGAATTGTAGATAGCAAGAACAAAAAATTAAGTAGAATAATGTGAATTCGTTTAATAACTTATATGTATGAATCTTTTGGAAAAATCCCTCGCCTTATAATCATTCAAATCACCAAATTACTTATTGATAATACTCTGTGGAATATCAAGAAAGCTACCTAGAAAGGTAAATAAAATGAATTGATTTTATTCTGTGCTATTCTTTGTTTCAGTAGTTGAAATCATGAGTCAATGGAACCTAGACAACCATAGAAAACCTGGAAGCACTCGACGGCCGTTTCATTCTAGTATGGGACTCCTTAGCAGTGCGCATCCACGATCCCGCCCCCCGCGAGATTCGAACCCATGACCTATCAGTCTCGCGCGCGAGTGCTTAACCATTAGACTACTAAGCCAGTATCCAACGATGTTAATGTCTAACTTCAACCAATCCACCATTGTCTTCAGTGAGCTGATATCTCACAACAGACCTGGTTGAACTCCACTGGTAACAGCTTCTCACTAGAACTCCAGGAAATGACTTTCGAAGTCAGTCACTAGTGGGCTGATGATTATTATCAGAGGGGGTTTTGTGGAGATTTTTGAAATTTCAATAGTTGAAATCATGAGTTAATTCTTTGTTCTTGCTCACTTCAAGGTAATAACTATCTAAAAACAATTTATTTACTTACTATTGAATTATAGAACTCTTTATATTTCTTCAATTTTTTTAGTATATATTCTGATTTATTTTCAGAATGTGAAAATATTTGAATCCATGGATGAGATAAACATTCTTTAGCTGAAGGTCTTTTTCTGAAAGATTTCAAAACATTAATCCTATCATTTATATATTAAAGTCTAAAATTAACAAGTTTCCATATTAATAATGCATTGATATTATAATAAAACGATTTCTATTCAAACTTTGTTTTGTTATGCTTTATGAAACAAGAACTGTAGTGTTCGCGTACAATAATAAATGTTTTGCTTATACCTTAGTGTGTAGTTCAAAGTTTAATATAATAAATTCAAATGTGTGCATTGAGTTCTTTATCTTTAGTCTTGTTAAGAGAATATACTGCTTAGATCTAGGGACTTATTAGCTAGTATAATATATTCGATATTACTACTACTATTACTACACATAAAAGTAAATATAACCGATTCATTTGTGTTTTTCTGAGATAGATGATTATGGAGAACAAACACCTATGAACAGTGATTAGAGGTTTTGCCTTCCGGGTAAAATGAAGCAATTAATTAAAACGCATACACAGGATTTCATTTCTCATTTGTTCATCAAATCCACGTCTGAATGATTTTTTAATTCGGAAATATTATTTATTTGTAAATGTTTGGGTCTTCCCGTTGATGGTAAGAATTTAATTTTGATAAGTATTTATGGACTTATGAGAATGCTAAGCGGATTACCTCAGTATTGACATCAAGTTACAAGTATTTTAACTAGAGATAGATAGTAACTAGCAATGAAAATCCAGACGCATGTTTCTAGATTTACCTGCATCCGTGTTAAGCTTTACTCAGTGACTCGAAACCAGTACTCTTCGCTTCAAATCCCAACGTGTTATCTACTGAGCTAATATGTCAAACAGGTATATCCAAATGATTAGTCCCAAATTGAATGAGAAGGACCTCCCGGATTTTGTTCAACCTAGGGAATACAGTACTAGCAAAAGTACTTCATTGTTGTGTACAGTAATTATATACAGTTATTGCTACGTTTCCAAAATATAATCTGAAAGTAGCACTGTATCATTAGTTGGTTGATATACACTGATGTTTGTTTTAGGACACATGATCTCACTCATACTAAGGATTTTATGGAAATAATGTTTTGAAAATGAATCCTCATTATCCACTTCTATGTCAAATAATTACACGATACTAACACTTACGTAGGGTCAGCTTGTAACAGTTGTGAAATAAAATCTTTGCCTTCATTTGAAATATTTTCCAATTCTGGTACATCAAATGGAATAATAGCTTGTAATATATTGTCAGTTAGAATACTACCTGTGTCATAATCAATAAAAGGAGGCCAACCAACAAGTCTACAGATAATAAAAATAACAGGAATAAATCAATGAACACTGTATGAAAACTTAATTCAAAATACAATCTAAAACAAATGTTGTCAAGTTGTTTTTATTTCATTTTGTATTCATTAGATAAATACTGGGGTGCATCAAATAAGGGATATACTATTATCAAATAGTGATTTTATTGTATTTTCTAAAGTTGTTTTTTTATTAACATAATATATGGTAATTTTTCCCACGAATTGCATATCCATTTTTTGATTGCTATTAGACAGAATAATGAATTTTAAACTTACTTTCTTCAACATATGGCTAGGATCACGAACTGATCTAGTCTAGATAACAGTTGAAAACCTGGAAGCACGATATAATTGCCGTATGCTAAGTAGTGACTAGCATCGAGGCGAAATTTACAGAGTTCTAGTATGATGCCTTGACCGATTGAGCTCAACTTTATTAAGTGTGAAGAAGTTACCCACTGAAGACAATGAAAGATGGTTGCACAATATCGGGAACTGGTTGAATTCGGACTTGAATACCATGGGTTCCTGACTCAGTGGTTGAAGGTTAGGCGTTTGCGTGCGAGACCTAATCCAGGTGGCAGTGCCGTGAATCCACATTGTTAAGGAGTCCCATACTAGAATCAAACGGCTGTCCACTACTCGTGATCTCAAATTCAACGATCTTCACATCGCCATCTTTATATACACAAGTGAGATTTTTCTGGAAGTCTGAATTTTATATTACTCTTGATATTAACTGACAGTTGAATGCAAAATTTAAATCTTGTCGCATTTGGAAATAATCAGTTAGATGTACATGGATATATGTGAACTGGTAGTCTGTCTAAGGTTTTGACCAAACATTCAACTTATCATAACTAGCCACCAGTAAATACAATATCATTGCGTTTACATAAGAGCCCCTTATGCCAATAAAAACTTTATATTCATTTATCATACATCGGCCTAAAATTGTTGACTTCAAACATAAAACAAAACCTGTGATCAAAGAGGGAACCAATACCACTGTCATTGACGAATTAGTTTTTTAAACATTTTTAACAATAACCCTTGTTCTACATTTCCTACGATTATCTGTGTCCAGTGCGTTTCACCCGTTTTTTATAAATCATTTTACTAACTATCAAAGTATTCAAGCAGCATTTTAATGGTTAGATGTTTTGTTATTGAACAAAAAAAAGTAAATCATTAAAAGCTGAGTTAAAATGACCTGTCATTAGTCTTTTCAATTAATTATGGTACTACTTATAAGTAGTTGACATAATTGGTAGTAAATGTTTTTTTAAACAATATAGTAGCAGATTTTGTGTTAAGAACTACTAGTTCATCAAATTTAAACTCAAGCTAAACTAACTAACCAAACGATGTGGTATACTGGTAATTAAAAATTAATGTGATTGACAGTATAAAGAAAAATTTAAGTTTTTGTTAAACTATTAACACTATCATTACTAGGAATATTGTCAATCAAAAATATTCCTCCGAAAGATTTTAAAATAAATATTAAATTCAACAGACCTATAAGTTGCAATAATTTTTGAAGTCATTGGTGATCTCCAAGGCCAAGGTAATTGTTTCATCTTAAAATTGTTTTGCATAATATGGATTTCCCTTCTGCCTAATTTATAAGTATGTTATCATTAAGCTACCAGGTTCTAGTTGGATCGCTTACATCAATAAAACCTAGTTATGATATTATATTAAACAACGAAAGCATTGTTTACTTCTCACTTCAAACCTGTTTATGTAACTAGTATAGTTATACATTCTTCATGGAACCCGGAACTTTCAGGTTAGATCACCAGCTTGAAAGTCCCGTATCATTTAATGACAAACTATAACAGAATATTTATTCAGTGATGTGCATTATATGTTTTTTCCAAAATGAATTTTAAAAAATTAAATACATAAAAATGTCCGTAAGTCAACTACTATTTAATTTCAATGGTTGAGATCATGAGTCAGTTGTAGCTAGACCACCATGGAAAACCTGGAAGTACTGGACGGCTGTTTCGTTCTGTTGTGGGACTCCTCAGCAGTTTAAAAATTATACACTGAATTATTTAGTGCTAAATTAGATTATTTTGTTCATTAAACTCACAGGATATACGTTAATACTCCGAGACTCCATATATCTGAAGGTGGACCTAAATTTTCAGAATAGTTGTGAATAGTTTCAGAAACTGTTCCATCAGTTTGTTTCGTTAGTAATAAAATTTCCGGAGAAACATATTCCGGCCTATACCGTAATGGAGGTACACAAGTAACACAATGTTGGGAATTAGTAATATACGTTTGTGCTGTAGAAAATCCTGTAACTTTGAGCAAATTACTGAAAACATTCATTTTATGACGATCCGTTTGACTCAATACATCAGTTACTAGAGAAGCAAGAGCCCGTAGTAAATCAGGATTGTTCGATGAATTTCCACAATCATAGTTATCGATTGTTTTCTTCACAAAAAGTAGATTCTCAGGCTAAAAAGCAGAAATTTTAGATAGTGTTTTAACTTATGATAATTTGAAATTGAGTTGTAATTCGTTTAAAAGTTATTATTTTATCATTAGAATATAATTTCCTAATAAATTTTTTTGGGAAGGGGGGTTAAAAACTTTACTTTGTACTTGATCCTTTTGTAGCGTTCTCATTTGATTGACCAAATATACATAATAAGGCCACACGTCTAATGAAGCAGTAAAAATACACTATTTGTTTTACCATTGCCACAGTGCTGTCCTTACAACATATGCAGACAAAATGGGGAGGGCATTTCTACTCACCTTCCACCACTTTTTCCGTTTAATACATCAATTAAAGCATCGTTTGAATTTTCAGCTTCACATGAATATTAGCTTAAGTTGGCCATATGAATTATAAAAATCAATATACAGTATGAGAGACGTGTCATTCAAAGATTCTGCAATATTTAATGAACTAAGTTATGGTCTTAGCCTGATTATTTCACGTTTTTTCATAATCTTTCTGAGAAAGCAACCAAAAAAGTATCAAGCACATCAGTTGTTCACTATCCTAACCTCAATTCAGTAGATTGGCAGAATATTATGTTGGGACTGAAAAAAAGCTATTTGGAAAGGAAAAGGACCAGACAGAAGAAACATGAGTTATCAATGACAAATTAGGTTGTTAGTAATCAGATTATTCTCTACGGAAGACTTAAATTATCACTACTGCTGGCCTCCAAAACTCAGAGAAATCAAGAAAAGAAATTGTGATGCTGTAAAGAAAACGTTTAGTGGTTCCACAAAATTCGCAATCTGTATGTATACATAATCACAATTTTAATTTAAAAAACAAGTATTACTTGAATATCATAATGAACTACTCCTTGATTATGAATATGCTCTAATGCCTCCAGTATTGAACGAATAACAGCTGCTGTTCCCATTTCTGACCAATTTTCACATGCCAGAACTGAATCAAGTAGATTTGAGCCGGACAATCTTGAGAAAGTATTGAAATTATTATGATTAATTTATGAAATTATTGAATAATGACTACAAAGTTGATATTATAGATTGTAATTTTAAAAAATGAAATTTCTTACAGACTTTTTAATGAATTCGTTTTTAGTGTATTTTTGTTGTTGTTATTGCTGTTTTGTCGAATGAAATGATACTTTTTTCAAACTGATCAGTATGTAGAAAACTTTCAGATAAAGTAACTTGAAGTCGAAGACTTAAATTTGATCAGTTTGAAAACTTAGTGCTGTTTAGTAAATAAGAGGAACTTATCATGTAGTAACCTTGAAGGTCCTTTTTATATTTATATTTATATCTAATCCCAGTCTATTATGTGAAATTAATCAATTATTTGTTTCTCAATCAAACCCTGTCTGCACACATCATGAATAGATAGGTGGTCATTTATGTATAGTATTGTAGTGAACATGAACACGGGTGGGGAACAATCGATTGTATTTAACAACAAATTACAGAACGTGTTAATAAAATCTAACAATCATAAAGCAAATGCTTAATTTGCAAAATGTCCATCAATTGTCTCGAAATGACTCAGAATTCATTGTTCTTGCATTTTCATACAAATTGCATTCTGATTTCATTCTTTACTGACTGATCTTCTTGTCCCTCTGCTGCCAGACATTTTGTTCACGACTAACACCATATATTACATATGTCTAAATAAGTAGCACACACCACAGTGTATGTTCACAGATCTCTGTGCCTGTCTCCTACCATCGAGTACCAATTTTAATTTTTAGAACTATTACATGTATATTTCGAAAATTGAATTAAAGTGCAATGTGACATCTAGTAACTAAGAGAGGTTTATAAATACGTTGGTGAATACCAATTAAATTTCCATGTCTGTATCGTTTTTCTTGATGAATATTTATGAACATTAGTACAAATCTAAAATTACAATGATCTACACGTTCACCTCTTCACCCTTGTTTTCTCAACTAAGTTTCAAACCATATCAACAGTAGAACATTTACTTATATTTTCCTATGTAAAACTTATATTAATTATTTGTGAACTTTTTCTGGATGCTCGTATAACTTTGAATCAAACCAAAATCGTTGCTAAAAGACTGTATAAACCTGAATACCACTTTATAAGTATTCAGTTTTACACTGGTTGAAATTAAACAAAGTGAACTCTGTTAATATCGTTATGTAAAATCTAAATTGAAACGTTAACAGTGAAATCCTTGATAGATACCATTCTGGATAAACTCACGTTATGACGACCCTCTTATTTCAAATGAAGTACCTTCAGCAGTATGGTATACTTACTAGGGATTTCCTTCATTATTAGAGGCCATCATATATCAGTTCAGTCGACAAAGATATCATATCATAGCAGATTAAAATAGGATTTTAGGGGACTTTGTCAATACTCGAGGACCTGGCAAAATGTAATGATCTGGGTGGCATAAAATGTTTATATTTTCAAGCCATTTCATTTTCTAGGTATCATTGCCTTTGAGTTTCGTAGTCATTAATTTGGTCACGTTGACATAGGTCAAGTGGTCCATGTAAAAAAATAAAAGTAATATCATTAAGTCTTTTAAATATTTCAGCTGTTAAAATGATGAAAGTTTGCACGGTTTCTTCGTATTGTATTCTGCAGTCATCCTTTCTTTGTAAGAAATAGTTCAAACTTCCTCCAAGACTCTACAATATATATAGCATCCAATGGTTGTAAAAAAATTATTGCAGCAACGACAACTCGCTTTTAGCTCGTTTTATGCTACTTTATTGGTTCCATTAAGTCCTGGCTAACCAATCAATTTTATTGAAATTATGAGCTGATCTAATTTAGACAACCACTGACAACCTAAAGTCAATGGGAGGCCGTTTCTTAGTAGTACGGTACTCCTCAACTAGTGCGCATTCACAAACCCGCCACAACGAAGTGAATCCATAACCTTCAGTATCACGTGTGGACGCTTAAACTTTAAGTCATTGGGCCTAGTCTAACTTTAACCAATCCACGATATCGGGTGTTCATTTTGGATTGTTTTCGGTAGGTACCTTCGTCATATTTGGCATGGATGAACTCCACTGGGGACGGTTTCTCACTAGAACTCCATAAATCTCCTTACAAAGCTAGTTACTAATTTATTGACCACACTTTTAAACGAGAGACTTATTTGCGTACAAAATACATTGGACAAATTATCTGCTGTAACTATTGTGTCTATGAAATGTTTAACTGGCTTGTGCTTGATCAAGAGACCTTAAATCTGACGATACGTTATGAGAGCATAAAGGCTGTCAATATGGATTTATTTAACCTTTGAAATAAATCAAAACGATATGCTTTTTGTATAATTTCTATACGCTCAGATTGACAGTCAGATTTATATAATTTGAACTTTATAAAGTATAATCTCACTCAGTCGATTACTTAATTTATGAATACGAACTAGAACACAAGCGGAAACACAAAATTACAGAACATCTTAGTAAAATCTAAAAACCATAGATTAAACACTTCATTTACAAAATGTTAATCAATTGTCCCAAACTCGACTATTCCTTTTGCAAATATCAGACTTCATTATTCTTTCGTTTCCGCATCAATCATTCTCTGTTCTCGTTCTCTTTTCTTTATTCCCATCAATCTTCTACCTCCAAGTATTTCACTTTCAATTAATGATACATACTACTTATATATCTATCGACATCAGTAGCATGCATCACAATATTACTTAATCTTCAGTTATTCTGAATTACATTTCTTAATAAACAACTGCTTAAACAATAAATCATATTTTTTTAAAAAAAAGTTAATCATTTTCGGACAAAATATTCAATTTATTTAGAATTAAAAAAAAAAATAATAATCACCTTGGTAACTTACTTTTCATAAACTAAAATAAGAACATTATCACTGATAAGTGCATCTATTAATTGTAAAACATTTTTATGACATAAACGTGTTAAACATTCCATTTCACGTGCACCATTTATACGACTGATTGGATTATTTAATTTAAATAATTTTCCAATATATTCACGATTTGTTTTTTTATCAATTAATAGATGAATTTCTGAAAACGAATCACTAAAAAAGATACATAAATAGTTTGATGTATATGTATTGCGTAATAGATGGATGATTGATTAAGATGTTTAACTTCCAGACACCAGGTTACAAATTTAAATCGTACACTATATACTTCAGCAGTGCGCATCCACGACCCCGCCGCCCGCGAGATTCGAATCCAGGACCCATCGGTTTCGCGCTTAAGCGCTTAACAATTAGACCACTGAGCCGGTTTCAAACGGTGTTAATGTCCAACTTCCGGGTTTTTCATGGTGGTCTAGCTTCAATTGACTCATGACTCCAACTATTAAAATTGATAAAATCTCCACAAAACCCCTTCTGATAAAAATAATATACTTTTATTTTTTGAAGTCAGTTTTTATCAAAGATGATATTCTAGAAAAAATATTAACTAGATCTCTAAAGAGCGAAGGGTTGAGGATCGGTGATTTTTTCTACTTTGGATATATTTATCAAGATACGATCCATGAAACTTGGAATGCAAAAAATGAATAACAACTAGTTTGTCCTCTCCCATAGTATGCTATTGCTGATGGTATCCAGCCAACGGATATTGAGCATCTTGCGTAGACACCTGTTTATAAATATATTTACCGTTTTGAAGATGATTATTATAGTTCACCACGTTTCAGCTCCGTATAGTAGAACTGTTTTGACGTTCGTATTAAAGATTTTGACTTTGCTATTGGTTGACAGTTGTTTTGAGTTCCATACGTTATTTAACTGTAGGGATTCTGCCCTTGATTTATCAGTCCTTACCTTTATGTCTGCATCAGATTCTCCTTGTTCATCAATGATGCTTTCCAGGTACGTGAAAGTTTCTACATCCACGAGAGCTTTTTCTTTAAATGTGATTGTGTCGGTGTCCTCCATGTTGTATCTGAGGATCTTGCTGTTTTCTCTATGTATGTTGAGGCTTACTGGTGCTGTTACACTAGTTGTCTTCATCCGCATTTGTTAGTGTGTGTGGGACAGTAGGGCCAGGTCGTCTGTGAAGTCCAAATCGTTTAGTCACAGTCAAGCTGTCCATTATATTCCGTGCTTACCCTCAGATGTCGAGGTCTTCATAATCTAGTCAAACATCAGAAGAAAGAAAAAGAAGGGGAGTAGGCAACCTTGTTTGACTGCGGTCCTCATTTGGAATGCGTCTGTCAGCTGCCCTCCAAGCACGACTTTGCATTGCAGTCCGTCGTATGAATTCCGGATGATGTTGAAGATCTTCTCATGTACTCCATAGTGTCGAAGAAGTTTCCATAATGTTCTCCCATCCACACTGTCAAGTGCGTTCTCATAGACGAGGAAGGTGATGTATAGTGACGAGTTCCACTCATATGATTGTTCAATGAGGATCCATAGTATCGCGATTCGGTCTGTGCACAACCGATTCTTACGGAATCCGATTTTTTGATCTCGAAGTTGGCTGTCCAGCTTGGGTCCAACGGGTTTCACTGATTCCGAGAATCGCCAAGTTGTATCTCCTCATTTCCGTTGCTATTTGAATGTTCTTCCCGGCTCCCCACATTGTCCATACGTTCCATGTACCTATAAAAATTGTTGCGCCGGTTGTTAGAAGGTGCATCGACCTCGTGACTTCCGAAGAATTTCAGCTTTCATCCTGAGGCGTCAAAATTCTTCCTTAAACTCAGCGGACAGTATTTTAATGGTTTAAATTGTTTATTCTGGTTATCGTTTTTCAGAAAGATTATTTTCTACCGGATGGGGTTGCAAACCCCATGCCTAACACTCTTTCTTTACTGGGGCTTGGGACCGACAGTAGCCCCAAATGAGCTACAGGTGGAGATACTTCTAAATAACTGTGAAGATAAATATGGATAATTTTGAATTATTTATTTTTACCAATAAAGTTCCGTTAAAAAAACGTCTGATTTTAAGTAGCTTTATTTTAGTTGTTGCCAAAACAAAATTCTGCAACTCAAAATGAAAGAATCAGTTACATAGTTGTAAACGCTTAAGTAAATAAACTATGTATTGTGATAAACTTCAGAATGATAGAGACTCTAATAAAGTCTCAGTGTTCGCATCAATTCTTAGATTAAGGTAGCTGCTACTGACAAATCGTGCCTAATATGAAAGCGAGTCTTAGTTTCTACTGGTTGCTACTATCTAAGATTTGGACCATATTATTCAGAAAACAAGTATGTCATCAGAGGCTGATCAAATTAAGTTTTGAATATTAACAATTGAAATTCTTTTAACTGCTTATTTTATCTTAGTTGTTTTTAAAAATGTATACAGCTGCGTAAACAATCTGGAAGTCTAGAAGACCTTTGTTAAATTTATAGTACAATGATATAATTACTATCATGAATGTTTGTTAATTTGATCTTTGTTTTACATGAGAGCTTATACTTGAATATTCATCCTGATAATAAATTTTATTGAAATCATGCACCGATCAACCTAAGACCACCACTGGAAACTTTGAAGCACTGAACGGCTGTTTCGTCCTAGGATGCGACTCCACAGCACTGCTCATCCAGGACTAGCGCGCAAACGCGGGTCTTTGATGTGGACCTCTGAAAAACCCCATGATAGGACGACATGGCCATTCAGTGCTTCTAGATTTTAAATAATTGTCTACCATGGATCGGTTCATGATTTCATTGAGACTCAACGATCTGCACATAATGCTTACAATTATAATAGATTTGTTGATATTATAATAGGGTTAATAAAATCACTTCTCTTCAATATTTTAACTACTGCTGACATTTGTGGTTGGATTGAGTGTACAGATAACGACTGGATTTTAGCTAGCAGTAAGATCGAAAATGCCTATTTCGTCTTGTTTTGGACTCGTTAACGTCTCCATGTTAATATTCAAAGTGAGGCTTGAACTAGGCGTTTATTTTTCAAAGTTCATCCACCAGGGTACTGGGTAAAGATAATAGCTAATGTGTTCAGTAGTTATGGAGTTATATCTAAGAGTTTGAATCTTTTAGCTGTCTAACTTATGAACTCTAGTTAATCTGTATTGATATGCGTACATCCTGAGCGGATTTTCTCCATAATCCTTTTTGTAACAACTGATTGGTATATTTGGACAATAATTCAGTCCCGCTAAAAACAAGATAAGAGTAGTTGTTCATGAAATAATAATCATCACTTACCTTTCAAGTCGTCTCAGTACAAAATAATGCTTTTCAATGTTTGTCCATCTCAAAGTTATTTTAGTCGGTGTTGGATTTTCTAAATCATAAATAAAATAAAGTGATATAGTAATAAACACATTACAAATAAGTAGTCAACGATTATTTCTAAAACTTATGCACCAGAATTTGTTTCAAAGTTGGGGTTTTAGAGAGTCTCTTACTGAACAAGGAATCAAAAATTAAAACTGGTTGCAATTTTAAATTCATTATTTATTAGGGAAGCCAGTGATATCATAAAATTCGTTTCTCGAGATTTCTATCATCGATTACAAGACGAAATGGCGTTAAGTTTTACGGCATATCATCTTCTTAAGAAGGCCACATGTAAATATAATCCTGAATGTCAACAATAAGAACATGGAAACCTTTGCAGGAAATAAAAAAAATTGATGAGTATTTAAAATCATGGCGATAATAAAAGTAGAGTCATGTTAACCTAACTTATGGCATTGTGCTGCTATAATAAATGGCAATAAAATTTACGCTATTTCCCCTTCTTTATGGTATAGAGTAGGTTACTTTGGTTAGTTTTTTTCCGAAATAATACATACACGTTGCAGTTAACCGATAAACAAAATAAAAATTTCAAACTGGTTTTTATTATGAACTGATATCTAACTGAAAAAGATGATAAGCATAAAGAAGCGTTTATTAGCTAATCGTTTGTGTAGAGTATTGAGGAGTTTTCAACTACTAGGTAAAATATAACATATCTTACCTTTTGATGATTCATTGTTTAGTATATGTTCTTAATGAAAATTATTAATATTAAACAGTTTAGGGACTGACTGTCCAGTTAAAATGTTCAAAGAAATACTAAAATATGTAGCCATGTATATGATAAGTTATAGCGGATTCATTACATTATCTAATCGATAAACGTATCTATAATTATCCCTACTATCAATATGAACACAAATATTTCATACAACAAGACCTTTTGTTAAATTTAAACAGAGCAAAAATAATAAAGTTTGTAGAATAATATGTATTCATTCTGGTAAACGGTTTTTCACCAGCTGCATACAACCTAGAATTATAATTAGGACTAGAATTCTTAAAAAAATGTTTAGCGTTCTTTAGTTCATAAGGTTGAGATTAATGTTCGAGATGCAACCGAAATCATATTCATGGGAGGAATAGAATACAAAGCGTATGAATAAACATTGCTTACATTGATGTTTATATACCCTTCAGATGTCACCTCATACGGATCAATGAATTTACATGTACCTGCAGTAACAAGTATATAGGAAGGATTGTATGGAAGGCCTCTGCTAGATTTTCTGAACACATTACTACAAACCTCGTTGTTCTTGCTCTGTTTAAGCATAAATAATTTAAAAATAAAATACCGCCCATATTGTTTGAATACCTTCAACATGAATCAAACAACTAGTCATTATTCGACCAGCTATATTTTCAGCCGTTAACGTATATAAGCCTGAATCTTGATAAATACATTTTTCCACTGATAACGTTGCATCTGTACTAAATTCACAGTTTGACATACTAGGCATTCTATTGATTGATTGTTTTTCAGCTTTACCAATTTTTGTACGATGTGATTCAACAATTCTTTTTGAATCTCTAGTCCAAATTATCGTTGGAGGTGGTAACGCATCAATGTAACAAGGCAATTCAAAACGTGAATGTAACTTTACAGTCAACAATGGAATAGGAACTTCTAAAAATACAGGAGCATCTAAAATATGTGAAAAAAAGCAAATTGTATGAATGTAAGAAAAAATGTTTCCCACTACAAAAAAAACTCACTTTACACATAGATACAAATTAAAATCATATTACATTGTTAAATGTAGGATTTATAGTTATGTTATATTATCGTCAAAAAGTTCAATAGAGGAAAAAATGCAGTTGCTTGAGTTATTGAAGAGTTTATCCATCTAGCTGACGAAACCCAAATAGAACGAAACGCGTCCTGGATCCCATTGCTAACCACTATCCATCTTTACTTAAAAAGCTTATGACTTAAGGCTATATCGAGGCAATCCCCACAGGATTAATATATGCCAACACGAGACTGATCAATTGAGGTCCTATATAACATTGAGAAGATACAAGTAAAACAACACCAAGTGAATTTTATACTTGTTTATGTTCATTTAACAATCTACCAAAATATATTTTATACCTTGCTTATTTCAGTTAGAAGTCACTTGGGATTAAACTATCACACTTTCAACTAATAGAAAAGTTATAAAAATCAGATTAATAATTTGTTAATAGCAGTTTTAATTCACAAAGTAAAAAATAAAGCTTATTTGATTCCGTACAACCGACTATACGTTTTAGCCGAGTTGTGATACTATCTCCGGAATTCAATCAATTCAACCATTAGTCATATATTTTACGGATTATTACAGATTTCTTGATATGATTACATTGAAGTATTCCTCTATCTTAACTTATCTCAAGGTTAAATATTTTCAATATACAGCGCACTTAATTGTTTAAAACAAACTAAGTGGATTAGTTTACTTTGTTCTGTGACGAAATTTCATATTAACAATCATTTAAATTAGAGATTATCCCTAATAAACAAAGTTCATGATTAATTTCATTCAATGAAATGTTCCCGATTTGTTATCTTGGTTATCAGTAATCATAAACAAGGGATTGATTTGAAATTTATTGTTACTGTCTTACAAATCAGTTCAAATTAATATGTCCTCAATTTAAAAAAAAATATTCTTATACTTACCTGCCATTTTTACAATAAATTCCTTTTCACTAGTACCCAATATATGTACCGCTTTACAAATGTATGAACCAAAATCATTTTCACTTAAACCATTCAAATGTAATACAGCTGTATCTCCAGATTTGGATACTGTACTATAGAATTTCTGATTTAAAGTTGGATAAATAGTATTTACTAAAATAGAATGTGAAATATAGTTAGTTTATTATTAGTAGTATTATTCTAATGATTATTCAAACACTTAGTGTTTATCACTCATAAATCCCACTTTTAATCAAAACAAATAAGACTTTTAAATATTAGAAATTTTTTAAAGCAAAGCTTATGACTTAAAGCTATATCGAGGCATTCCTCACAGGATGCATATATGCTAACAAGAGATTGATCAATTGCAGTCTTAAATAACAATTGGAAGATACAAGTAAAACAATACCAAGTGAATTAAACTTCACCCTATTGCGCAAGCAGGTGGCTATTAGGATTCAGTAGCTAAGTGGACAATGTGATGTTGTTTGAAGCAAACTGTACTTGGTTCGAGTCCCGGAGTGAACATCAACTATGGGATGAAAGTATATCAAGCTGACGAGTTGCAAATAGGATGAAACGCGCATCAAACTGGATTCCACTGCTAACCACTATCCATCGTTGCTTAAAAAAGCTTGTGACTTAAGGCTATATCGTGGCAATCCCCACAGGATTAACACATGCCAACATGAGACTGATCAATTGAAGTCCTATATAACAATGAGAAGATACAAGTAAAATAACACTATGTGAATTTATTAGAAATTTTCTTCTAAATTATATATTTTCTTTCATGTACATCAACAAATATACTGTAATTTATACTACTGAGTTCATTATACACTATGAATTTTAATGAAATATTTTAAAGCATATATTAACAAGTGTCTGATGATTATGATGGAGTTTTGTTCTTTAAGCTAGATGGTTTGATCCTAGAGTTTTCATTGTACTTCTGGACGACATCATCAGCAAACGCTTCGGGTAGAAGTTTAATAGTTTATCTCCCTTCATATTCCTGTGTAGTTAATACGATGTATTGATTGAAAAAATAAAGAAGTAACCAATAAACTAGATTACACTATTTTAGAGTTCTGTTTCATTATTATCAAAAATATAAAGGTGGTTTTTCAAATAAAAACCTCAAATTTAACACTTTGTATTCGTCTTTATTTAACTAAAATCTCAATGAAAGATATAGAATATTGGAAGATCATAGTTACAGATAACTTGATGATTGTCAATAATCATATGATATTTGCAGAGCTCATTAAATACATTTTATTTCTTGGATAAATATAATATGTGTTAGCCTTTTCTTTTAAAATGATATCGTTCCTATTTTGGTATGGAATAAAACAGAATTTCATGTCAATCAATATGTATAACTGTGTGATTTCGTTTTCTTTTTTGTATTCATAAAACAAATAAATTTGTAGTGTAGTTGACAACAAATCTCCCAATATCTTTCTGTTTGTCATCATTTTATGGGTATATTTGTTTACTTGTTTTCCATCAGTAACAGTGATCAGTTGAAAATCTTATAAATGAACAGAAATTTCACTTCAGGTGAAAAAAGTATAAAAAGATATCATCTATATTTCTTTCTTTACTAAGTTATGATTCATTAGATGAACCATATATATATATATATATATATATATATATATATATATATATATATATATATAACACTTATCTTTCTAACTTCAGTTTATTAATCTTAAGTATTTTTTTTCTGATGTTCATAAGATGAAGAGAGTTGGTACATATTTTACATAAATATTCATTCTATGAACTAGAACATTAAACTAAATAAATTCACTTGGTGTTGTTTTACATGTATCTTCCCATTGTTATTTAGAACTGCAGTTGATCAGTCTCATGTTGACATATGTGGATTGCACAAACAGGTGGCTATCAAGACTCAGTAGCTAAATGGATATCGCGATGGCGTTTGAAGCAAACGGTACTGGGTTCTAGTCCTAGAGTGAACATCAACTGTGAGATGCAGGTACATCCAGCTAACGAGTTCCAAGTAAGACGAAACGATTGTCCTGGATTCCACTGCTAACCACTATCCATCTTTGCTTAATTTAACTGAGTAGTTGTTGTTGTCACACTGTGTAATGACATGAGCACTAATTATGGCTAGTAGTAAACTTCATAGAATTATTTCATGACTAGTTAAAATAGTTTGTAGAATTCTACATGCAATTTTATTTAGGATAAATATAAATGTAAAGTAGTACTGATAATAATGATAATATGTTAACATACCATTTGTATCTAGCAATTTACCATCGAAATACCAATTGAAACGTGTTTCATTTTCAGCATTAACAGGACTAAATGTACATTTTAATTCTAACTGACCATAAATTGGTGCATAAATCACACTTGTTTCTGGATCAGTAAATGATGGTGAAGCTATAAGAGATTAAACAATACTGTTCTTTTTTGAATCAAAAATCTGAAATATAATAATTGTATTTTCTAGTACCTAGACACTTTGATTTGTTCAAAAGCATCTCGGGATGATTTTTGTATTCTCTATACGTACTACTGTAAGATACTCTATCAATGTCTCATAGTATATCATTTATTTAGTGATAAGTACATGAAATCTTTGTAACACTATTTAAAGATGACGTAAAGAAGCCATGAAGTAATATAAACTTTATTTTGTGAATTTAACTATTTTTGATGTATCAAAAAGGGATTTTGTTGATATTATAGTAAATTTAATAGTTGAGATCATGAGTCAATCAAAACTAGAACACCATGGAAAACCTGAAAGCACTGAACAGTCGTTTCGTCCCATTTGATGTGCATGAATTTATCATGCATATTCGTCAAATTGTATGGAAAAACCATCTTGATAATTATGTTGTGTATCACATGTGAGACTGATATTAAAAATTGAGGTATCTCACTTCATTGCTAATTGATTATAGTTCTAATTGTAGATACTGGATTTTAACTTACTGGGTTAAAGTTGTAGTGCTTCCTTTCCGATTTGAAGAGTATGGGTTCTACACAGTTTGAGGTCATGAATTTACAGTTCAGAGTAGTACCGAATTAAAATTAGATAGCCTCTCGGTGTTTTCTAATTTTTAAAAGTTTTAAAGTATCGAAAATTTAATGGAGACATATGACCAAATATAATTGTTTTTCAGTGGATTTTCATCGGACTTCACTCTAATATATCTTAATGTTTACGTGCTTGTATGAAAAGTATTAAACCAATCAAAAAAATTTACGAGACAGTGGTAACAGTGAAAGAGGACAACATGACTAAACATAATAAGTAAATTGAAAGAAACTGATAGCAGCTGACAGGTAAAGTAATAAACATAGGATTAATAAACATTCTGATGACATGAACAATTCTGCTGACATATAGAGTAGGTCGGAGATAGAAAAACTCAGTTTCTTAAGATAATAAGTATTAAAAATAACTCTGTAAACAATAAAACCAAACATTTAAGTAGTATGAAAGAGGTATGCAAGAGTTTAAGACAAGAAACAAACAAATTGCTAAATTATTCTGACGAGCTTCAAGTAAAATGAAACGCGAGCTATGGATCCCATTGCTAACTACCATCTAACTTATAAAAATATATGTGACTTAATGGGGATATCGAGGCGATCCACTTAGAATGAACATATGGTCAAAGAGAAATATTTAAAAAACCATAATGAATGATTTAAACTGGTATTAAGAATTTGAAAAACTATTCACGAACTCTTATTCTATTAAGGGAGAGTTTTTAAATATAAAGAATATAGTTTTTTGCTCGAAACCTTATGACTTGTGTTATATGTATGAGATGAGATCAAATCCTATTGAAAAAAAACTTAAAATTATATAATAAACCGTTCTGAGTATTTTAGTCTGATCTAATGAATAATTACCATAGACAAAATTTGATCAAATGAAGCTGTGTATTAGTTTTGTCAAAGCTTTCTTACATGAGTTACACTAATGGTAAAAGAATTTACTTTCTAATCGATGAATATTGATTTAATCGTCAAATAGAGACGAATTAATATATTTAGTATAGTGAAATAATTGAATTAATCACACTAATAAGTCACTTTGTTATATAATGAAGTTTATTTGTAATGAGAAATTAAGGAGTAGAGGTGTGACGCAAGGAATATAATCCGAAATCAGACTATTTAATAACACAATCCTAATGTTTTTTTTAATAGTTGAATTCATGAGTCAATTGAAGATAGACCACTATGGAAAACCTTGAAGGACGGACGGCAGTTTCGTTCTATTATGAGGCTCATTAGCAGTGAGCATCCACGATCCCACCGGACAGTGTCGCAACTTCGTGAATCGGTTGAATTTAAACATTAACACCGTTGGGTGCCGACTTAGTGGTTTAGTAGCTAAGCGCTCGCGCGCGAGACTGATAGGCTCTGAGTTCAAATCTCGCGAGGTGAGATAGTGGATGCGCACACTGCTGAGGAGTCCCATACTAAAACGAAATGGCCGTCCAGTGCTTTCAGGTTGACCATGGTGGTCTAGATTCAATTGACTCATGAATTCAACTATTAAAATCACTATAATATCCATAAAATCCCTCTCTGATTGAGATCCTAATGATTTAAATAAAGTCTTTTTATGTCGTGAAAAAAACGATTACATCACACTGCTTATTAGCTTCGTTTAGATGAAGTACATATCCAAAGTAAACCATGAGTTCATAAATACTAAATTATCTTTTTTCATCGAATGTAATCTTCTTTTATCAAAGAAGGAGCAAATCTTTTAAGTATTTGCTTTACGTATATTTTAATTGATGATACTCGATTTCGTACAGTCGTTATTAATGAAACAACTTTAATTCATATAGTCATGGTCGTTTTATCATGATGACATTATGAATTGTAAATAGACGGCACTGAATAGTATTACCCCGACTATATTTCCTCAATAAAATAATTTGAATATATTATGATAAATATAAGCAAATCAGGGTATTATTTGTTTTTACAATAGACAATTTATGGGAGATAGTTGAATTTCACAGCTTACATCATGAACTAATCTTAGTTAGATAACCGTTAAAAACCAGGAAGGAATAAATAGCTATTTTATCTTAGTAGTACTTGTGTACAACCACTTTAGGGATTGAACTCTGAACACGCAGGTCTCGCAGCAAGCGCTTAAACTTATTATTACTGATCTGGCACCCAATGATTTAAGTTTATAGTTTCAACCAATTCGTCATATTTTGTAACTATATTTCAAAGCCATTAGTACGTGACTGCCATATATACTCAATACTGAAATAGACAGAAATCAACTTGAAACCGTTTCAAAATTAAGATAAAAGCGAACTACATTTATTGCATAGCGTTTTCTGAAAAGAAGGTCATTATCTCAACTTCATGAACTTATATAACAGTATGGGAAATAGTAACGGCTGATAACAAAGACATAAAGACAGAATAGCAATTTAGGAATTATTATAGTAGTATTTGGATTATATATGCTACTCAAATTGTCCTTTTTTTATTGAATTATGATTCATGTGTTACAAATAAAAAGACATAAAATGACTTATCAAGTTTAAATATTTTACTGGAATGAACAGAAAATAAAGCTAAAATTTAATACTTGAGCAAAACACTTTTGACTGCTAGTGTTTTATTGCGAATGTAAGCACTCTCTCTAACGTGCTTCAGACTGATCAAGAAAGTAAATCATCAAAGCATTGCATAGTAATGTCCCTTCATACTTAATAGATACCGGATTTATAAAATGGACCAAGCGTTTTCAGTGCTATATCAAGTCTCATATGATCTATTATTAGGACTGAGATTATCTCTCCTCTTCTTAAGAGGAGTCATCGAGAATAATAGGATGAAACCGAAGCAAAAGAGGTTTATTCAGCCCCATTATTTCTCTTGGTTCACAATTGGTTTACTTCATACCAAAGAAGCATAATATAAAACCTTTCTACCAATACTTCTGTATGTTTATTTCTATCTTCCCTCCATTTTGACGAAATTCCTAATTCAGATTATTTCCGTATAACCATTATCATAGCTAACACGATATAAGGTTCTTCAGATTATGTATTACTCTATTGATTATAATTAACGACCATACAATAATTTTTATCGCCTCCTTAGCCATACAACAATCTAACTACACTCATAATACATTCTGTAAAGACGTCAGAGTACTTTATGGAAAAAGAGAACAACGGAGACTTATAATCAGCGCAACTAACTACAGACTATTGAGTTTTTTGACTAGTTAGTTGGTTTTCTCGAATAATGTAAGTTGGAGTAATTAAAATAAGTTTCAGTTTCATACAGAAGATACATTTTCACTGAGCTGTAAATAGGCCACTAACCTTAGAACCTAAAACAAGTACATCAAACAGGTTTTAAACAATACAGAATTTAAAGTTCTTAGGCCAAGAGGCACAAAAAGACAGAACTCTAAAACATTGTCAATTAATGACACTTTACACTGTATAGAAAGGACTGTATAGAAAAGACTAAACACATTCAAAACGATTACGTAACTACTCATATCAGCAACGGTAATAATTGTTGAAGAAATGATCAGAACTATGTGTTTCAAAAGTAAGTGATCTACAAAATATTTAAATATATCAATAATATTCTACTTTGGACAAACAGTTTCCAACATTTCGGTTAACATACATATGTACATATTTGAAAACTAGTCGATAATTACATGTTTTCCCTGAAATAAGATTTGACTGAAACATACAAGCAAGTATGTTTTACTATCGTGAGTTTTTATAATGTATTAAACAACTGTTTCCTTTTCTTTCGAAACCACTTCTTCAGTCTTGATAAAAAATAATCTATAAAGTGATTTTTAGACATAGGTTACACTTTAATATCCATTGTATCCTTTGATGTCTCTTTATAAATGTTATTGTTATTATTGGCATATACTGTACAATGTAAAACAGTTATTCAGTTATATATTTCAAAGCAAATATTATGCTATTTATTAGATACTTATTTTAGATTGAAATGTAGAAAAAACGTATTTTCAAAAACATTATTATTTATTATTAAGGTAAGCAATGGTTTAACATTGAAAACACTATTTGTGTTCATATTTGTTACTTGTTTATATCCTTATATATCTACTGTAGTTAAAAGATTCTCATCAGAACTTAGTATACACAGATTGGAAAGTGTCAATTAATGACAATACTCTTTATTTGGTCGCAAGCACAAACTGAGGTGAGATGATTGAGGTCTCAAAAAACACTGTATTGTTTCTCTAGTCACTATGCATTATACTTGTGGTAGCTACCTGCTTGAATATCTGGGCTACCTATCCCTGCCATCTAGATATTTCAACAATTTATCTGTTTTCTTTTTTGTTTTAACACACTATTCAGGCGCGTTTATGAAAAGTTTACGACATTTCGCTGTACATTTTACGAAAAGGTACAATCAGCGACATCATGTTGGCTGGTAACATACATTGAAGAGAACGAACATCATTCAGATGTCGATCCCCTAACTACTAACATATAACTGGTGATCGCTTAACATTTATCGTCAGGATCGATCAAGAAATAAGAAAAAAATCTTATTGAAATACTTTGCGCTGAGAATTCTATATTGTACAAAAAATATAATATTGAATAAAGCTAATAATGACGATAATAATAAAAATAATAATAATATTATAAATTAACTACTTTTATGGAAATTTTAAACCGGTTTTACAAGTGGAACCTACTGTACCTAGTGCTAGGAATTCAATCAAAAATTATTTGATCTCACCGTTTTCCTTACGGGATCAACATGGTTAAAAAACAAGCACTTTGGCAGCTTTCACTTAAAATAAAAGTTTTCATTGTTGATAAGGTGAGGGTACGATAACATAAAGAAATGTAATTCTGTTATGCAAGATAAACATTACATTTACTAGTTAAACAATTGGCTATATGATGAGACCATATAAATAGAGGAGTATTGGCTCCTAAATGAATGGTATTGTGATTTCGTGTTTACCATAAAGTCTGAATGTTTTGACTTTATTCTGGTATACAAGAATAGGTGAGGATTGCTAAGGATTGTGAAATTAACAGGAAACTCTTGTCTATATTTATTTGATTTTGATTGATTTTCCATTCATTGTTATACAGAATGAACACTTTCTTTAAACTGACCTTATCTCCACAAATAATTCAACTGAACCGGTATGAAGTTTTTAAATCAATAATAAAACCTAGTTCATCAGATCGCATTAATGTAAATTAAATTTCAGTGATTTTTATGGTATATTCGAGTCAGGAATTCATTTCACTGTTATGACACTTGCTTGATAGAAGTCATTTGTTTGGAAACAAAAGCCTAAAATTCTCAATTTTTGAAGATTACCGTTTGAACACTTTTCAAAATTATTAACCCATAATTTGAATATCTTGAGGCAAACTTTCCTGATTTCAGAAATTGAACATCTTTTAAAATTTATTTCACAAAAAATCGTTTATGTTAAAAGTGTAATTAAAAAAACTAATCAAAGTGAGATAAATAAACACAGTCATTAAATGAATTAACTCACTAGGTGTAGGCTCATGTATCACTCCAACGGATGCTGATGCATATCGGCTATGTTCTTTTTTTCATTCCACAGATTTAGGAAAGATGAAAGAAAGAAAGAAATGATTATCGAAACAATTAACATTTGTAAAATAATTGATATTGTTCATTAAAATAAATACTTAAAGAGTTTGTAGGTATTAGTACCAAGGTTGGATTCGATACTTTCGAATGAATTGTGTATTGGGTAGAAAGTTAATTCTTTAAATTATTAACTTTCTAATCAAATATGATAAATCAAATTGTTTATATCATTATTACTATTATTATCATTATTGTTATTCTTAATATTTCTATTCATTTCTTTGAATTTCACCTTTTGTACTTTCTTAGATTATTGAGTTTTAACTTACTTGCAGTAAAATCAGCCATTTTTCGTACAGGTTGACTTGGTGTACCACGACCATATTCGGTAACAGCAACAATACGTAACCAATATTCTTGTTCGGGATTTAAATGTTCCAGTGATAAACGGTTACGTTTTAAACCAGATGCAAGAACTCTCCATATGTTTTCACTATTTGTGCTTTTAGATTTTTCAGAGTTCTTGCCCACATCATTAGTTTCACGATTTACTGACTTCTCTACAGCTTTAATTTGTACTTCAAATGTGTATGGAGTAAATGTCCTGTTTAAAGTATACGATTTTGGTATTTGCCATACAAGTTCTGGTGCAACTCTACCAATTAAAATATCTGATGGTGACTCAATAGATGGTCGCATAAACGTCAGATCAGGGATAACTAAAATTTAGAACAAAGAAAGTTTCTAATGATCAATATCTGTCTTCCATAGGTGAACGAAGAATAAATGGGTTAACATTAAGAGAAAACACACAGGAAATTCTAGGAATTCACTTAGTTGTGATAGTGGTTTGTAACTTCCTATTGTCCATATTCAGAACTGCAATCGATCAGTCTTTTTTGCTATGGTCATCATGAGTGAACTACCTTGATAAATCTTTATACCGCAAGTTTTAGTATGTTTGATGTGTGACCAGCAGTAGAAGACATAAGTTTTTTCTGTTTGGGTCCTGCGAGCTGATACTTGACACTTTTTACTTCAGATACTCGATGTGTTATCTGTTAAGTTATTGAGTGCAGGGTTCTAACTGCTGTAATTGGGTGATCGATTGAGTTAAATCTATGTCACCATTGTTGCATCCGGATAGCCACTGTTATATCCGATGATTTGACTTTGTTATGTACACATCATGTATGTTGAATTAGCAGTCTTACTGCTTTCACCTAAAAATCGAGAATAACTGAATTTCTTCGGTCGTAATACTGGGAAACGGAAACCACTGCAGTTCGTACGACACAAAGTCACATTAAAAAGAGCACTGAAGGAGTTCACAACTGCCATATATAACAAAATCTATACTGAAATGATATAACAAGTATTGGCTCAAATAATATCATTTTCTTATCCAATTATATCATCTAAATAATAATTAACTTGGTCAAAGTATATGAAGGTACTAATTGTAATAATTTGATTTTAATGAAAGACATTGTATTGGTAGGCATTCAGCTTTTCATAAGTGATTCAATTCTGAACTGACGTACATTAATACTACTTGCCTTTAATCGAAGTAATATAATTTACCTAGTAACACCATTATATAGATTTACTAATATGAAGTAATGTACTTCATTAAATTATTGTGTCGTTCATTTTGAAGAAATTGTGAACAGCCATTTAGATCCTTAGAAATCATGTACTTCATACCATTTGAACGATGAAAGTAGTATAAAATTTCACATTAAACTCTATAAATAAAATCAGAATGAGTAGTAATATGACGTTTTGGTAAGGCTGAATGAATTTTCACTGACAAGTTAATTTTATTATAACATTTTACAGAAGTAGAATTAATCTAATATTACTTACTAACTTGTGGTGATATAAATACATTTCTAGTTGGATGTCCAATGCCAAATTGATTCGATGGTAGAATACGAACATGATAACCAATCAATGGATTTGGTTGGATCCATGTCCATTGGTTTGTATCTAGATTAGAAGCTATTGTTGTCCATTCAATTGAACCTTCATGTTGAATCTAAATTATAAATTAGTTTAAATTAAAGGATTAAACAAAAGTTTAATGAAAACAGGGGAATGAAAAAATTGTGAATAACTTCAAGGTAATCATCATTTTTTAATTAAATAAATAAATTAGATATGAATTTATATGAAAATGGTTAACACCATAGAATGAAGTCTGATGGGAGTAACCATTGAAAACCAGAAAGTATCGACCTGTTGTTTTCCCTTAGTTTGGAACTTCTCAGTAGTGCGTTTAACGATTCGTGATTTATCTGAATTTGAAATTATGAATTATCCAAGTTAAATTATGTAATGCCAAGTTAGTGGGCTTCACTGTAATGCCTAACTGAGTCTTGGGTGCTTTCTCTTGAAGAGTTTAAAACCGAGGTCAAATAGTTACCGAATATTTCCTAGTTTTTGTTTTGCATATATTTTACCCAACACTGATTATTGTGTGAGGTGAGACATTTTCATATAATGACATTAGTTAATCTTATTATTAAATTCACTCTTATATCAGATAAAAACATTTAAAAATACATCTTACCTTCATTCAACAGAATAATGACCAAGTAATAGATTTAAAACTAAGCACTAAATATGTTGCATGAACAACGATAACAGTAACAAAGGTATTGGTATTAACTACCTACTTTGTTGACTCAAAATTAACCTTAACATGATTAAAACTAAATTTTCACAAACTGTTGTATCCTCATCGCTTATTATTATACTTGAAAGAACAAGGTAACAATGAAATTCTCACAACGCAAAGTAAGAACACCAAGACTAGTACAGGTGAAGATTTATTAAACCTAAAACATGACAACGATCGTAGTGGAAAATACACTCATTTACATATTGATTGGATACTCATTTTGATTATTAATTAAGATAAGATGAACATATATAGAAAATACCCGGAATTGTAATAAAATCACATGCTGTCTATCATGATGGGCATAAACCGAATGAATTTTTTACAAGAATATCGTATCATGAAATGATACCACACTCGAAAAAATTAATATTATAACACATGAAAACAAAACAAATATTACTGTGAATAATCATGATATAGAGTTAAAAACGGTGAGACTATAATCTATGGACGAGCCAATCCGAAACCAGTGAGCGATTTCAAGGTCACGGAGTCTATTTCAATACTCAATGCTGACATACTATCAGTTTACAGCGGATTTCAAATAAAACGCCATAGTTGAGCGGCTAAAACAGATGGGATTACTAAGAAGTTCCTTTATTTGTGACTGCGGTGTTCAAATGACTGCTGGACATTGTGTGGACTATCATGACGATGTTGTATTTCGATGTAATACATATTGGAGGAAAAGTCTGCTAAAACGGGGGCTTTTCCTCTGGATCCCGATCGACGTCAAGACAGATTATCATAATTTTTGCAAACTTGATAATAAAAGCACCAGTAACGGTGGCTGCAACCTTTGCAGCTGTTACTAAAGCTGGTAAGAGTACTGTTGAGATATATGTGCAATATAAATGATAAGCTCGCAACAGTCGTTTGGAAAAATGGGGAGAATCGTAGAAAATAACGAACCGGTTGTTAGAAAATACATAGTCATTGGAAGAAGAATTGTTAAAGAAAACATGGTAAGGAGCCCTTCATTTGATAGTCTTACCAGGTTCTTAGTATATATGATACATCATTACAAAACGGAAGCTTTCAGCGCGTGAGCAGCCGACAAGCTACAAATGCTATACCAATTATACTAGAGTATGTGCAGCCTGGTATTATAATATAAACGGATGACTGGAGAGTATATAGATGCCTATCTATACTTGGTTAGGTGAATCGCCTACAAGCGATATTTTGTAGACCCCACTACGCGAGTACACTCTAATGATATAGAAGCGATGCGGTCGAAGCTAAAAGAATTTTTGCGACCATATCATGGTTCCAGATGTCATTTATTATGGAGTCACATGGATATTTTCCTGTATCGTATGCATTACGATTTCAGAACTGTGGAGCCACTTTCTAACCTCGTAAAGTTAAGGTGAGACTATAATTTATGGACGACATTTTAGAGATGCTCTAGTGACCTTCGGAATGTCCACCTGTTAACTAGAACTAAATGAGGATTATAAACTAGTGTAAGGAATTCTAATTATGTTTTATAGTTGATGGTTAGTACTAGGAATTAGATTTAGGGTTTTTATTACGAACAGATGTCAGCTAGAACGTCAAGACGCTGTTTAGTCAAATGAATGAATTTCGCGCTAAAATCCAAGACCTGTTATCCTAAATCTGATTAGTTTGTCCAAAAATTATAGTCTCACCGTTTTTAAAACATGTTAAAGAATCAATTCACTTTGTATTGTTTTACTTGGATCTTCCCATTGATGTTTAGGACTGAAATTGATCAGTCTCTTAATGGCATATGTGCATACGGTGCGAATGGTACTAGGTTCGAGTCCCAGGGTGAACATCAATTCTGAGATGCAGGTACATTCATCTGACGAGTCCCAAATAGGACGAAACGCGCTTCCTGGATTCGAATGCTAGCCGTTATCCATCTTTGCTTATAATGCTTGTAAATTGAGGCAATATCAAGGCAATACGCACAGTATGCACATATGCCAATAACAGACTGATTAATTGCAGTCTTAAACCTCAACGGGAAGATACAAGCCAAACAATACCAAGTGAATATAATTCACCCCATTGCACAAGCAAGTGGCTATCAGGACTCAGTAGCTGAGTGGATAGATAACGCGATGGCGTTTGAAGCGAACGGTACTGGGTTCGAGTCCCAGAGTGGACAACAACTCAGAGATGCAGGTACATCCAGCTGACGAGTCCCAAATAGGATGAAATGCGCGTCCTGGATTCTACTGCTAACCGCTATCCTTCTTTGCTTATAATGTTAAAGAATTGATTCACTCTAATTTTTTGGTTTTGTATAATATATTTTTACTCTGTACTGACTATTTCCTGATTGGTCGAAATTTCTCAGGGTCACTTATGATTCGTTCAAAGGACGTCCGTAAATTATAATCTTACCGATATTAGTTAACAAGAGAAATCAATCACAACAATATGGAAAATGACTTGTACAGTGTATATATGAATGTGTTTGATAAATATTAGAAAAATTTATGATTGGATTTTGTTCAGTGTTCTTATTTTTGGTTTGATACAGTGATAAATGTTTACTGTTTATCTAACAAAATCACACTGTATTGAATGGTAAGTGTTCTAAATAACTGACAATCCATTAGTTTTGGAATTGTTTTGATACTTACCATGAATGTTTTAAAATTAACTAGGTAAAAGATAGGTAAGTATGTGATTTATGTAATTTTCAAGGTGTTAGATAGTCAGAAGTGATTCACAAGAAGGCCTGAAGCTAGTTTTTGTTCTATCTTTCACTTGCCAAGAAAATATATCTGTAATGTCGAGGAAGCTGATGCTTTCCGTAGGATTCAAACCTACTTTACTGCATATTACAGTAAAAGACTATATTACTGAGCGATTTGTGTTAGGATCTAGATATTCCATCTGGTTGTCTACTTAGCAACAACCATCGTCATACTGTTTAGTCGTTTAGATTAAAAAAAGTTTACTAGTCTAATTGACTCGGACTAATTGAAACTGCTTTGAATCATCTAACATCATATTAAGTACGCGTGTCACTTGAACTAGTCTTTATAGTACAATTTGATTGATAGGATCTGACCAACATTATAGAATATACAACATGATACAGGTTACTCATATTTGGCTTATTAGTACAAATTTAAAGGAGCTCAATGTAATTGAACATATTTCGTATGAACTAATAAGTGGACTTAATTTTTATTTTCTGAACACTATCTTTTCATGAGTAACATCACGAGGAAGCATATAATGAATAAATCATAGATAAATAAATATTTTGAATGAGTTTAGTGATAGTAAACTGAGAACTCGTTAACCAATACATTGATAAGTTCCGATATTTAGTCGAATATAACAATCCCAATAGATTATAAACGGTATTCTAATGATCAAACATGCGAATTTATGTTTTCAGCAATAAATCTATGCAGAAAAGTTGGTGGAAGTATGTTCTCATTTTCTAAGCATGTATTTGACTCAAACTACTCTGTAAGCAACTGAAAACAAGGATTGTCCAGGACAGAGTTGGATGAAGAATGCTGGTGAGCATATAAATAATATCGAGCTATTTGATTTTATGTATATTTGTAGTCAACTACATGTTGCAGTATATGTATACATAGTTTTGTATTTGCGTTGACCTATATATTCGACAGTGTGGTGGTGAATCCTAGAAGGATTCCGATAATGTTGAGATGTCTAACGTTATTGGTCAACGATCGTTTGAGGAAAAGGAGTAATTTAATTATTTTTAATTAGTTACAGGGTTAAAAATGTTAAATCCAAATTATATAGCGAAATTATATTAGGATTTAGAGAATTCTGCAGCATTTTGACATTGCATTAAATTCATACCACTAGTATTTACACTAAGAATTAATAAAACTTTAACATTCGTTAAAAAAACACTGAACAGCTTCTTCGTCCTTGGACGACTCCTTGTACTAGTGGGTATCATATGCTCACTGATAACTAATTTTGAGAGGTAATTCCCGTGGTTTTAGTGAGAAGTAGTGACCAGTAGGGTTCAACCATATTAAGAGTGTGGCAGTTATCAAATAATGACATTAGATGTTAATCGTTTAGTTTCACAAATTGACTGATGTTAAAACTACACACAGCTGGATTTTGACCCAAAGATCTTAGTTTCGAGTGCTCTCAGCGAGCCATGAAAGTTTTAAGTTCAGTTACTAGTGTTGTCAAGGCTATGTTCTGCTTAACATATCTGTGATACAAACAACAAAATTCAATAGTTTTCACAAAGGAACATTGAAAATAAAACTCATTATACAAATTTCCATATTACTTGAACTGCATAAGTAGTATCTTTTTGTAACACTTGTGGTATTGATAAATTCAAAATATGACTTGTATACAATGATTGTATATCAGGATCGTCCCATGATATCAAATATTCCTCAACTGATGTAACATTGAAATGTGGTTTAAAAGCTGAGAAATCTGGAACTAAGAAATCTGTTCGGTAATAAGAAAAAAATAGAATACAGGAATTTGAATGAATACAAAATGCACACGGAAAATAATTTTTGATTTGAAGTATTATATATGAGAATTCTACATATATTAACGAATACTAATAGGAATTTGAGTGCCTGAAATTAAATTCAGTTTAAAACGGATGTTAATATTGTGTTACTAATTCTAATGCACTTAAAGAATTAGAAAATAAAGGTATACTTACTGCAAACATACACGACTCACTTAGACCCATGGGATCGAACACACCGTGACTATATGGTTTACCCAAAGTTCACAAAACAAGTCTTCCTCTTCGCCCAGTTTTAGATATGTATAATTTGCCTTATCATAAAACTGTGAAGTGGCTAGTTCGAATCCTACACCCCTTACACAAACTAGTCGTCAACAGAAGCGTGAAAGACGTCTTCGACTTCATTTCTAAAGTGGAACATATGAACTTAAATGGGAAACGGATATCTCTAGATGTTGCTTCCCTGTTCACCAATGTACCTCTAACGGAGATTATTGGCTTCGAGTGCCAACAACTACAGGCAAAACAAATCAATATTAAAATTACTGAGGTTAGTCTCAAAGAATTACTTTGAAATGTACAATGAATGTCCATTTTATCTTTAATAACACATAATATAGACAAATTGATGGTATAGCGATGGGTTCACCTCTAGGTCCTATCCTTGCGGATTATTTTTTTGTGAGACTAGAAAATGAACGTCTCAAAGTGGTTATCAATAAGCTCGACTTTTACTGTCGTTACGTTGATGACACTTTCATCATTGTCGATCAGAACATTAGAAAAGAAAAACTATTTAACAACAAACATCCAGCAATTAAATTTACATGTGAAGAGGAAATAGATAATAAACTATATTACCTTGACGTTTTGTTAAATAGAAAAGAAAATGGTTCTATCCGCAGAAGTGTGTATAGAAAAAGTTCTTCATAAAGCCAATACACACATTTCTTAAGCTTTGTACCTGTTCATTATAAGAGAAACTTAGTTAAATATCTGGCAAATAGAGCTGTTAAGATATGCTCAGTCGACACAACTGATAAGGAACTAGAGCTCATTCATATGTTGATTGAAATGGGATATCTACAGGGTTTCCTGAAGAAACACTTGCGTGTAACAAATAAGAGAATAACAACATCAACGGCTAGTAAGAAACCTCTTTTCTTGAAGCTGGAATTCAATGGAGATGTAGCTGGTGATGTATTACGTGATAAACTGACTAGAGCAGTGAAGAGAATGTTTAATGCTACCAACCTCTGTCTATCGTATTCGACCTGATCTATGGTGAATCCCCAACTAAAGGATAAGTCACCACTTCTATGTGTATCTACGAATTCTATATGTACAAAACACAGTGAACTGTTTTATTCGTTATCAAAAAGTACTCACAACAGATCAAGTTTATGCCCGAATACACAGTAAAAAATCTAAAACCTAGTCATCTACTGAGATATTTATTTTTAAAAGATTGTAAAGCTTAGTTAAAAGTTAGTTCAGAATATCATTCTAAAGCATATTTAAATTTTAAATTGATGTTTTAAAAATGAGAAATCTTGTGTTTCAATACCGTTTATGATCGTGACTTTTCACTATTGATTAGTTTCAAACCATGAGGTTAGAACTTACTTTTACTTCCTAGTTTCCAAAAATTCTTTGATTGATTTCATTTTACAATAAAAACATTATTTTAAATCTATTAAACTATTCTGAATATTGTCAGAATGGGAATTTGTGGAGATGGTAGTAATTTTTTAATAGTTGAACTCATGAGTCGACCTAAGCTAGACCATTATTAGAAACATGGAAGCACTGGATGGTCATTCAATGGTGATCTAACTTAGATCGACTCATGAGTTCAACTATTAAAAAATATTTTGAATATATCTAATACTCATCAAAACAAAATAACTGGAAAACTACCAACTTCTTGTGTTTATCATCCTCAGCCATACTCCAATCGCTCTATATGCAAATAAGAAATTACTCAAAACTAAAAATAGAAATATACTTATAAAATTAACTTACCTGTTTTGATACTAATATTGATAGGTCGACTAGGTTTAGTTTGTTGACCATCCACATTTGCAATTATTCTACAAGCGATTTCTTTATCTAAATAGTCAAAATTTGATAGTATGATTTTGTTATGTAGATTTCCATCGATTTGTTCTCTGATAGGATACCAATCACCAGCATAACCATCTCGTCTTTCAATTGAAAATTTTACACGTTCACATATTTCAGCCGATTCATCTGTATCTAAATGTCTTGTTACGTTGCTTGACTGATTTGGATTTCTTCGAAATCCTAATGCATCAATTACTGTATCACCTAAACGCCAACGCAATTGTATTGTATTTGATCCAAGTATTAGAAAACGAAAATCCTCAATACATCTATGATTGTAAGTAGAGACAGTAAAGAGTAAATTACGCTAGTGTATATGAATAAACCATTCATGTTCATAATGCGAATTCACACTGTAAACGTTTGACGAATTATCGGGTATATAGCCACAAATTAAAGTGAGAATACTAGGTGAAATTATCCCTATGGACACCTCAAAGAACTTTAGTGATGTGACCAACACAACTATTCTTGCTTCAAATAACAACCATCGACCATTAAACGCACACACAGACTGAAACTTCCAACCATTCAAAAATTAGTAATACAAGGAATAGAAAAAGATCAGTAACAACCTACTAAGGCAGAGAACCAACCAGCTTCCAACTGAAAAGGAAATTAGGAAAAGACGTTGAAGGTGGATAGGTGTTATATCTTGTGGCCGCCAATCAGAGAGCAGTGAATTATCGATCGGATCAAGGACGCGTCAAACACGTGCGAGTAGCCTAGAGTCCTGATAGGTCTCGCTTTCTGCATAGCCCAGCCAGTTAAGTCCAGAACACTAATCCGAGCCTCTGCGATTTGAATCATGTATTTCAAACATACTCGGTTTATATACCAAACAAGCAGACTACAATGTACCAAAAATAGAAAATAACATTTGTACAAAATTTGGCCAAATGTGGCTGTGAACGTGGGAGGTAGTGATTAATAAACAGGGAATAATTCAAGAATGGAAAATCGTATAATAACAGTTCATAGGTTAAAATAAAGCTTATGATAAGAGAGACATGAATATGAATAGTTTAATTACATAACAGTTATACGATAAAATTATACGTATAGTATTGGTCCACAAATGGATCCCAAAAATTACCACACATTATTCTTATCGGGGAACAACACACGTCCACTTTTTTAAAGATCCGGAGTTGATATCCGGATTTTAAATTTTCCGAGTTCATCCCCCCTCCCCACGAAACAGTGTTGGATCCTCACAAACCCAAGTTAATTTGACTTTATTTAGAACAAATTTGTCGCAGTGAACAGAGAATTGACTGAGAGTGACTAAGTGATGAGGGTAAACGACGCTTGATATGAAGTCATAGAAGTTTGATTCTTAGGAAATATTGCGATAAAATTTATTGGGAACATCACTAGTAGATAGTGTATCACTATGATAATCAGAGTGCATCAAAATTGCACCAGGTTCTTGTTTGTTATTTGATGCATATGACATATTTCCTGGCAAAACAAGGGAATCTCGATAATTAGATTCGTCAGGAACTTCTATCGCAGATTGATGAGCTTCATTTTGGTGCAGCTAAATTCAGTATACTGCTTGATTTGTTTTCTGTTTCGTGGGCGGTTACTGAGACAATTCCATGAACATTAAACAGGAAATCTTTTTGTGAGCCGAATACATCACTGTCTGTACATGCTGTTTCGGGGATGATGGAGTTTGAATCCATTACCGGGCATGTTTCTGGAATGGAAAGTACTGGACCACTGGGCGCATCATGGATGACTGTTTCGTTTGAAGTACAGTTCATCGAGGATTCATGGAGGCTGCTGTCATTTTCCAGCTCACTGTGTAATTGAGATATCAATCCATCCACTTCCGTCGCATCCTTAAAGCATGGGTGATTCAGCAGCTGCGTGCGCAATTTGACTAAGAACTCCAGATGTCGCTCAAATAGCAGCTGTAATCGGTAATGAAAATTACTGTATGACTAATGACCAATGTCGTTCAAGGACACTGATGACAAATCTGGATGCCGATTGCTCGAAATAATTAGACTGAATTTCGTCCAATTACAGACTGACTTGGGATCGTATTTTTTTACCCCGTCACCAATTGTTAAGTTTTGAAGCTATCACGAGTTCACTTAATCTACGAACGAGAAACAAGACTCGGTGACCAAAGATCAGTAAGCTAGCTATTGATGCTGCCCAGCCCCGCTATCTAGAGGGAGTAGTCCAAGCTTAGAATGGGAAGTATATTCTGCAACAGCCAGAAAACTAGAGAGCACAACAAACATAATTTAAAAACGTATATATACAAATATACATAATCGATATTGCCATGGAGCTTTTAAACATTTAGTCTATAAGTTAGTCAATCGACTGCCATTGAAATATTAAACATTTAATCGATAAGAATAGTTTAGTTAATTAACAATTATACGGTAAAAAAATACGTATAGTATTGGTTCACAAATGGATCCCAAAAATTACCACGCATTATTCTTATCGGGGCACAACAGTAGGACATACATCAAACTGCATCACGAGGAAAGCTCTAACTTGTAATCCTGATGGGAAGAGGAAAAGAGGAAGACCAAGGAGCACATTGCATCAGGAATTGAAATCAGACATCAAAAGAATAATTAGTACTTGAAATTGTTCAAAAGTGACGATCTTTCAACGTCTTATTGGTCAAGAAATTCTAGGTTATTCATAAGGTATATTCTAGATTACTTAAATAGAAGCTATGCATCTTCACTTTATATCCCATTCAGAGACAAATTATAGTATCCAAAATACATTTGAATTTTCTTTTTTGAAAAAAAGCTTAAATGTAGGGAACTTCGGTGTATAACCAGAAACTATATGTATTACAACCTGAGATAAATTTACTATTTCTGTAGTGTAGTTTTTATGACTATTTTATAGAATTAGCGGCTTAAACTTTTAAGCTAGTTGATCTTAGAGAATTCTCAAATAGAATTTATAACTGGTTTATAATTCCGAAATCCCATGGATTAAGTTACAATAAATTAATTGTATTCGAATGTGTCAATGTATCTATCAATTATTTATTGATAAAATGCCATATATTATACAACAATTTTAACCTATCTAGAATAAATAAAGGGGTAGTTAAGAAAGTAATCACACTGATCACAAGCCATCTAGCTAAAACGAACTGTAAAGTAAACAATCATGAAATATTTTTAAGAACATGTCTATATGTTAGGTAGGTGGAGTAGGTCCGGAATAACTATGTCATTTGAATCTTAACTGTAAAAGATGGGCTTACAGAACTCAGGTGCAAGATTACAGAGTGCATCCATAAAATATGAAAATCATACATCAAATACATCATTTGCACATCCATCAGTTGTCTCTTACAAACTTAATCGTTTCTTCATTCCCTTTGTTATTTCGATTACTTTCAGTTCTATTCTCTCCTCTTTTCATTTCAATCTTCTGCTAGCAGGCGTTTCACTTCCGATTGGTACTACATTTTACTTATATCTGTCAACGTAAGTAAAATACATTACATAATGATAGTTGGATTTCACGGTATACATCAATAAATGGCCTTATTTAGACATTTATTTAGAATCAGAAAGTACTGAGCACACTTCTATCGCCCTAGATAAGAATGATCAACAATGAATATCCACGATCCTACTTGGGACCAAAGGTGGAGCATTCAGGTCTCACATGGAGCTCATAATTTTTAGATCTAAGTGGTAGGTTCCGATGGTTTTCATTTTTAATTTTATTTTCCTAGTCATATTGTACGATCATCATTTATTGTCATACCGAGCGTGAGACACATACTACTTATGCCGATGGATGTTGATCGAGGAGTGTTGCGAATCGACTAAAACTAGAAGTTTAAATAACTGGATGCAAGCTCTTTAGTTTAGTGGTTAAACACATGCCATGAGACCCGAATATCCTGAGTTTGATACCCGGTAAGGTCCTTGATATACATTGGTAAGGAGCCTCACAATAGTGCGAAGTAAATGTTCAGTGCTTCCTGGTTTCCAGTGGTTGTTTAAGTAAGACCGATCCATAATGTACACCATGGAAGACAAATATAATTTTTCATTTATGAACTAGTAAACAGCTGAACTAATTTAAAATAGTTAGAAAAACTGAATAAACTAAACTTTAACTCACCTTTCTAAAGTTGTTAACAAAAGTGGAAGTTTGATTGGATAAGAACTTGAACTTGGACCTTCACCAAATTGGTTAACAGGTGTTATTCGATAAATAAGTTGTGAACCGGGTTCAGCTTTATGGTCATCTATTCTGTCTAATAATCCAGATACAAGACCAATCTGTCTCCAAGGTGCTAAGTCACTCAAGGTTGTACGAGCTTCTATTCTATAGTCGATTTGAGCGTGATTTTTAATCTGTCTTAGATAATCGTCATTCGATGGAAGTTCAAAGTTGGGAGGTTTCCAGGTGACACGAACTCCTGCAGAACCTGATGTTTCAACTGGGGGTATCAATTTTACCTCTATGTCTAATGGTGCTGGAGGGCAGATTTCATGTAACGCTGGTATACGAAGAATTTTATGGGTATCCAACCAATTTAAATTACCTTCTTTATCTTCTTGTAAACTAAGGATCCTAACAAATTGTTCTGTTTTACCTGGTTTCACATCAAGAACATGTTGTTCACCATGAATTAGATCATCTTCTCTACAAACTACTGTCCAGTTAGACATATCAGGTGAGGAATTACTGTCAACGTCACTTGAAGTTTTACGTTGAATTCGATAGCGACCATGTAAGTTATAATGATCATCAAAATTTCTATTTATATCTGGACTTGTACAAGGATCCCACTTAAGTGTGACACTCTGCTTGGGATCGATTGACGTCATTTGAACCTCTCGTCTTGGTATCTTACTGGATGAAATAATCGGCAGCTTATCCAAAAGACTTAAGTGGTCGTATTGGTCCCTGTCATTTATTTTATCTGATATCTGACTATTTTTTCGACAATCTTGACCTCTAGATATCTGAGATGCTTTCAATCTGTAGCTTTTAGTCGGCCCACTTTCCCCGAAATCATTGTAAGAAAATATCCGAAATTCAATGGAACTATTAGAATTGGTGGTGTTAAAAGACAAGTCATTTCCCATATGAGTTTCCCTGATCACGGATTCTATAAGATCTCTTGGAAGAGGATAACCAGTCTCACATTCACTAATGCCACAAGCCAAATCAACCCAAGGTCCAGATAGTCCACGCCTCCATTCAATTCGATACAAAGGTTTTAGTCCTTTTATACAACTGGTACAGAACTCTGGCATGTATGCAGGTTTCCATAGGAGTCGAATATTACTTTTCCTGACTGTGATGTTATCTCCTGGGTAGCTTATTGCTATCCATGGAGGATCTAGTGATAAATCCGGAACTAATGAATTAGGATCGAGTTGGACTATTGCCATTGGAGTGGGACAGGACTCGCCATATCTGTTTTTCGCAACAATACGTATAGCAGAGCTAATGCCAGGTCGTAAGTGACAAGTGTAGGATCGAAATGGTATATCACCTGCCACTCTACGCCATTCTGATTGAGATCCTTCCCTAATCTCAACTGCATAAGTTACTTTACCAAGTAATTGCGATGGATTTAGCACAACATTCTTGTGCAGTTGGTTTGGTGTAAGTGCAGGTACTGCTGGACACCATCGAATTTTAATAGCCGTTGCTTCTTCAAATTCAATTTCTGGCTTAACTGCTTGCATGTGAGGAAGACATGCTCGTATAGGTAAACGAAGTACCGGGAAACAAGGAGGTCCAAGGCCAAATTCATTTTCAGCTACTATTCTTACTTGTACGGGATTCAAAGGACACGCAATGTCATTTGAAATGTAAGCTGAAACTTCGTGTAAGTTGGTTAGTACAGGTTTCCACCATCTACCTGCATCATTACTAATTTCCACATTATATGTCACTTGTTCACTTAGTGGATCCCAGGCAATCTTGAAACCACCATCGTTTACTTCAATTAGTTCAATATTACTTACTCTTGACGGTAAAACTGGAACAAAAAGTAACCAGTGAGTAAAATGTCGTTAACTGTCATGTTTATTTCATGAGTAAATCAACTATATATTGAATACATTGTACGAATTAATTGAAAAATTAAGTCAAATATCAAGAGTTTGTAAACCTTATTTCTGGCATTATTTTATTTAGTGATTTGTTACGAACAATATATATATATATATATATATATATATATATATATATATATATATATATAATTAGTAGTTGAGATCATGAATTAATTGAAGCTAGACCACCATAGAAAACCTGGAAGCACTGGACCATGGTGGTTTAGCTTCAATTGACTCATGATCTCAACTATTGAAATTACTATAATATCCACGAAAACCCCTTCTGGTATGTACATAATGCATGTCTTTGTATACACACGAAATTTGTAACACCATCTCTTCCTTGGACATATAAGCTTTAATAAAAGTTTTTATTTATCATTATTTTTCCATACTCTTCGTTTCTTTTATTTTTCTTCAACCCATCCCACCTTTTTTTTCAAATATACCCTTCCTTGTCGCACTATTTAAACACTTCTTATTACGTAATCTTGTGGTTTTTATGAATTTTATTTTAGCATCTATATTTTTCAGTTATTAACCTATTTCCTATTATGAAACATGAATTCAAGTATGAATTCCTATCATAACTAGTAAACCTATCGAATATTGTTTATCGAAAGGTTATTTTTGTATATTCATTTTAATTAAATAGTTTTCATCCCGTTTCATCCAATTAAATGATTAGTTTTAAAATGATAACTATTGGTTAGTTATTTTGAAAAATCGATGTGTAAAGTAAATATTCCTCGATTGTTCACCTTTTGTCTTAAATAAATAACGCACAAACGTACAATAGCACGAACGTTTTCACAGATACGGATAACGTGTTCTTGAATACGTTATATCTGGTAGCGTCAAACAGCGCCATCAGAAATAATGAAAAGGCGCCCTACTAACATTATGCAGTTCGCGATTATCATTTCGATTAGAAAAACAGAAGCCGTATATTAAATTTGTATGTCAGTGAAGTGGTCGTAGAGCACCTAGCGGATCTTCACAGCCGATCATATGAAGGAGGTAAATTGAATAATGTTATTATATTGTTCATGAAGAGCAGCGATAAACACTCAATGTCCGGCCTTCATCTATTGTAAATTTAATGAAAGTTACTGAACTGTTGTTCGTGGGAATGTGCATCACAATCGTGAATACAAATTCCTGAGGTAAGACGACATTTCTTGGATGCGCAGGTTAACGGATGCGGAATTTAAAACAGCGAGGCCTCTGCTGATTTTGGCGATAGAGGCATTCAATATTGTGAACTTCGTTTACCAGTCTTATGGGAAGCGCGTGAATCCTCAAGATGTTTTTAACATGCGCTACAAATTGTTCTCGAAGGCCAACCTTCCATATAAGCAATGCGTCTATTCATATTACAAATGGTAGGTGATTACGCCAAACTGAAAGCTCACATCATGTCACTTGGTGGGTTTTGTGAGTATGAAGTTGATGACGAAAATGATCCTAGGTACTTTTTCTTCGTAATTGCCTATCAGATGAATTTGACATATCGTTTTCTTGGTGTTGTTGGTTTCATGGGACCTACATAAAACCAATAATGAAAATGTATTTTGGTATCAAATTGTTATGTTGGATCTCTAGTCGGCTGTGAAGATCTACTAGGTGCTCTACGGACACTTTTGCTTCGTTACATCGGTCGACATGTGCACGGCTGTTGACGCTACAGGCATTTACAGGGTCTCCGAAACGCCGTCATTTGTTGCTGTGGCTTTTTCATTGAAAGCGGATTGCCATGCTGTCATGTTTTGGCCTACTGCACACGCACTAATACAGAAATAATTAGTAGTAGATGGTTACTACCGGGAAACAACCTCACCAGCGTCGCTATTGACAACTATTTCCCTTTTCAATTTGGACAGCCAAGCATCCAAAAAATACTGTATTCTTAGTTTGGCGTATGCCTGAAAAAAATGTAGTGCTGTTAACAAATTCGCGCATCAGTTGGTTTACGGAACAATGTCTCAAGCACTATAGATGGATGAAGCAATGCCAGGAATCCAACAGACAAATAGTGTCAACTATCGAACGAACGTGGATTTGTATGCCACACTAAGTCATGAAGAAGAGGATATTGTTTTAATAAACTCGAAAGAATTCAATGGCAAACGAAAATGTGAAGAGACTAGGGGAAGGCCCTTTTTAGAGTCACGAAAGATTTGATTTAATTTTTTAAATTCGTTACAAACTCCATCAGTAATTTACATTTTTGCCAGTGAACTGAATGATCTCACAGAAGATCCTGGCGATTGTGTAAGGCAATGAAAAACTATTTAACTTATGAGTGACACTAAAGTGTATTGAAATTAAATGAATCAAGTCTTTTATGATCTAAAAATCAAAAATACATCTCAAACTAACATTACCTGAACACCGTGTTGGTCTAGCAGTAGACTCGTACGGTTCAGTTGTATCATGCTCATAACTACTAGGTTCATATAAAGTACCTGAATTTGAATTCAAAAGAAATAACAAGAAGTTATGTATGAAACAAGTTGGTTTCTAACGAAATGAGACTAAATATCCATTAGTAGCAATTATAAGCCAGTAACATGATTTTATTTATCTATAACCTACTATTTATATAAAAGCTGCAAAATGTGATCTATTCAACAAATCACTATTCTTGTGTAGGAAGGATTACTGCCTACATTGTTGTTATATTTTTTATAAATGTTTAGTGGAGATTTATATTTTTCGATTAAAGTTTTTTGTCATAAGCTGATATTTTTTATGAACGTCTAATAATGGTACTCAGTTAGTTTGTTTAGTTTATAGGAAAATGAACCTTTATAATTGTTATGATACTGAAACATTCACAGATGTATGCATATATGCATGTAAAGATCGCATTTGATGATTGTTAATAAATAATACTGAAGCTAATTAAAACTGACGTGTTTTATAGTGTAACCTAATAGAAATATTAACACTAGGAGTATCATAAACTATGAAAAATCATGCATAGTTAATCTTAAATATTGTTCGTTTGCTCAATAAATCAACTTTCTTAGTAAGAACATGGTGTATCTTATTTAACTGTCAGCTCCGTAAATGTGCTTCTAATTAATACATTCAGTCATTTCAATTAATCATTAGAAATGTTCTGAACTTTGTATTACTTGATACTTCCAATTGTCTTGCGATTAGCTACTAAAAAGTCTCATGATCATTTGATATGTTAGTGAATCATTAATAGTTTGTTTTCTAACTATAAAAGACTTTTTTTAATTCTACTGTCTCTTTTATCATGCAGTTTGACTTAGTTGTTAATTAACATTTGTTTGTGCACATGAATTTACTTGATCTAATTAATTGATCAATTAATTTTTCAGCCTAAAGAGTCATAACTGGAATTTTTTAAAATCCATTATTCCAAGTGTTTCTGCATTTAATGCGTTCCATTTATAACAACGAGAATATATTTTGCTTTCTAAGTTTACTTTTAAAAAAATGTAAATTAAGTGTTTTGAAGTTTCCATAGATCACTTGATTTGGACTAGAAAACAGAAGGCCCCCAAATGACCTAGTATGGCAAAGGGTGGGGAGAGTCTGCTCCCCCTCACGAAATGCTTGTACATGGCCACGCGTATACAGACACTGCCAAGGAAGTCCTACTCATTGCCTTCTCGTGGCATTACTGTTGTTTACGAAATTGAGAGGACGAAAAGTGAATATCCAGCGCTTAAACCGGGTTGGTGGATATGGAGGATCCAGATAGGAAGGCTGGAGAACCCTTATTCCAAATCAATGGTTCAGATGAGCTTCAGGATCCTGAGCGAACTAATGGCGTATGAGCCAATTATTGGTCACCAGCTACCATGGACCTGAATCTCCTGACGTTGCTCCACTACCTTGTGGATTAGACCTTTAGGTCGAAAGCTCCGAGTGTGGCTCCCCCTACGAAAACCACCTGTTTCGTTTTGGGCATCCAGGCCCTATCACACCCCACGCACAAATCAAGTAACTTGTGTAGCGAATATATATTCGATACCCCTTTGTACTAATATTTATATGTTCAAATAAAATAAGAAAACGGAAGACAGATTGAAAATTTAATATATACTGCTAGTAAGATATTCATTAAAATCCTAAATTCCACTTTTTATTAATTTACTAATGATGTTTTTTTTCATTTAGTAACCATAATTAAAGATGTAATGTATCCTATTCATAAATTTTAAAAATATTATAATACAAACACAAGTTTATTAATTAAGCTTCCAGGTTTTTCATGGTGGTCCAGCTTCAATTGAATCATAATTTCAACGATTAATTTACTAAATAACGTTAAGAAACAATTATGCATATTAAACTAAGTAAATTCATAATTAATTATAGAGATTGGAGAAAAAATGTATTATCAGAACAGATTTTGTGGAGATTTTAGAAATTTCAATAGTTGAAATCATGAGTCAATCGAAGCTAGACCACTATGGAAAACCTGGAAGCGCGGACGGGCGTTTCGTTGTAGTATGGGACTCCTCAGCAGTGCACATTCACGATCCCGCCCCCCTCGGGATTCTAACCCAGGACCTATCAGCCGGTTAAGCGCTCGCGCGCGAGACTGATGAGGAATCCCATACTAGGACGAAACCACCGTCCGTGCTTTAATTGATTCATGATTTCAACTATTGAAAAAATATTTTGTTAAATTGTTTGTAGTTAACTTACTTTTTATGTATAAAAATGCTTTTGTTTCAGTTTGACCAAGTACATTTGATGCAGAACATATATATTCACCATAATCTTCATCTTTTACATTCTGTATAATAAGTGATGGATTAATATTATCATTATAAATTTCAATTCTTCTGTTGTTTTCAATTTGAATACCATTATGTTTCCTATAATGAATCATAATAAAAGTAAAAATGAATTATGACATTAAAGATTTATTGAGTACCTTCATGATGTTTCTAAATTAGTGATTATGAAGTAGAATATAGTACTTGTTTCAATGTAGTCTAAACTTCCTTAATTATGTGTCAACATCAATTCGTTTGATATTTTGTAACCATCATATTGCTGAAAAATCGAGAATAGCTAAGAAATCAATAATATACAGATAGTTTGTTCGTTTATATTGAAGAATTTTGACTCATAAAACTAATTCAAAAATTGTAAAACGTACATTTTGTTTTATCACATGAATTTTTATATTTTATTTATCAGCCAATATTTTAAAATGATTAAAAGTATGAAATTGAGGTTTTATTAATTATTCTGATAGATAAACAAGTAAGCAATCTTCTTGTATTGAGAACATGAGCTAATCTAATTTAGATATACAATCCATATTGATAATTATCATGTACTCACTAATAACTAACTTTGAGAGGTGATTTATGAAGTTCTAGAGAGAATTCATGACTAGTGAAGTTTAATAGTATCAAGTGTGAGGAGAGTATCCATCAAAGACAACGGAAAATAACTACTACCTATTTTGGACTGATTGAGATCAGATGTGTACAACATTGAATCTTAACTCACTACCCTAGAAGTTAAAGGTCCTAACATGAAACCAAAAGTTCTGCGTTCTATTCTCTATGGCAGAATCGTGGTTGTGTACTATGGAAGAGTCCCATACTAGAACTAAACTGCCGACCAGTGCTTCTAGATTTCTAATTGTTGTTTAATTTAAACCGTTACGTAATCTCAATAAAATTAAATGATCACCATAATCCGAGTTTAGTGTGACTTGTCTATATTCAAGTACCTATCGATGAACATTGTAATCTCTTAAAAATGAAGCTCAAAAAGGTAGCCAAGAGGTGCTCAAAATGGCAGATGGAGCCTACCACGGCTAAATGTGGATAAATATGATTTGGTAATACATCATTCTACCTAGATCTTACCATAAATGGTAAGGTGTTATCCAAGTTACATACAGTAGTGAAATTAAGATTTATTTACTCATACAATTTGTCCTTCACAGAACAGGTTTCGAAGCAGATTTTCATGTTTCAACGTCTTCTGGTTGAATAATTAGTAACCTTTATAACAACGAGTTACGTATTTTAATGTACAAAGTATGTGTTCGACTACTCCTAGAATACTGTACGTTTATTCTTTGTAGTATTTGCTTAAAGAAATTCGTTTAGAGACGATTGACACTTCTCATTTTTGGGATTGATTATATCTTAAATTATGGGTCCAGATATAATAAAGTTGGACTTGATCTTTTTTGGCAGTGAAAACTTGAACTGAATCTAATCGTTTTCGTTGAAATACTTAATATAATATCTTTTACATCCAATGAAGCAATTCATTATGCGAAAAACTGCTAGTTATAGAATCCATAACCGTTTATCAGTGAAACAATTTCATTATAAACCCTCTTTCTACATACTTTACCAAGAAGATTTTGGTACTGTAGAACAATTTATCGCAATCTATCCATGAAATAAAACCACCAGCAGCCTTTATTAGCTGTCCCGATGCTTAATTCTCCTCTGAAAATGCCTTAAATTTGCTTGCACACACTAGTATATCCCAGTTCACAAATGAGATTATGGCAACTTTAAATGTTTATTCGTTTTTTATTACTGGGCCCGCTAATTAAACCTCTCTACATACAGATATTTTACATTAACTCCGTCCCTGGTAACCTTAACTGATCAGCAATCTTCACAACCCCAAACTGAAAAAGTTCTACTCTTTCACATTTCAAATGCCACATTTTTCATCTATTAACACGCTCACAAATACATAAACACGTCTCACATGAATCGTTTTGCCTGGAGTGACATGACATTAACTTGGTCAGACCTGTTTTTGGATTGATTGCACTAAATGATACAAAAACCATATGGGAAGTGTTTAACAAAGATATCTGAAGTCAAAACAATCTTAAAATATTCTAAGATAAAAGATGAAATTCCGATTTCATCAGTGAGTATTCTGTACCACTGGTTTGATCGGTCTTCTCTTTTTAATGTCTTTGTGTAATGTTTCTTTTCTAAGTGGTGGGAATGTTAACCCTACACTCAACCCTTCTCCTTTACGATGGCTTGAGACTATCAGTAACCGTAGGGGGGGCTCCAGAAAGAGTTAACAAACAGTAATATCTGGTATTGTCCATAGGTCATTCATGGAAGTACCGACCTTGTCTAAGTGATGCTTTCAACGTTCTATGGAAAAAAATTGTCTTAAATAGTCGGAAGCAAGTTAAATTACAAAAGCTGGATTTTAAAGCTTGTGAATGAATTTACTCCATCAGAACAATTCACAAAGACTATCGACAGGTAACACGGTTAATTAGTAAAAGAATAGCTAATAATCAATACGACATATTTTAATGATCGATTTTAAACAATCTAATTGTGAATTCTTTATAACATCCTATGAAAAGTGTGTTTGTGGGCAACGTCTATGACTGTAATCATTTTGTATAAGAAATGACCATTATTCCGATCAAGTAATTTCGTTAAAAAAGCGATAAGCCTTAGATACTATTTTGTGGTACATGAAAATCAGTTAATCTAAAAGATATTGAGATAAGGTAATTTCCATTTACTTGAACTTAAAGCATTTCACTAAAACATTCATTCTGACCATACAATTAAATGAAAGATCTTAATCCGTCAGAAACTGATTAATTCATTAATGTGAAATTATGTTCCTTGATAAAACCTGTTTATTCAGTAGGTTAATAGATAATATTCGAAACTTTTGAAGAGACAGGTGATGGGTATTAAATATCGTTCAAAATCTAAACAAATATCTAAACATATATAAAACATATATACCCAATACAGATTAAATACATGTAATTGATTTTACTTCACATCGTTACTAAATTTTTCTGTATATTTCGTTTGCTTATATAATAAGTTGATATTTGTACTTAAACAGATAATTTCAAATTATTGTTCTTGTAAACATACATTCTTAATAAATAAATAATAAATTTATAATATCCCAATGAGTAGAAAAATTAGATTTTCTTACGTTTCATGAGTCAGTGTAAGCCGCTTCATGACATTTTCAACGACCACCAAATTGATTTCAAAAATATCAAAATGTTACACAAAGGTTTTTCCAATTACAAAGAAAGGAGAGTAGCTGTAGCGCTTCATATAATGCTTAATCCTACTTCACTCAATAGAAAAGAGGGCCTTATCAAACATCCTACTTGGACTATCTATCCTAGCCATTCAGTCTGATCTTATTTACAATTCACACTATTAACTTGCAAATTAAACTCTATCCTTTCTCACCATAAAGGTCACACATTTTTCATCCTTACAGTGCACACATATACACACAAATTTACAAGCATGTCGCTTATGAATCACCTTGACCGAAATGACACGACATTGATTTATTCAGACCTGTTTTTTGATTGATCACATAATATTATTGTCATTCCATTGCACTATTTAAACTTGGATTAATTTTGACTTGTTTATTTATTTTCTGAAGAAGTGTCTTACACTGAGTCACGAAACGTCAGGAAATCCCGTTTTTCTACTCATTGGGACATTACAAATATATTATTTATTTATAACAATCCAACCAATGCTCAATTTATTCGAAATTATGAAGTCAAACCCTGGTAATGATACATACATTCTTAATATTAGAAATAAATTGTAAAATATAGAGAAAATTTATGACGTGTTACCAGATAATTGTAGCGGGTGGCTCAGCTACTAAACGTCCACTAAATCTAACCGTTTCATTCACTTCAGCGGTGTAATCTTGAAGTTTCTTGGTAAATAAGGGTTTAAGTCCTTCTACTTGCCTATAAAAAAGAATAAGATGAATGAAATGCAGAAAAATAAATTTGGAGAAATAGTACTACAAAATGAAATGTAAAGATAATTGTTGCTTATCATTAAATGAATATAATTGGGTGTTATGATTTGTTGATAAGTGAACAATACATGCATATTACGCTGCAGTTTAGAGCAAGGTATAAATAGTACAAGTTCTGGTCAGTATCACGTCTAAATGATAATAAACGATACCATTCAGTAAAGATCATATTCTAACTTACAAACGACAACATACAATGTGTTTTAAGTATAGCAAGTTAAGCTAGCAAATTTATAAATTCATTTTATGGTTATTTAATTGTTGGTTTTGAACAATGACAAAAAGCAATACATTTATGCATAAATCAAATGTGAATGTAAGAAATTTATTTATTCAAATCCTTTATTTTTGATTGTTCATCTCAGTATGGTCAAATGATATTTTTAAGATTCTTAAGCAGAGATGGTTAGCAGTGGAATCCTGGACGCGCGTTTCGTCCTATATGGAACTCTAGTTGAATGTACCTGTATTTCAGAGTTAATATTCATCATACATCTCTGCTTAATGGGGCTTGTCACTTTATATATATACGTTAGAATGTTAATTTTAATGCCAGAAAGATTTTAAACTGATCCCTTATAACGAACGGAAGGATTGAGAGCACTACCAAGAAAGTGATTTATTACTTAGTTTTTTTTAAAAATCAAAATTTCCCTTTTCAACGTTGTTATATACTCTACAGCTTTACTGAAAATTGTTAACAAATTTTTTTGATAGTTGAGATCATGAGTCAATTGAAGCTGGACCAGCATGGAGTACCTGGAAGCAATAAGCGGCCGTTTTTGTCCTATTTTGGGACTCATCAGCAGTGCACATCCACGATTCCGCTTCGCGAGATTCCAACCTAGGGTCTATTGGTCTCGCTCATGAACGCTCAACCTCTAGACCACTGAGCCGGAATCCAATGGTGTTAATGTCTAACTTCAACTAATCCATAAAACTGAGTGACATATTCACTATATTTTTTTCAAATTCATCATTGATACTGATACTTTTTTGAACAAGTATGTATACAAAAGTTAATCAATCTTATACTTTTACTTTCTTGCTTCTACTTAAATTACTAACCTAACGTTAATTAGTATTTGTAGATTTTAGTAAAAAAATAAAGCTTCTTTTACATTTCAGTAACCAAAGAATTAAGGGAACATTTTAAAATTTATAATACGTTTGAAATATTTAATTGAAACCAAATCTATGGGGTTTTGTTCCAATCTACCTTAATCAATTATTAAACATTCCTTTTGTATAGATTTAGTTCAAATTTTATTACAGAATTAATTGAATTCTTTGTTGTTAGTAGTATATTTGCATGAAAATTCAATTTTGTTTATAATTGATTTTTTTCCGCATTTCATTTTATTGGGTTCATAATAGAATCATTTAATGTCTAGTAACTTATGACCTTATCACATTTAACTGTAAGGAAGTTCATTTATTCCTTAAATAAAATGTTAATTATACAAATATTTTATTCTATTTACGTGGAATAACATCCGAAAAATATTCAGCAAATGATTTAATCCGTCAAATTAACTATAAAATGTTAAGTAGGTAAAATTAATTACTTTTTCCATTAAGATCATGAACCGATTGATGTTAGATCACCATAGAAAACCTAGAAGCATTGGACGGCCGTTTCATCTTATTATGGGACTCCTCCGATCCCGGACAGACGGCCTTCAGTCTCGCGCACGAACGGCCGAGCACTATGCTTCCAGGTTGTCAATGGTGGTCTAACATCAATCCGTTCATGATCTCAATCAAAACCTAATAATCTCCACAACCCTATACAGATGATTACCATGTGCGCACTAGTGGCTAGTTTCGTGAGGGAATTCTCAAGTTCTAGTGAGAAGCCGTGACCAGTGGAGCTAATCCGTATCGGGTAGAGACAGATATCTACCTCAGTACAATGGAAAATGGTCGCGCAATTTCATGGATTGGTTAAGGTTAGACGTTAACACTCAGTGGTCTAGATGTTAAGCGTTCGAGCTCGACTGTTTATGAAAAGAGCAAGAATATTAGTAAAAAAATGGAACAGTTGATGCATAGGAAAAACATGTTGATTGTATACTTATATCATGCCAAATACAATTATCTATCTTCAAATCATTTTCATTTCTATTCTGTTCTTTACATAACTGCTTTATTACTACTACTATTATTATTAATAATAAAGGTAGAAAGTAAGTAAAGTCAGTAGAAATAAACTTACGATGGGATATATGGTGTCATTTGTAGTTTTTGTCCATTCACTGACAGGTCACCTGTTGTATAATATTCACCAGATGGAGTAACAACATGTAGTTTATAAGTTCCAGTTAAATCTGGTCTAACATTTGGTATTGTCAATGCAATCCAATTACCAGTTTGCCATACAACAAAATCGACAGTTGATTCAGGCTGTCAATATAAAAAAATGAAGACACAATTTTGACAATATAGAACAAATGTCTTGTTTAGCGAGATTTATGTACAGTTGCATCATATTTTGTTTATTTTTGCGAGTAATAACTGACTACCGTAGTGTTGATTCATTTTACAAACAGGGATCATATTTACATATTTACAATTGAAGTACATCTGGAACTCAAAACAAACATCAATCAACACCAAGGTCAAAATTTTTGATACAAATATCAATACAGTTCTACTGTATGGGACGGAAATTTGAAGAACCACGAAACCCATAATCCAGAAGATACAAGTGTTCATTAACAGTTGTCTACACAAAATACTTCGGATCCGTTGGCCAGACACTATCAGCAACAATTTACATTCGGAAAAAACAAACCAAATCCTAGAGGATTAAGAAATCAGGAAGAACCGATGGGAGTGGATAGGACACACATTAAGGAAAGCACCCAACTGTATCACAGGTCCACCCCTCACTTGGAATCCTCAAGTTTAAAGGAGAAGAGGCAGACCAAACAACATATTACTCTGAGTAATGGAGATAGATATGAAAAGAATGAACAAAAATTAGATAGAACTAGTAAAAAAAAGCTAAGGACAGAGTGAGTTGGAGAATTCTGGTCGGTGACCTATGCCTCATTGACGTGGGGGGGGGTGTTAACAGGAGTAAGTAAACTAAACTAATAATACAATACCATTTTCTATCAATAAATCAATCAATAAATAAAAAGTATAACTTACATCAACCATTTTTTCATTTACTAACCATTCAAAATATTTAACAAATATATTATTTTTTAATTCAACAGCTAATTTCAATGTTTCACCTTGTTTACAAATATATTTTGATAATAATTCAGTAGAAAAAATATTATTATTATCATCTTCATCATCACGATCATGATCATGATCTTTTTTTGGTGATAAATAAACTGTATCATGTTCATTTGTTTTATATTGTTCATTAAGAATATCTTGTTTTTCATTGTTATTTAATTTTAAATCTAGAAAAAAAATTTAATAAATATATTTGTATTATTTATAATCATGAATTAATTAAAACTAGATCATCGTGAAAAACTTGGTACTATTGTGGAACAGTTCAGCAATGTGCATCCATGATCCCGAGTAGCTAGATTTGAACCTAGGACCTATCGATCTCGCGCACAAATGCTTAACCTGTAGACCACTGAGCTGGCATACAACAGTGTTAACTTCAACTAATCCACGAAATTAAACCAGACGTCCATCACTGTCTTTAATGAGTTACTATCTCATAATAGACCCAGTTGTACTTCACTGGTCACTACTTCTCACTATAACTCCATGAAAATCCCTCTTGAAGCCAATCATTAGTGAGCATATGATGATCATTATTATGAAAAGGGGTTTTGTGGAGATTTTAGTCATTTCAATAGTTGAAATCATGAGTCAATCGGAACTACATCATCATGGAAAACCTGGAAGCACTGGACGGTCGTTTCATCCTATTGTGAGACTCCTCAGCAGTGCGTATCCTAGATCCCGATTCGCGAGATTCGAACCCAAGACCTACTGGTCTCGCGCATGAACGCTTAACCTGTAGATCACTCAGTTGGCATCCAACCGTGTTAATGTCCAACTTCAACTTTTATCAAACTAGATAAAATTATGATAAATTTTTTTAGGATTCATTGTAAAATAATAAAAAAGGAATGAGACTTTGTGATGTATAGAGTTAAATAATTGAACTATAAAATTAAACAAATCTTTTGTATTGTTCAAATTTAACCGAAATTCTGATTGATGAATTTGGCACATTATATCGATTAGCATCGTAAGTCATGACAGTAAACAAGTCGAACTCTGATGACTTCTTTTAATATCTTGCTTTAGTCGTTATCATATTTTGTAACAACTAGCCTCACTTATACCTAAAATTTTGTAGGCACCTTATGAATATGATGGGAAGAAAAAATCAATATTCGATTGATTTACTCAATATGAGTTTTATTCATCATTACATCCGTTTTGATTCAATGTAATGATTACTCAATGTAGTATTTGTTTTCTTTCTTTTATGATATTTTATTCTGTATCATACACAATATTCTTGTATTCCATTGGCTATGAACTATACTCAGCATATGATTTGTTATAACTGTGAGTATTTTCCATGTATGTGATTTCATTCTAATTATTAATCAAAACGGGTGTAAAATCGATATATAAACGAGTGTATTTTCTACTAAACTCGCTTAGTTTTCTGGTTGTTGCAGAATATACTTCTCATTTCAAGCTTGGACTTCTCCCTCAAGATAGCTGGGGCTGGGACGCGTCAATAGTTAGCTTACTGGTCCTTGGTCATCGAATCTCGTTCTCGTTCGCAGATTACGTGAACTATGGATAGCTTCAACATAACACCTTACAACGATTATTTTTTCTTAAAATTTTGATAATGACTACATAATAATTATTTCAAATAACATAAGTAATCTAATCGATTAGGTTCACTTTTATAAAATGTGAAGAATTTCTACATGTCCGTCGTTCATTAAAATTTATTTTAAATTAATAAGACTGTTGAGCTGAGAATATACAGCCAATATCACTCATTCCGACAGCAGTTAGATTTTATGGGCTACAATTCATTTTAACTATACATCTTATGGAAATTAATTGGTTACACACCTACGTGTTTTATCCTAACCTTTGTATTGGTGAGCTGATCTAAACTTTCCATATTTTCTGTCACCCATAACGTACAAATTTAAGAACAATTATGTTAGAATTTCAAACTTACCAGATTTTGATTCCATACCCTGTCCTTTGATTTTCTTTTCTTCACTTTGTTCATCATTTATAGTGTTTGTTTCCATATATTTTTCTCCAGCTTTTAATGATTCACACTGTACGTCATTTTTATCAACTTCTGTTATTGATTTTCGATGCTTCTTATGTTTTTCTACTTGTTTCTGGTCCTCAATCAGTTCTTCTTTGTTTGAATCTTGTTCACCGACTATTGATTGGCTTCTAGTGCTAACATGATTATCTTCATTTTCCTTATCAACATTTTTCGATTTTTCTCGTTTCTTTTTCTTTTCTTCTTTCCATTGTTTTTCTCTATTTTCTGCTTCATTCTGTAAAGCATCGGTCGTTGGTATCGTATCAAGTACTTCCTGATTGGTTTTGCCGATTTCTACTCCAGCCAGGTTCATCTGTTTCTTTGGTTCGTTTTTCTCTTTGTTTTTTATGTAATCTTTAGTTAGATCTTCATCATTTCCTGTAGCAGTAGTAGTATCAGTGACTGATCTATTCTTCTTTGTATCTTTCTCATGCTTCATTGCTTTACTTTCTCTACGTTGTGACTTCTGGACTGATTCAGTATTAATTTGTTGATAATCCTCAAATGATTCTGGTTTGTTGTTCACTTGATTTTCTGTTGGATCTTCTGTACTAACAATAGATTCACTATTATCCATTCTTATCTTTCCGTCACCTTTCTTCTTCTTTTTAGTCTCGTGGCCAGTTTCATCATTTTTCTCTTTCTTTTTATCCTTTTTAACTGATTCAAGTTCTAATTCATTGATTGTTACCTGATCAATCAAAGTTTGTTTATTTTGAGATATGCTTTCTGAATTGTCGAAATCTATTGTAATTTGATCGTGTACTGCTTTCACTGTCTCAATCTCATTCTTGTCTTTTTTATCATGATGTTCCAGAAATTCGTCTGCTTCACTCTTGATTCCTTCCTTTTGATTTTGATCATCAAGCTTATTTTCTTCTTTCAGCGTTTGTTTTGTTTTATCCACTTCATTTTCCACTTTGATTTGACCAACTAGTTTTTCACTGTTCTTATTGTCATCCTTCAAAGTCGATTTACTTCCCCTTCTCTTTTTTCCCTTATCCGAAGTTTGTTTTTCGTCGGATTTCTTCACTTTTTTCCTTCCTTTTTCTTGCTTCTCGTCATTAAGTGACTCAGCTATTTCACCTACCTTAACATCCACTTTATATTTTTCACTATCTTTCTCTCCCCTATTAACTTTTTCACCTACCCTCTTCGTTTTGGAATCGGTTTCTAGGACCGTTTTGATTTCTTCCTCTTGTCCTGTTTCTTTTTCTTGTTCAGTTACGCTTCTGATATTCTCCTTCTGAGATGTTTCTGATTCAGGCTTTAATTCAGCATCTCCGACTAACTTCGATTTCATTCCGTTTTCCGTTTGGTTCTTCGTTGGTAATAATTTCTTTTTCGTTTCATCCTTCCCTTCTTTACTCACTTTTTTATGTCCCTCTCCACCAGTTTTATTCATGCTGCCTTCCTTACTTTCCGTGTCATCTTTCTTTGTCTTTGTTATTGATTCTTCTTTATCTGCCTTATAGCTAGCTAACCCCTCATCTTCCTCCTCTTTATGTTGTCTTTTGTCTACCTCGTCCTTCTCTTTCTTTATCTTGGCAATTTCTTCATCCTTTTGCTTCTTATCAGTCTCCGCCTCTTCTTTCTTCATCTTGGAAACCTCCCTTTCTTTTCTCAGTAATTCAACTTCCTCCCCTCGTTTACTCTCAGTTTCGTCTTTCTTTCGTTTCCGTTCAGCCTCTTCTTCTTCGTTCTTCGCGATCTCTTTTCCTTTTCGTCTCAATTCAACTTCCTCACTCCGTTTACTCTCAGTTTCGTCTTTCTTCTTTCGTTTCCTTTCAACCTCTTCTTCTTCGTTCTTCGCGTTCTCTTTTTCTTTTCGTCTCAATTCAACTTCCTCACTTCGTTTGCCCTCAGCATCTTCATTCTCCTTTCGTTTCCTTTCAACCTCTTCTTTTTCCTCCTTGGTAAACTCTCCTTCTCTTTGTCTCAATTTAACTCCCTCTTTTCGTTTGCCCTTAGCATCTTCTTCCGCTTTTCGCTTCATTTCAGCTTCATCCGCTTCTTCCTTGTTCTTTCTTTCTTCCTCCACCTGTTTCTTTGAAGCTTCTTCTCCGTCTCGTCTCAGTTTAACGTTCTCTTCTTTTCTTTTCATTTCTTCGCTTTCCCTTTTCTTCAAGTCTTCCTCCTCTTGCTTGAAAATTTTTTCTGTGCTCTTCTTCTCTTCTTCCTCTTTTTTTTTCATTGAGGGCACCTCCTTGTTTATTTCCTCGTCTTCCTTATTTAGGAGGTTTGTTTCAACCCCATCGATCATACTGATCTTATCTTCCTGTAGATTCTTCCCTTCTTTTTCCTTCTCTTTGTCATTTGAATTTTCACTCAGTGTAGCTTCCTCTTGTCTCACTGTTACTGCAACATTTGTACACTTAACGATATTATCTTTCAATGATTGTGAAACGGTCCAACATTTATATATCCCAGAATCGTTAGTTCTTGTCTCAGTTTTAGAAAGTTTGGCTATCATTTCATTCGATTGTTTACTGAGCTCAAATGAGCAATTATACTCGCTTTCTTTCGACGGTAAATGATCACCTGTCAAAAGTTCATCTTCATGTGTCCACCACACGACAAAATCTTGATCCTGAGAACCATGTTGAATAGGTATATTTAATTGAAATGCATCGTCCTTTCCTAATTCGACTTCAAAGACTGGATTATTTTCGACTGTTAACTTATTTTTGTCGATACAGTTCTTGAATTCAGTTTCTAATTCTTTAACTGTTGGACAATGGAAATTTACTGGTATGGTTATACTTGGTGCTGGAGACAAAGAAGAATTTTCAGGCAGTCTCAACATACATGTGTAGTTGTATAACTTATCAGGTTGTAAATTATTTGTAGTTGACCGTAAAATAAACTGGTCATTAATTTTAAGCATTTCACATGTTGAACTAGGTTCAATTAGTGTTGAGTTTTGATACCAATTAACTTGAATATTGTCCTTATTATTATTCATTAGTTTCATTACAGTTTCTTCATCAATCTTAACTTGAATTTCTAAAAGTTTACCGATTGGTAAATCTAATTCTTTGGTAATTGGATGAAATACATTAGCCTGCATAAAATTTGTTAGTTTCAGCTGATCTGATTCATTGTCATTTGTATCATTGTGATCTAATTTAGCTGTTAGTATATTAACACAAAAATAAACGGCAGTTTCAGTGCCCTCAAAAAGACGACAGCGACATGAATATGTTCCTGAATGTATCAAAGGATCAGCATTTGATATAAGTAAACGTGTATCACGATCTGACAATATCATTTCAGCGCCTATATCAGGTTTCATTGGTGCACCATTCATATACCAAGTTGTTTCATAAGCAACTGGACCAGTTATAGTAAATGATGCATTGAATTGAATTTGTTCACCAGCATTAACCGTTAATTGTTTAGCTAAAGTATCAGTTCCTGTCAAATTAGTAGATGCAGTTGTTAACTGTTGAGTTTGATTTCCCCGATCTAGTCAGGTAATAGAAATAAAGATATAATTAACTATTGAATCTACGAACTTCAAATGAGCATGAATATACATTTGTATCGTTCTGATAACTTATACACTATAGGTCGTGAAAATGTTGCTTGTCTGACGCGTTTGGTCAACAAATCCCTCTCAAGAAATAAAAACAAAAGTGTCTACATGCAGGATAATTTTGAAATGATTTCAGAGAAATATGACACTTTATTACTAAAATGACCAAAAAAAGGTGTTTAAAATCAAACTCACTATTCTCTTTGAACAACTAGAAGAGTATAACTACATAGGCTTCCTAACAAAAATAAACCAACAGTCCCCTTGGAATCATCTCAGAGATTAAACGAAATATAGAATATAGATTCAGCATCAAGAATATCCATAGGAATATAAGCATTTACAGAGAACTTTTAATATAATTTGTGACATTTAACTTATACGCCTACCATAAACGAAATAGAATATTCTGAATTTATTGATCAGGTTTTAAATACAGAAATGGCTTTGACCTAATTTATCCTTGATATTTTAATTAGTTTCCTAAAGATTTTGTGGATAGATCGCCTAATAAATCTTTGGAACTAGTTGAATTTCAATCACTGAAGTAATTACAAACATAATTTTACATCTAACATCTACTTATCTGAGGTTCAATCTGTGTGAAAATATTATTCAAATCATGGAGAACGTTCACATTGTTCTTGGGTTTCACTTAGGGATTTTGAAATACTTTGTTCTTAACTGGTTGAAAAAAGACCTAGGCTTCTTAAATAAGCCTAATGAGCTCAACTATACTGATTTTTACTAATAGTGTCATTTTAAATTGTGCTTAGTTATCGTATATGAAAAATATTTCAGAGATTACATTTATGTTGTTGAAGCGTCATAAATAAAATCCATCTTCATTCTATTTTGTGCAAATTGAAAGATGTAATGACAAGGAAAAACAAACCGAATATTCTGTACGTAATCAACTATGAAAACATACCTTTGAAAATAATGATAAACCTTTTCGTTTACGCAAATATCATTTAGGGTGTCTAAAATCGAGGTATATCTGAGTTCACATTAATTCTTGTAAACATCCATAGACAAGAATCAGGCTCAGAAAATGTTGAAGCCTTAGTCGGAGACTAAGTAAAGAAAACCGCACAGGCACCTAGGTCACTTGGCAATCATTATCAATATTAAAATGAGAAGGACTGGTTCAGCGAATTCATTTTCAGAGCTGTACAATCACAAATATATGCCTTATTTTCAAGATGATAATACTTACAATAATAGAGATAATAAAATTCTGTTAAGCATGGTAACAGTGAGATAGAATAAAGAAAGGCATTAAAACGTTATTTTTATTCGGGAAACTAATAATAGTTTTATTGTTGAAGGTTTGAATATTCATCATGAAGATAGATACGAAAATTATAATTGCGAAAGAAAGGTTCAGTATAATAAGATAAAATGTTGAAATAGCGATAAAATGTAATCAGGCGGAACACAGAAACAAAAACAAACCAGTTATGGGTAAAAGGCTTATAGAGCAGTTGGGTGTGAAGGAATAAGAGTTTGAAGGAGAAAGAAAATTTCGAGGGATTAAGACCATGCTAGAAGAAAAGTTTGCACCAGCTTCTTTTGGACACAATTATGGTTTTTACAGACATTAAAATAGACATAATCTACCAGAGTATGAACAGAATAATCATCGTACACAGATCAAAGGTCAGATTGAGGGAAAAGGTGATATATATATATATATATATATATATATATATATCACCATTATGCCTCAACTACATTTTACGTAATAATTCATATGGATCCATGTTTATTGCTATAGGTTGAAGTATTTTACTGAAATATTAAGTTTGAGTAGTATTTCATTTTTTTAGTTGGATAGTTTGAACGTAAATCTTTCATTATCGTTCTGAAACAGGCTACCAGCAAGTTACATTACATGAAATGATTTATTGTGTATATATATGAATTATTACGTAAAATGTAGTTGAGGCATAATGGTGATTGATATTTAGGTTTGTGAGGCAAACACAACCTGTCCCATAGGAGCAAGTATATTTATAGACGCACATCGATTTTGCCCAAAGCAAAATTTCATCCTTAACACATACGTGAATGGTAGGCCAGATTCTATTCAGCTCTATATTGTCTACTCATGTGATACTTTTCAAACGCATCTCAGAACACTACCCAACGTGGTTTTAAAAGGAGAATGCAAAACGGTTACCAGTTCAATACGCGAGCATCTAATAAACTCTAGGCTCATCGCTCCAAGGGAGTCTTCCTTTAAAATAATCTACACAATCAAAGGAACTGAATCAAAGAAGGTTGAATTAAAAACTTATGTGCTGCTGAGATGTTGGCCATCCATAAATTCAAGCCCGATCTCTGCATGCAAAAACTTTATGTCTAATCTCTCATCCTTTCTTGGCCCAGGTTGCCTTCTGTAGGGTGTTTTGGTCTTTTTATTTTCTTTTAATTACTGTTTTGTAACTTTACACCGTAATCAGTTATTATTATCCTTTGACAATTTTTCATAACTAATTTTCCGTTATGATTATGACCTTTATGTTTTTCACTTTTCTTCATATCTGTATAGAGGATATTTATCTTTCATAATTCTGACCCATAGATTATCTTCATCCTTCTATTCTTCTTCTTCTAACCCCATGATTATTGCGTAACCTTATTTGATATTTAGATTCTTAAATCATTCTATGATGTAACCTTTTTTTAGCAATCTACTGAAGTTTATGTGAATAAGCTACTTTCATTTTAATCATGCATCCGGCGTTAAATATTTTGACAGTATAACATTTGTTTTTAATTGTTTGTTGGTAAAATCAATTTTTAAAAAATATGACTTTAAGATAATACAGTTCTAACTTACTTTCAGGATTCATTTGGAAGTCTGCAAGAGATTGTTGATCCTCTGAAAATGGCGTCTGTACACCATCCAATGTTGAATAAGATTCTTGATAATGAAAAAAAAACAGGTGAAAATTGTATGATATAAAATTACAAGTAATTATAATGAAGTCATGATTATTCTCTGGACGGATACATAACCATAAAAATAATAAGCTAGATGAGTAAGTTCCCACATCATTTCCTATGACAGGAATAATTGTGTTATATCAATCTATATTTAATGTCAATAGTTGAGATCATGAGTCAATTGAAGCTAGACCACTATTGAAAACCTGGAAGCACTGGACGGCCATTTAGTCCTATTGTGGGACTCCTCAGCAGTGCGTATTCACGATCCGACCTCGCGGGATTTAAACCCAGGACATGTCAGTCTCGCGCGCGAGCTCTTGAACTCTGCACCACTGTAGGTATCATTACCAAGGTTTGATTTGATAATTTCGAATAAATTGAGCATTGGGTTGATTGTTATAAATAAATAATATATTTGTAATATCCCAATGAGTAGAAAATTAGATTTTCTGACGTTTCGTGGCTTAGTGTAAGTCACTTCTTCAGAGAATAAATAACCAAATTAAAATTAATCCAAGTTTAAATAGTACAACGGAACGATACAAGACCCGGTGGAACTCCATTGGTAACTACTTCTCACTGGAAATCCAGGAAATACCTCTTGAAGCCAGTCACTAGTGAGCATATGTTGATACTATATTTAATAATTAGATAACTGTAATACTTCATTCAATTACTAGTACCAGCCAAAAGATTCGAAATCTAATTGAAGAAATGTGGTTAATAATTTCAAACAACTATACACTATAACTTTTGCTTAATTTCATACTGTTAACTAATAACTGAGAAATGATTGAAAATGCATAAAAATTGAACAGCATTTATTTATTGTTCAAAGGAATTTTTGCAAAAATATAATTTATGAATGAACCAATCAGATTGAAATTAATAGTTCTTGGATATAGACACTAAATTCATTCATTCATACTGCTGAATATCGATGAAGGCAAACTCCACTTTCGTTTACATTTTTGACCTTGCACTTGGCAACCAACCAAAATAAAACCGGAATTATTATTTACACTATCGTAAACCATGATGAAGGGCGTTTCGTTTCGTTTCTATTTTGCTATCTTACATGAAAAATTTAATGTTTTCTAAATTAGAAATACCATTTCATCCTACTACGGACGTACCAACTGTAGCTCAGTCAGTGATGATGGAAGAAACATTACAACATACAAAAATTCGTACCTCAAATTAATTCCATAATAGAAATTGTTTCAAAATATCTACAACTGAGTGACCAAGTAAACGAAAATATGACTGTAATTACAGACTAAAATACACTCAGATGACTAAATAGCATTTTGACGCCAGCTGATCCTAATTCTTGGTGAAAACCCTAACTCTAATTCCTAACTGTACCGCCCAACTGCAAATGTTAATCCTAATTTCTCACACTAATTAACAAACCTCATTTAAATCTAGTAAGTAGATAAATATTCTTAAGGTCACCTAATCATCATGCCAATGTTATCTATAAATTCTGGTCTTACCGGCATTTTACTGATGTATATGGCCTGTTGTCAAGTGTTTGAGTAAAGGTCAGCAAGGAAGTTCAACCAGAGGTTTCTAGTTCAAATATATAACCTGTGCACATGAAATTCAATATATTATAATCGAAATTTTTATCAACTGTCCCACATGCTGCATATGCCTGAACACCGATTACCACGACGTGCAATGCTAACCGGTGTTAGGGATGATTTGAAGAAAGTTAGGGGCGGCCAAACCAAAACGTGGCATCAGTGCCTGAAGTCACTAACTTTTGGTCTGAGCCATGTTGGTAGATTCAGACTGCCTGGTTGGGTTCCGCGTGACTGTCGTAACCAATGGTTGGAGACTCTCGGTGACATGACTCAGAATCGATCACAATGGCGTCGGTGTATACACTCTCTGTCTTCCTTCAAACCAAGATATTAAAATCACTTCAAATCTTTCTTTCTAGGAACTAATTCTTTCTTCCTGTACTATCTCCTTATACACAATCTTTCTTCTATATATTACCACCACTGAATTAACTACTTCTATGAATCCGGTGTTCATCTTGTTGTGCTAACGCGGTATGGTAACTTGGACCGATGCATATATGTGCCTGGTCCTACGTTGCAGCTGACTGACTGACTGATCAACTGTCCCGATGAATAGCTTTGTATTATTTAATCAACTTAGAACTGAGTCCAGACTTTAGTATGCCTTTTTGCTACACATCATATACAGAAGCTAAAGAATTTGTTATTTTTATGACTAAGAAATGGGTTGAGATTGAATAACAGATAAACAGTTTTTATTCTTGTTCATTTCGTCAGTGAAACTGAGTACGATTTAGTACAAAGTAGTTGAGACTCAGTTTTACTTTCCACTTCTGACAAACCTTGTGAATCCAGTTATTCATCTTTAGTAAATTTACGTTATTTAGTAGACTTTCAATAGAGTACAATGTACACAAATTTAAACTTTTCAGAATTTTTCACATACGTTCAGATCAATGTAGATCAAAGGTCTCGTCTTAATGGGTAAAGTAGTCTTATCTATTATTATTATTATTATTATTATTATTATTATTGAGACTTGATAGTTTGTACCAACCTGATCATAGCTGTATATTGACATGAATTCCGTGATTATTTTCCGAATATAATTTTATTAAAAACCATATTTACAACTAGGTTACTTTGAAATAATGAATCTATTACATATACAAAAACATGCTGTCAATGAGTATGTATATCCCCTTCGTATACGATCTTGACAAATGAAGCTCTATTCTTCCAATCATAGTACATTTTGTCTGCCTATAAACTTGCCTAAATACATCACTTTGATATTTTGCAGTTCTCAGGTATGTTTATTGTATGTCGGTGAAGGATTTAACACAGACTCTGAAAGCTTAAATGAGTTAATAAAACTGATAATCAATATGTATTGTATCATTCATTGTTAAATAGTTTTATCATCTAAACTGTTATAGGCAAGCAAAAGTTCTTCTGCTAACTGTAATTAATTAACAAATCATATATTCAAAAAATTTCAGTTTCTTCGTAGTAGGTATTGTTTAATACAAACTATATATTATCCTATTGGAAAGTTCTTGCCGCCAGATGTTTGAACGTATATTATCCTTGAGAGGGATGAGACTTGACACTTGAATGAGGCCACATTCGAATAGAGTGTAATTAACAGATATGAAAGAAAGATCCCACATTCTCTATAATTATTGGCAAGATTACAGTTGTTTAAAATATTACTGACCTAAAATGAATAATATCTTCTGGATAAAATGGTCAACTTGAATTCTACAAGTGGAATCTATTGAAAATATCGTTGTAAACCAATTTAACATTTCGACCAATTGGCACAAATGTCACAACTGAAAAGCTGTTAAAATAAATTCTTATGTAAAAATATCATGGATCTGTCATATTATCACCATGGGAACTGTAACTTCTGAGAATTCAATGAATCTGAATTCTGTAAACAAATCAAAGAGTAATTTTAAAGGTTCAGATCATGAGTCAGTTGAAGCTAGACCACCATCGAAAAACTGGAAGCACTGGACAGCCGTTTCGTTCTATTGTGGGACTGCTCAGCAATGCTTATATACGACCCCGCTTCGCAAGATTTTTAACCCTGGACTTATCGGTCTCGCCTGTGAACGCTTAAACTCTAGACCACTAAGCCGGCATCCAACGGTGTTATTGTCTAACTCCAACTAGATCAATGAGTACTTTACATTTATATAATTAAATTTTTTATATTGTGTGTTCTTGAGCTAAATTCTTTACAAACGCCTTAACATGAAATATAAAATTATTTCGAACAAAATTTGAAGTTTGTTATATTAAATCACTGAAACAACTTACCGAACAGATTTGTAGATGGTGCTTGATCTTTTCCAATCTCATCTATTGGTTCCTCAGCAGTATAATACGATGAGGATGAAGTAGATTTTTGATGAAATGAAGCTGTAAAGTAAATAAAGTTCAAGTAATCTTTTTTATGTAGGTAATTCAATAGCTAAGCACGTTAGTATGATGACTTATATGACTTTGATTTTAACATTTAGTTAATACACTTCATTCATGTGTTTTAATAAACTCTTTCTCATTATTATATAACCGATTTAATTCTCGATGCCTAAGTACAATTTAGACAGAACTTATGCTTATAATTTTATATTGATATTCCAAATAAGACAAAACATGTCAGTCGTGGCAGGGAAACCTCAGTGGTAACGTCTCTAACTGTAAAGCTGGGTGAAACGGGATTGAATTCATCAAAGGGCATCAGTTCCCTCAGGATTACAGATACACCTTGTTAGGTCCACGTTTTCCTGTTGACTACCTCTAACCAACATCTTATTTCAAAATAGTACACGAAATGTCGAGTCACCTAAACTGGTGACCACATTGCAACTTGGTCAATAGGATTCGATCTGCACTAAGAAAGACCTGACATACATGACATTGATCAACACTCAGTGATCAATCAATTGTAAAGACAAAACTGATATCTTGAATTCCACTGTTTGATACATTTAATCTATTCTAATATAAATGACAACAGTCACTTAAACGTGTTAATTGTCGAATTGCAATATACTATTTCAACAATCCAAAAAAAAATTTTTCCCTCTTGTCAACAAAAATGATTTTTATTTATCACTTTCAGTGGATAAACAATAAGATTTTACAAAATAAAATGGGATTTTTCTTTTATATTTAATTATTTTATAATAAATAATGAAAGAGACCTATTGTGTCATTGAAGAAAGAAGGCAATTCAACAAAGGAAATTAAGTAAATAATTTCATATTAATCTGCGAAATTCCGTGACCATCTTCTATTGTACTGAGGTAGATACCTGTCTCTCTATCATTAATTGATTCATGATCTCTCTACAACCCTATACTGATAATTTCATATTAGCTTGCTACAAACTACATAGAATAAAATGATGATTAAATATAAAGATTTAACATATTTAAGTTAATTAAGTTCACTTAAATGTTTAAAATGCTAAAGAAATTCTTAAGAAGATCTAAAAGACACAAAATATGTCATTAAATATATTAGTTAAGTTTAAGGTACGTTTTCTCATGTTTGAAATTTAGTCATATAAGTTCAGTATAATTAATAATAACCATAACCATTAGTTAGGTGACAATTAAGACAAGAACATTATTATCAGAAGGTGTTTTGTGGAGATTTTAGTAATATTATAGTTAAATTCATGAGTCAATTAAAGCTAGACAACCATGGAAAACCTGCAAGCACTGTCTCCAAGAGGTATTTCCTGGAGCTCTAGTGAGAAGTAGTTACCAGTGGAGTTCCACCAAAAATGTCATAGATATTACAAGAAGGAGTGAAGTGATGAAATAATTATTAACATTTCACTATTCTTCTAGACAATATAAAAGGTACTTCAAACAGAAGTGAGCAATTAGAATTTTTTGTTGAAGTATATACTAATAATGTTGCTTATAAATAGAATGAAAGCTATGTTACTAAACTATTCAATTCAAACAATATAATACTCATAGAATATTTATACTGAACTGGAAATATTCTCTATCATTTACTAATAATATAAAATGCTGAAATTAAAGTGAAATGTTATCATTATGTTTATAGAAACTATAATCTTAAACTTTAGTTTACCAAAGACATTACTTTCTATTTTTCCTCTCCTATTTACATTTTACGCTTAACCTACTTGTCTTATTTTCACATATTCTTCGTCTACATTTCATACCAATTTTATCGTATTATGTTAAACAACCCTTTTTTGCAGCCATCTTAAATTTGATTAAAATATTCGTGGAAAAGATTATTAGAGCTGCGATAAAGTTTAATGTTGTAAGTAATTCCTTAGAATCTCCAACATGAACATGAATTTATAGACTGATGTTTTCATAACTGAGAGCAAATGTTATACACATACTTGATGGAGTTTTATTCTCTGAGCTACAAATCTCCACTATACACATACTTCTTTGGTACAGTTTAAATTACTGCTGTGTAATTATTCAAGATGTTTAAACAATCAGCCAACTGTTTTGAATTGATGAGATGAGCAGGAATACAGTAGTCGGCTCCATAAGTTGAAGTTAACAGGTTAATAAACAATGCTATTACTTAAGGAGTCAAGTTGTCATTAAACGATAAACTTGCAGAAAAATAACTTACATGAATGTTTATCAAAAACATGAACCGATTCAAGGCAGACAACTTTTGAAAACTTGAAAGCATTGGGAGACAGCTTCGTCCTGGTATGGGACTCCTCAGCAGTGGGAACTAGCAACAAGAGCCGACCCAAGGATCTTTAGTCTCGTGACAGGTGGAGATAAACCATATCGAGTATGTTGTGTATTTTAAGCTCGGCTAGTCATCACGTGAATGGTTGAAGTAAGTCATTAACAGTGTTTTGTGCCGACACCGTTGCCTAAGGTTTGGGCGCCGGGATTCAAAATCGAATGTCCTTGGTTCGATTCCTGTGGATGGGTCCGTGTAAGCATACTGCTGAGGAGCTCAACATTAGTACGAAGATCTCGTTTAGTGCTTCCAGGTTTCCAATGGTTTACTAACCTGTATCAGTTTATGGCTTTAATAAAATTCAACAATCTACACAGTTTTGATTCTAAATTTACTATTCAAGTAGATGTTTGTTTTGAAGCTACTCTGAAACTTATTGTATTCATCCTTGTTTCGTTACTAACTAATAAATTTTTATAGTTACTTTAATTTCAACAAAACTCTTTGAGTAATTCCAAATTTATTCCGAACAGTGTCAGAAATTTTGGAATTAATGTTTTTCGTCCTCTTGGAAGAAGCACGAATTTTCAAAAGCTTCTAAATCTATTTTAGATCTTGTCTTTTAATACAATCGTTGTTATGTCAATCGTTTTCTGGAGTTGTCTATCAATTAATTGAAATATTTCTTATGATTCTGCTTCTGATGTTGGTCTGGTCAGTAATCCTTGTTGAACTTATTGTTTAGATAGAGATCTAAAAATATTAGTGGGACTTTGATTGTTCTCAATGATGATATGGACTGGAAAAAATCAATGTTAACAATGATACATTTTTGCATACACAGGAATCTCTTGCCTCATCATTAAAGAGAATTGCTTTTCAGTGGTAGAATTTGCTGAGTTTATTATCGTGAATAGTTTACCTTGAATAAGTTTCATGATGGGATAAGAAATCATTCTAGTTTTTAAAAGTTAAAGTCAACTGTTGGGACGTAACGAATTACATTTTATTATTTGTTGATATTTACTTTAAATGTGCGTCTTCTATTGCAAAAACGTAGATCCAATGTTATAGATTAATACCAGAGTTTTAACTTAACAGAGAATGCAAAGATGGATAGTGGCTAGCCGTGGAATCTAGGACGTGAGTTTCGTCCTGTTTGGGACTTTTCAGATGGATGTATCTTCATCTCAGAGCTGATGTTTATGTATTTTTATACTCTTAACTTAGTCAACAAATGCTATAACAGAGTTAGAAGCGTTAGCGCACCATGTTAAAATTTACGCATTATTATAAATTATAAGTAGCTAAAGTAACTTAAATAGTTTACATACAAACAGTATTTATTTGAATAAATAGCATAGTTTTAGTTCTATTAAACTGCCTACAATTAAACTTGCTTACCATACAACCTCAACAAAATACATATTATATGGGAAAACTCAAACTGTCTGTTCATGATATCCTCTAGATGTTAATAATCAAAATGACGTATGTTAGATAGTCTCTAAACTTATGTGATGGACAAGTAACTTTGATTCTGGTTACTTGGTTTTCACTGAAATTCTATGATTTTATAGAATGCCACATTAAGGTGGTCATGTGACATTATTAGGCATATGGTTGGAAATCTGCATAACAGGGATGGTTTCGAAACGAGTTTAATCTTGTAAACTGGAATCTGTGTAAAGAAAAGAGGAGAGGAGATTTATTTTCCGTTTGAGACTGATGTTTACATTAAAAGAGCCCATGAAAAGTCTGGCCACAAAACACATTTCTACATGCTAGCTTTTTACTGTTTTAAAACTGATTTGCCAACGTTTTTAGTGAGGTTATCATTTAACAAAATAATGCTAGCAAATATTTATCCCATATTATGTGTAAGAATAAGCTGAAACACAACAAAATGTTATAATTAAGAGAAATAAATATGAAATATGAACATCTCAATCTTCAGAGAAGACAGCACTTCTATAAGGAAAATGAAGTGAAGAATTAGTGATTAACTACAAACTATCTAACAATCAAGTCGAGTTCTTTATTTACATAATCAATCCACACCTAATGATGTCGATTATTGGAGACGGAACGACAAAAGTGTGATGGAGTATTTGACTATAGAATAATAAACATCTAGTAACCTATTTCTCCAGCTGAGGTTTACGTTAACCCATCTCATGAAGTACATGAAAAAAAATGCTGACGAGTCACAAATAGGACGAAACGCGCGTCCTGGATTCCACTGCTAGCCACTATCCATCTTTACTTAAAAAGCTTGTGACTTAAGGCTATATCAAAGCAATCCTCACAGGATGCACATATGCCAATAAGAATCTGAACAATTGCAGTGCTAAACATCAATGGGAACATTCAAGTAAACAATACCTAGTGAATTTCAATTTCATCCCATTGCACAAGCAAGTGACTGTGAGGAATCAGTAGCTAAGTGTATAACGTGATGGTGTTTGAAGTGAACGATACTAGGTTGGAGTCATAGAGTGAACATCAATTGTGAATTACAGGCACATTCAAGCTGACGATTCGCAAATAGGACGAAACGCGCATCAAACTGGATTCCACTGTTTGCCATTATCCATCTTTGTTTAGAAAATGGATGTTATTTTAAACAATTAGAAAACATTCAAGAGATACTCGGACATATTCAAATTTTATTGTTTTGAAAATGAACATTTTATTTAAAAGGACTTACTTTTAATCACTTCACATTTATCTATTTGTGATAATTGTGATGTATGAACATTTTGAGAATTAATTTGTTGAATATTTTCCATTGCATCAAAATACATTTCACTGATAGATTCACTAGGACACGATGAAAGTTCCATTATTCCACTAAAACGTTTCTTTGAATCCCAATATGCTTTAATATGTGATTCGACAGTTGATTTTGGTATATTTGTACCTTCTATAGAATTATTAACTATGAATGCGAAAATTCCGTTTTATTATTATTATAGTTTAAATGAATGAAAAGTTTAAAAATTTAGACCGTAAATAATGTGAGAGATGTAAAATAACCATGAAAATCAATGAAATGAACTAGGATTTTCTAGATACATTCTGAAGAAACTGGAAGAACAAGCCAAATCATTCAAGATCTTTGACTCTTGAAAGTCCTTCAGAATTTGTCATCTGATTTGATTTCAGTGAAATAGTCTTGTTTCTGTTTAATAACGAAATAAAAATACTAATACTACAATTGGTATTAATAATAACAACTATGGAATCGATTGTGTAGGTGGTATGTTGAACTGAAGATACACAATTTCTAACTAGATTTCCATATACATATTTCCTATTTAATATGTTCTGTGTGTGTATATGTGTAATAGAACTGAAGGGAAATTGAATAAGTTCACAAATATTATAGGCAAAAAATGTTTTTCTGTGCAACACACATAAACATAGACATTTGTACAGTCTGACACTAATACATTTTAATGTGCAAATCGAAAAGGGCAGAAGAATTGTATATTAAATCTTGAAGTTTGTCAAGAAGAAAAAAAAAATAGAAACTGTATTAAAGTATTTCAACTTATTTTAAGATATCAGAAAGTGATATTCACTTGGAAATTAACTTATATATTAACACTTTATGACAATTATAGCTTACCATGTAACAACAGTATTTAGATGAAAGCTTTTCGACTGAGTTATATGTAGATAAATTATTACTATCTTATTAGATTGAATAGCTTTTACTGATATTTGCAGGAAATTTGATAAATAGATATTTCAGTAGTTGAGATCATGAGTCAAATGAAGCTAGACCACAATGGAAAACCTGGAAGCACTGGACGGTCGTTTCGTTTTATCTTGGCACTCCTCAACAGTGCGCATCCACTATCCCGCCTCGCGAGATTCGAACCTAGGACCTAACGCTTAACCTCTAGGCCTTTAGTGAAAGTAGTGACCAGTGGAGTTCAACCAGGTCTGTTGTGAGATAGTAACTCACTGAAGACAATGGTGGATGTGTCACTCAATTTCGTGGATTAGTTGAAGTTGGACATTAACACCATTGGATGCCGACTCACTGTTTTAGTGGTTAGGCGCTCGCATGCGAGACTGATATGTCCTGGGTTCGAATCTCACGGGGGGCGAGATTGTGGATGCGCATTTCTGAGGAGTCCCATAATAGAACGAAATGGCCGTTCAGTGCTTCCAGGCTTTCCATGGTGGTCTGACTTCAACTGACTCATGATCTTAATCATTGAAATTACTACAATCTCCACAAAACCCCTTCTGTTATTAATCAACATATGTTCACTAGTGACTGGCTTCAAGAGGTATATCCTGGAGTTCTAGTGAGAAGTAGTGACCAGTGGAGTTCAACCAAGTCTGTTGTGAGATAGTAACTCACTGAAGACAATGGTAGATGTGTCGCTCAATTTCGTGGATTAGTTGAAGTTAGACATGAACACCGTTGGATGCCGGCTCAGTGGTCAAGAAGTTAAACGTTTGCGCGTGAAACCGATAGATCCTTGGATTGAATCTTGCAAGGCGAGGTCGTGAATACGCACTGCTGTGGAGTCCTACAATAGGACTAAACGGCCTTCCAACTCTTCCAGGGTTTTCATGGCAGTCTAGCTTTAATCGTCTCATGATCTCAACTATTGAAATTATTATTATATCCACAAAACTTCCTCTGAATAGATATTTGTTTTTTCATTTTTAATCAGAAGTGAGAAAACATTCTAAAAAACGTTCAACGAATCAGTAAAGAAGATATAATTCTATGTGATATCTTGCAATTTGCAGTTTACCCAAATTAACCATTGTCTGCTCTTAGTGATATCTTACAAAATGATCACTTTGTCACTAAAAATTAATTCAGAGTTACGTTCAAAAAGATCATTGGGTTTTATGTATTGAACTAGTAGCAAAGCTTATGAAGGGATAAGTGAAGTCAGTATAGCGATAGTTACCATCAACTTGTAAAATTTAAATCATTCATTTTCTTGTAAAATTAAGTTTTGTGTGATGGTAATATATTCTCTTATTTAAATATCATTCAAAATGACAAAAGAGATATAATTAAATTATCTAATTCACGTAACACTACATCATCAATACCGTTCATCAGTGTTGTTAAATGCTGTTTATATCATTTCTAGGTGATATTTAATTTATTAGTGTAAGTAGAACCTAAATTGATTTTGTTGTGCCAAACACTTTCATGAATAGTAGTTTGATCCAACAAAAAATGGATTCTTTTTATGAAGTAACAAACACAGTACTTATGTAATTTTCCGGTTACTAAAAGCTATATGGTATTGTAGGTAATTCGAAAAATAACGTTTAGTTTAATGAAATATACTGATTACTATTGATAGTCTTCAACAATCCCTAAGTAAATTTTTCAGAAGTTTAAAAAAATGTTGAAAATAAACCAGAAAATCAGATTGCTTTGGAAAGAGAGATCGTGAAGAAGAACAACTGATCTTCCTTCTGATTTGATAGTTGTCGAATTCGTGACCAAATTTATCGTGTTTTACAAAAGCTTCTAAAAGATCAAATTTACTTATAATCCTACGAATATCATCGATGTTTGTACATATTCTAACCTTTGAAATTCAGTTTGTTTTCCTAATATTCTTGTCTATTTTATAAGCAAAGATGGATAGTGGCTAGCAGTGGAATCCAGGACGCGCTTTTCGTCCTATTCGGGACTCGTCAGCTGGATGTACCTGCATCTCAGAGTTGATGTTCACCCCGGGACTTCACCCTATTGCACAAGCAAGTGGCTATCAGGACTCAGTAGCTAAGTGGATAACGCGATGACGTTTGAAGCGGACGGTACTGGTTTCGAGTCCCGGAGTGAACATCAACTCTGAGATGCAGGTACATCCAGCTGACGAGTCCCGAATAGGACGAAAAGCGCGTCCTGGATTCCACTGCTAGCCACTATCCATCTTTGCTTGTAATGCTTGTAAATTAAGGCAATATCGATGCATACGCACAGTATGCACATATGCCAATAAGAGACTGAACAATTGCAGTGCTAAACATCAATGGGAAGATTCAAATAAAACAATATCAAGTGAATTGCCTATTTTAGTTCGGTTTTCAAGTGTGGATGACTTCAGGGGACTGAGAAGCTGTTAGGTATTCGGTGCTTAAGCTTTAAAGTAGTAGGAGTAAATTTTTGATATTGTTTTCATGTTTCAAAGAAATGCCGAGTGGCAAACATATTTTATATCTTGCAAATATTTCATCCAAAAAAGTTTTTAAAACGATTTCATATTCGTAAACTATATAATCGCATTTATAAGAAATAAATATTGTTTGTTTTATCGCATACCCTATATACAATAAGTAGAATATATGAAGCGAAGTAGAATTCGTTGTTTAGCAAATTATCAGGTTAAACTGAAGGTACATTTAATACTTCTAATACCCATCTAAAACTACTTCGATGGGAAAATATTTATGAACGAACTAATGAAAATAAAGATAACAAGTCTTGGATTTTGCCATGAAATTCATCCATCCATATGGTTAAATATCGTTTTGACATTATAACTTACGTCAGTTTGTGATGACAACTCTAAATCAGAATCCTAATTTCTTACACTAATTTATAGTCCATTTTTTGACTTTAGTAAGCAGGTGAACTTTTTCAAGGTCAATTTGGAACCCCACAAAGACCATCCATGAATTATAGTTTGATCAATTTTTATTTTTCAAACTATTGATGATGTTTATTTCTTTGATCCTTATGTGGCATTAAACTAGATTGAACATATTTCATTATAGCAGATAAGAATCTTTGAATTCATGGAGATATTTTATAGTTTATTAGCTGGTAGAATTCAACCAATATAAGCAGTTTATTAAGTTAAAATTAATTCGATTATCGCAATAAATCAATTAATATATATGAATAATAAATAGTGAATAGGTTACAATGGTGAGACTATAATTTATGGACGACCTTTGAGCGACGCTAAAGTGACCTTGGGAGTGTTCACCTTATAACTAGGACCAAATGAGGGTTATAAACCAGTGTGAATAATTCGATTTATGATCTACAGTTGATGGTTAATCTTAGGAATTACATTTAGCGATAATTCCAAAACTCTATTTAGCCAAATGGATCGGTGAATTTCGAGCTAAAATCCGAGATCTTTTATCATATACCTGATTGGCATGTCCATAAATTATAGTCTTGCCGTTACAGCAGACAAAAACTTGAAATCTAAACGAAGATAACAAATGTTCTATACATATTTTAACGTTTGTTTCTATAATGTAACCTTACTCTTAGGCTTTCTTTCTGTTGATGTCAATCACTTAAAATCAAACGCAATACCCCATATAGTCGACGTATTTTTTAATAACCACTATTAAACATTGATCCAGTTTATTTTTACCTATATTTTGAATATGATAATATGATACTGATTACTCTAAATCATCTGACAATTAATACTAGTCAATTAAACCATGAAGATTGAATAGTTTGCAAATAATCAGTTCATATAGTCATTAACGGTTGAAAAACGTTAAGTTTGAATTAACTGAGAAATTTTTTTATTCATATATTAATTAATTATATAATGACTTTCATTATGTTGGTAATTAACACACTTCCAACTTATTTAAATAAGTAGATTCTTACAACAACTGTTTTAATTATTATTTATATTCAATTCTTAATAATGCTTCTTAGTAGTAATGTATCATTTGAAACGAATTGCTTAGATGCTTAAAGGATGATCATTTATATAAATCATATTCAAATGGAAGGTACCCTTTAATATGAGTATTTAAAAAAATAGGACGGGTAAGCACTGAAGGTTTACGCATGTATAAATCTAATGCATGATGAGTATTGAACTTTGTGTTGACAATTTCAGTTAAGTTACACTATTCTACTTTCTATTTAATATTCAATTTATTCACAGTGTAAAGGTTTATGTATTCTATTTTGAAACTAACTTTAGTTGCATAAAGTCCAGTGATATTACTCAATTTCTTTAACTGAAATAGTCAAAGTGGTTTTTTTTTTAAAAAGTTACCTACTGATTAATTTCTTGGATTACATTCCATTATTCTGACTAGAAAGTGGCTGATTATGACAATTATAATGACAGTATCATTTACATAAATTCTCCGATACAACACAGTATACACCAATCGAATCACACTTGACGGAGAAGATTTGTAAGATGTTAAAACCTTTACATATCTGGGCAGCATCATTGATGAACACGGTGGATCTGATACAGATGTGAAGGCGCGAATCGGTAGAGCAAGAGCAGCATATTAACAATTGAAGTACATCTGGAACTCAAAACAACTACCAACCAACACCAAGATCAGAATTTTCAATATAAATGTCAAGACAATTCTATTGTATGGGACGGAAAGATGAAGAACGATGAAAGTCATCATCAAGAAGATACAAGAGTTTGTTAACAGTTGTCTACGCAAAATACTTCGGATCGTTAGTGTTTTAAGAGTAATTACACTACTTTTGACAAAAATGAATGTTAAACACTGATCTAATCGCTATTCTACATTAAAGTTTATTAATTTCACTATGTAGAATCCTTGTAGTGGTATAATTATACGACAATGATAGGCTTGAGAGATTTATTAGGTGATAGTGTTTAGTGCTAAAACAATAAACAATGAAAAACAATAGAATTATAGTGGAATACGAATTGAATTATTCATTATGGTCAAAGAAAAATATCAAGTTTACTTATTAGAAGTTGGGCTAGTATTGTAAGATAAATTGATCACCCTATATAGTTTTCTTTATTAATTGATATTAACTATGATGAAAAGGGTTAGAATTAGAAATTAGGAGTTTAGCTTAAGTTATGTGTTAAGACTGCCGTTTAGGACTAGAGTTTGACTATTAACTGATATCAGCTTTAATACTACAATGAAACCTTGTTACCCTTCTGGTTAATAAGTGAAAAAAATAAAGATGAGTTTAGAGTTGGTGGTTAGAGTAGGAGAATATTATTTAACTACATAAACATCCTTGACAATGTGTTGAATTAAACACATCAAATAACCTAACATACAATTTGTATTGGGTGTAGGTACTCCTTGAAACGTAGTTTAGAAACTATGTCGTATCTAAAATTTAGCTGCATCATAGATATATATTTTTAATGAATTTTAAGCATTTCAGGATACAGATATCGTCAATTTACACTTAGTTTACGATGACGTACAAGTTATCTTTCACTGCGCTTTCAGTTTTGCACAAAAATCTATGAGGCTTTATATTAATTAACTCTGATTGGTTTGCTGAAGGCCATCAATGCTGCATAATGTTATCATCTAATAGACGTTCCACTATAGTTTGTACAATCGAATAAAAGCCATTTCAATGATAATGGAAAATAAAGCAAATATTATAACAATCTAATTATTACTAGAGCTTCATAAGTGATTTTTAAACATTAGGAGATATTTGAGTTATCTCATTGTTGATATTAGTGATTGAATTTCGATCAGTCTTTGTTGGATTATATGTACTCTATAAGGAATATCTCGTTACAGTTAAGTATGTCCTAGACTCCTCACGTAATAATAATCCATTGACCATAAATTACAAAAAAATCGTATGCACAATATAAACTTCTAATCTTCTGAATTCGCTTATGAATATCAACCCTAAATCAAAAAGGTAATGCAATTCACTAGATTTCATGACAAATCCTTTGTAGAAATAATTGATAAAATCATAATTTACTGATTCATTTAATAAGAATTGTATGCTGAAGTTCAACAACTCACGTTTTTCTTTGATTGCATATCTTATATCTTCAATCCATGCATTACGACTAACAATATTTGGACAAGTGATACGAAAAATTAGTTTAATTGGAGCTTCACCTGATATATTCCATAATTCAAATGATGTTTCATCATTTCCATCGTTGCCATATTCACCAATACGAAGTTCATCAAGCTTTGAAGGATAAAGCAATAAATTTGTTAACAAAAACATTCATTAGAAACATTTATTTATTTATTCAAACATATGAACATTGGTACAAAGAGGCCACATAAATCATTCGATTTATTTGAGAGCTGGGATACTGTCTGGGTGCCCAAACCGAAGCAGGTGATTTTCTTAGGAGGCTATATATCGAACCTTTGACTTGCAGATCTGATCCACACGGCAGCGGAGCAACGTCAGGAGATGCAGTCCCATGGTAGCTGGCGACCAACAATCGGTTCATACGTCATTTGCTCCCTCAGGTTACTAGAGCCCATCTACACCATAGTGTTATGAACGACCTACCTATTGACAGTTAGGATTATTAGTCATGTATAAATAAATCATTAAACTATTTTTTAATGATTATGATTTCAGAGCTGATTAAATACATTACTAAATTAAAAATATTCATAAGTGAACTTGTTGATTTCAAGATGATCATGGAAAAGAAATAATCTTATAATAAAGTTTTCAATGGTGGTCTAACACTAATCAGTTCATGATTTCAACGAAAGAGCCAAGTGTTTAACCGTTACACTACTCAGCTGACATCCAACAGTTTATACATCTAACTTCAACCAGTTTACGCGATAGTATATTACTAACATCTGTTACTATAGGTAGTATTTATCTCACAATCAACAATTATGTATTAGTTGAAAATTTAAATTCGCAATATGACAATAATAGAGTTGCATTCAAAATCACTAAAGTTAAATTTCAATCTTGATTTATCATCTTACATCAGATTTCATTTCAAGAAATAAACATATACCTTCAAAAATTAGAAAGTCTATAATAATCACTTAGCCTAATCATATATTTTATTTGTAATAAAATATAAAATCTAAGGAAAGTATGAAAATATTTGAAATATTTTGACTAGAAAAAAATATATGAAGAAATCATTATGAGTTATAATCAGAGAGGGGGTTTGTGGATATAATAGTAATTAAATAGTCGAATTCATAAGTCGATTGAAGTTAGACCATTATAGAAAACCTAGAAATACTGGATGGCCGTTTCGTCCTAATGTGAGGTTCCTCAGCAGTGTGCATCCACGATTCCGCCTCGAGAGATTCAAACTCAGGACCTATCATGGATTAAACCTATCGTGGATTGGTTGATGTTAGATATTAACACCGTTGAATGCCGGCCGGCTTAGTGGTCTAGTGCTTAAGCGCTCGCGTGTGACACGAATAGGTCCTGGGTTCGAGTCCCGCGAGGCGGGTATCGTGGGTACGCACTGTTGAGAAATCTCACACTAGGACGAAATTGCCATCCAGTGCTTCTAGGTTTTTCATGGTGGTCTAGCTTCAATTAACTCATGAATTCAACTATTAAATCATTATGAATTACATCAATAAATATAGAATATCATATAATTTATATTTAGACTTACATTAATTATTCTATTCACTTTCCAACAATAAACTGAATTATTTTCATTGACTTTTTTAAGTGACAATAAATGATCAGGTAGAAGAATTAATCTTTCCATTTTCATTTCATTTTGATCTAGTTGAATACCTTTATGTTGACCAATTTTAATATCCGTCTATTTTTAAAAAAGATGTTAATATATGGGACGAAAAAAATGAAAGTAAAGATGTAGGCAGTTAAAAGTTGGTAAAATTAACATGACAATACAATACATTAGAACACATAGTTGAAAGATATATCCAGTAGAGTAGTTTTGGGGAAGTTGTACAGTATATGAATGGTATAATGATGAAATGAGTTTAGTTGTAGAACTATCAGAAACTAGGGACCACCGAAGAGATAAACGATTCTAGTCTGAAACACCTTAGTGGTATACTTTCAACATTAATTTTAGAGTCAGTTTTACAACTCAAAACTTTTAGTATTAGCATGAATAGAATTAATTTAGTTTGGAAAATATGAATCAGTAGGTTCTGAATTATTATATGGGAGATTCTAAAGTTCTATGTAAAATTCTCCTTTAAGGTTTGGAACGTGGGTTAAGTTCATAATAAGCTAAGTAAACAACATCCGGTCATTATAAATCCCATATATTTGTATCGGTTTAATGCACATGCTTACTCATATATTAAAATCGAATCTTGTTGTTGTACTGATAAATAAAACTCAACCCTCTAAAATCTCTATTTTTTCAAACTAACTGTTTATTGAGATCATTTTTACTTTGGATGAAATTTACTTCTTAAAAACATATTTCTAATCTTTCCACGTTATCAGTGAAGTGCATTTTTCATTAATTAAATTGGTTCCCATCAGCTATGTTAAAAATCATCAAAACTGATTACGGGAGATTGATATGAAAACATAATATTGTTTGAATTGTATGTTAAAAATATTATTTTCCGTAAATACAAACACTTATATTTATAATTGCATACACTGTCCAATATATTCTAACCAAAGATGGATAATGGCTAACAGTGGAATCCAGTTTGATGCGCGTTTCGTCCTATTTGCGAATCGTCAGCTTGAATGTGCCTGTAATTCACAATTGATGTTCACTCTATGACTCCAACCTAGTATCGTTCACTTCAAACACCATCACGTTATACACTTAGCTACTGATTCCTCACAGTCACTTGCTTGTGCAATGGGATGAAATTGAAATTCACCTGGTATTGTTTACTGCAATTGTTCAGATTCTTATTGGCATATGTGCATCCTGTGAGGATTGCTTTGATATAGCCTTAAGTCACAAGCTTTTTAAGTAAAGATGGATAGTGGCTAGCAGTGGAATCCAGGACGCGCGTTACATCCTATTTCTTAACTCGTCACCTTGATATACCTTTAATCTTAACATTTAGTTAAAACTGAATAAAGTTTCATGAATTTTCTTTAAATACTTTAATTCATTTAACCAATATAACTTACTATTCGTATAATTGGTGGTGGTATACACTCATCAAATACTAATAATAATCTATTCTCATCGAATTTTTCTATATTAAATATTTGATTGAAATTGATATCAACTTTTGACCAAAAATATATAAATTCCTCTGAACATCTTTGTGCTCTACTTATATAAATCATAGCTAATTCAAGATTATTAGTTAATGTACTATCATAGGCAATATATCTTGTTATATCTTTTAATAATCCATTATATACATTCAATCGTTTTCTTGGTATATTTAAAAAGTCTAAAAAATTTCTTAGAGAAATATTATTACATTGATTAGTTGCTATGGATGTATCAAATGGATCATTTATTAAAATTGTTGATCGTTGTATAGAATCTGTAATAGAAAGACTAAATGACATTTCAATATCATGTGAAGTGATTTGTGTAAGATGATTTATTAAATAATCCGAATATATAAAGAATAATGTATAATCATACCAACGTTCAGGCTAGATGGAGATTAAAACAAAAAGAAAAAACGAAAAAAGTAATTTAATGAGAAATTAATTTTTATTGAATTATTATAGAATAATTTGAAATAATTAAATGTATCTTTATACTAACTACTGTGACTATGAGATTAGATATATTATACAATCTTGTTATTACTTTGTGAAACTATACAATATCAATTTAAAATAATATTCAGATGAACAATGAATGGGTATTGTTGTCATTATAATACAAGTTCAACTTAATATAGTTTACCTATTGAGCAATAATTTGATTATGATAAAACTATTGATGTGTGGGTTAGAATGATAATGTTTGGTTGTCTGGTTAGTCAGACATGTAGATAGTCTGACAGGTATCAGATAAGTTATATATATCCCTTATCCTTATTATTGTGACACTCACTTATAGATTGTTCATTGTTGTTAGATTGTGTCGGTTTTTGGTGTGGAAATATATTTACGTTGTGGTCAGGCTAATCACGTGTTCTTGATTTGAGTTGTGTTGACGTCCTATAGAATAGACACTGGGAGGAAATCTAGTGTAGATAATTGTTTAAGGTAAATTAACGTCCCATACGTGTAAACGTGGAAACCCAACCGTTATAAAATTAGACGAAGGAAAACTGAGCGTTATAACAACTATATATCATTATTGATAGAAAATAAAATATAACCATGAAGGATTAAGTCATAAAGATGAAATTCATCAGTTAATCTGTATAAAACATTCTGATAGATGAACGTCTTGGTTAATGTCAACGATTTTTAATTATTCATATTCTTTGATAATTCAACTAGACAGTATTTATTCCTGTACTTTTATAGGATATGATAAAAAGTACGCTATATATATATATATATATATATATATATATATATATATATATATATATATATATATATATATATATATATATATATATATACTTATTAGAAGCTGTCAGGAACTGTTCAAGTTGTATCATATTTCATAGTATTGACAATTATTGATGGGTGAAGGTAATATTAATGTTCTGGATTTTACAGGCAGTAGATCAATAAATGCTGCTTATGAGGTGAAATAATGCAAGTCAACATAATATTAACATGTGTATCGAGTACATTAAAACAAGAAAACCTAATAACTTTAAGACGAATATATTTCATAAAGCTTAAGTTGAATACTTAACAATTAGAAGTTAATGTAAAAAGGCTGTCACTTAAACTAAGTTAAATAAATCTATGTAACAGTCGATATTTTTATTGCTTCCAAAAATTACAATCTGACTTTAAAGAAAACTGTACTATGAAATAAATTTGACAGTGACTAGGTGAACAAGGATCATTTTATAATATTTTATTTATGTACATAGTCCATGTACGTTGTCCACTTCAACCGACAATTAGCTAAATAAACGATATACCTGTTCTTAAAGCCCTATTGACAACCAAATGGAATAGTATGGTTTTATCTATAGTAGAGTTTTTATACAATCGACTTTCAATAATAGTTGACTTTTTATGTTAGGGAAATGTTTTACGTTTTTCGTTCTACCTACCTATGTTTTATTTAATACAAGTTTGAAGAGTCACAAAGCTTTTGCACATAAATATACACTACTTTTTAAATGTTTTAGTAGTCCATTTTGTTACAAAATATTTTTAAAGTATCTAGCTGGATTGTTTTAGTCATCATCTTGAAAATGTCAGTTGAAGTTTAAACATAAGGGTAAACACCGAAGTACCCTCGATATATATATATATTAGGATCAAAATACAATTACAATTCTTTCTTTTAACAATACAAACTTTTGATTTTATCATTAATTTATGTAATAAGAATGAGCAATTTTAATGTTTTATACGTGAAACTTAATGAACATGCTGTAACAAAAAATTATGATATAATAAGTTGTTTGATCCTAGGAGGTTAAGAGAGAAAAAACATCCTTTGTTGGATTGCAATCAATAAAATGCATTTGTATTTTATAACAAAACCTATTTTACAAGTCATAACAAGTTTCTGATTATAATTCAAATCGTTTAGTGGCACATGATCTGACTCTAGTGCATTATCGTTTCTAATTGATATTGAGATATACATATCGTGAATCTTTGTATATTATCATCGATTTGACTGGCGTTAGTGAATAACGCAATTAAATAAACCGAATACGAGAATGAATTTTAAATATGTATATTTCACGCACTGGTTGAATTGACCAGGCAATCAGGGAATGAAGCGAAGAGAAGAAAGCGAAGCGAAATGACGCGCACTAGAGAAGGCATGTAAGTCAACTCCCTTTAGTCATGCGTTAGTCAATATTTATAGTCACACAAAAATAGGCTACAGACATGTGGTAAGATAATAAGTACACACAAACATACACTCATATAAAAACAGTCAAGAGTGATAAGCGAATAATTACCAAGGTCAAAACGTGACTCAAGTAGAATGAATAGATTGACCTGTCCGAAGGCTAGAATAAGGTATATAGATTAAACATAATAACCGACAATACATCTTTTAGGCTTTATTTTCTCTAAAATGTCAGTAATTGTCAATGAACTAAATACAAAACTTCAGTTTGAAAACTTAATTCATCAGATAAAAAAAATTTTCATTCTGATATTAAACAAAGAATTTAAGTAACTCAAAACAACTATTATAAATTACTGTAATTCAAGCATTAAAACTAAACCCATAAATAGACGAATACTCTTCAAAGAACTATTCGATAACTTAATTTCCTAATTCTCATTGAATTAAAGTCTATAATTGAAATTTCAATCACATTCAAACAGATTTCAAATTCAATTCATTATCATTAATCGATTATTCAATTAAAACAGCTCACATCATCCTTTAGGAATTCCGTTACGAACAGATTTTGTGAAAATTTGTTGAGATTTTTCAAGAACTGAAGTTATATGAAGAATTACTGAGAAGTATAGATTTTCAATGGTTGAGATCATGAGTTAATTGAAGCTGGACAACCACGGAAAACCTGGAAGCACTGGACGCTCGGCTCGTTGATCCAGAGGTTAAGCGTTCCAGCATAAGACTGATAGATCCTCGGGTTCGAATCTCACAAGGCGCGATCGTGAATGCACACTGCTGAAGAGCTCCACAATAGGACGAAACGGTCGTCCAGCGTTTCCAGGTTTTCCATTGCAGTCTAGCTTCGCAAATCAGGAATTAGCTACGTCACATAATATATTAAAAAGAGAAGGAACAGAATATTTTGACGAATGGTCAGCAGAACTGTAGTTATGTAAGAATCAAGAGATCAATGTTGAGAATAAGTAAAATACCAAGTTCAAAAACGAAAAACAAAAACAAAAATGTAAGAAATACGAAAATAGTTTATCAACGATCTGTTACAAATTATCCTATACCGATGGTCAAGGTATCAGGAGTGGTTGTACAAACTACTTTTGGATGCAAACATTAGGTTTGAGAAAATGGATTGCAATGGCTTCAGCAATGTGCAAAAGACGCACTCGTAAACCGCGTGGCAAATTTGATGGAATGTGGTCGATAACCGTAAAAGCTCTATTCCGTTCACCTTGATGACCTGTGTGAGCGAGAGTAGAACTCTTAATAACTCTTACCTGTCCTCTGCTCAACCAAGACGTATGGTGCTATGTTATACGATGACGAACTTGCCGAATTGTACGCCGTATATAAGTGGCTCCACAGGAGCAGTTGAATCAATAAATACATATGGATTTGACGAATTTAGGTAATCTGTCTTTATTTGCCGTTCTAAGTGTGGGGCGGTTGTAGAAGATAGCACTAAGTCTGACTGAATTAAATGTTTTTTTTACCGCTTTTCTCAATCTTTAAGTAACAATTTATTCAGTAGTATCATTTAGGATTTGTAATTTTAAGAATAATACTTTCTTCGGAAAAGTAGGTATCTTTATCCTTTTTTCATCTCCTTTATATGTTTGTCGATGAATTTCATTGAGTACCCATTCCTACTAAGTTACGAATGCTTCCCAATTCACTTACAATAGTCTCATCCGAGCAAATCATTCTGAACTTTGTATTTTACTTATTTTTAACATTGATCAAAATATTCTGTTCTTTCTCTTTTTCATTTATTATGTAACGTAGCAACTTCTTGATTTTCGAATAATCACTTTGTTTATTATAAATCCTCTTTCTTCCAATTACTCAATGTTAATTTATGTTCGAAATGTCATTATGTAATTATTACGTAACGTCTCCACTCAACGAATATTATTTTATTATAATATATATAAATATATATTAGTGTAGAGCCATGATGAAAAAGTAATTGAAAAAAATTTCTTCGAACGATTCATTCCTTCTTTATTTACTAAATGTCAAAATGGGAATTTTCATCAAATATCCTTTTACATAAATCTTAACCCGATATTTATTCATTATTTCTAATCATTTCATATTATTGACTTCAAAAATTCTCATCATCAGTATAGGGGTTGTGGAGATTATTAGGTTTTTGACTGAGATCATGAACCGATTGATGTTTGACCATCGTTGGAAACCTGGAAGCACTGGACGGCCATTTCGTTCTATCGTGGGACTCCTCAACAGTGCGCATCCACGAGCCGTGACTAGTGGAACTAATCCGTGTCGGGTAGAGACAGGTATCTACCTCAGTACAATGGAAGATGGTCGCGAAATTTCGTGGATTGGTTAATGTTAGACACTGAAACCGTTGAATGCCGGCTCAGTAGTCTAGTAGGTTAAGTGTTTGCGCGAGAGACTAAAGGCTCTGTGTTCGAATCCCGCGGGCGGGATCATGGATGTGCACTGCTGAGGAGTCCCAAAATAGGACAAAACGGCCATCCAGTGCATCAGAGTTTCCAACAGCGGTCTAACATCAATCGGTTCATGATGTCAATCGAAATATTCTCATCATATTAAAACACAAATTTACAAACATAAAGTATTGAAAAGAACATTCTTTTTTAAAAATATAAAAATGACCTTAATTTACAAATTATCAGCATGATATCAA